ACTTGCTACTACGACCGTCAACTCACTTTACATTTTTTACACGAATAAACCTACCCTCGACCCATAGAGCAAATGGGAATGCTTCATCAGCAATGCGAATCCGCAAAAAGTCACACATAAAAACCAGCTAAAATAAAAGAAAAGAGAAGGGCACCGGTCAATATATTTCTATAGTTTTATATAGTACGAACAGAGAAACATCAAAAGTGTAATCTAAAGTCAATAAAAATAAATACAAATGGGGCCACGTATGAAAAGCCAGATAGAAGACTACGATCTAAAAGCTACGATCAATTGGGCCCATATTAAACCTGCCGAACAAATTTTTAGTGCACTCAGTATTGTTTTCATACTCTTGTAGGGCATTAGATGACACAACTTGTCGGAAATAAACTATTCATACTTTACTTTATTATAGCACTTTGATCGGGTAAGACAAATCGTGCATCGTCATCTTCGAGGTAGCCCTTAATGTGAAGGCTTCCTCGTGTCATCATGTCACCAACTTCCTTGACCTTCCGGCTATGGCAGGCTTGCCACTCGCTTTCTCGCTTTCGAGAGGCGAAGGGAACCTGACTTATGGTTAGACTTTTCAAATGGGTGGGTCGGGTCGGGTCGGGTCGGGTTTGGGTCGGGTCATAAATGGTCCGACCCAAATTGACCCATTAATCCATTTATGACCCATTTATGCGTAATGCAATTTTCTTGATCCATACCCGACCGACCCGACCCGACCCATACCCAACCCATACCCGATCAGACCCATATTGCTAAAACACTTCCATATTTAATTAAATCTAGGAAAATTCATACCCAAACTGAGATGAGAGTGCGAAGTGAGTGAGCGCAAGGTTGAGTAAGGGCGAGAGAGATGAGTTGAGTTTAAATCAGTTATAAACTCATTTATGACCCATTTACGACCCATTTAATACTAATATTAGACTTATATCCATTTATAACCCATTTACTAAATATAACTAACCCATTTATGACCCATTTACTAATATATGGGTTAAGAAATGAGTTTATGACCCATTTTGACAGGTCTACTTATGATTTGTTGACAAGTGGACTCTAGTTAGATTGGAATAGGATGACTTCCCAAAAAATAACGAGTTAATGACAAATTAACATAAGGTATCACGATTAAAGGAAGACAAATAATCCATCTATATTACTTCGAGGAAATGCTCAATGGTAAGAAAGCTTCAGAAAATGTGAAAATATTCTAAATGACTAGGTGTGTTGATTTTTTTATCTATTTTTTAAAATAAAAATCTTTATATTATCAAAAATGAATATTCATTATGTACTTTTACATGGTTAAGTAATGAAAAAAATGATTGATCAATTAAAAATATTTTAGAAGATCACCATAGATTTTGGTTAACCATTTCCTTCTATATGTTGAATGTATTTTGTTAATCAATCACCTTTTACATTAATTAAACATTCACATATACATAACGAGTAATCAATTTCATTGTTTCAATTCTTGTCATCGAGTCATTTTCCTTTATCTAATTGGGTTTCTTCTTTTTCTTACAATAACTTGTTTACTTCTATCAACATGGCTATATTTATTAAACGTTAAAAAAAATTTCCACTGCTTAATATTTTTATTGATATTTACCTTTTCTATCATTAGTATTTTACTTAATTTATTATTCTTGCATTTCTGAAATTTTTAAACATTTTCGGCTATCAAGAGTAAACGGACATTTCTTTTTATAAAAAAAATGAGATGAAAACATATTTTGATTCCTGAAAAAATCATGTGCATTGTACATGCTAATGAAAAAATAAAAATAAATGAAGATCAACAATTATAATAAAACAGAAATTCAATTTAATGTTGGATGGATTCACGGATTGTCAATAAAAAAACGAACCAATTTAGGACACTTTCGGATGCCACGTGATTGGCCCGAGATCTCATGCACGCTTGGGCGCGCAACCCGAGGACACAAGCCCCTCGCCATCCCCGTGCCACGTGGCAGCATCCGGCAACCTCGCTCATCCCCCTTCTAGAACCTTCCCGTCCCTTCCGGGCGTCAAGACTCCGTCTGACGGCGGCGACGACTTAAAGAACGTCCCACCACCGCAGAAATTCCGTCCCCTGATGACGTCATTTCCTTGCCTCGGGCAGAAAAACAACTTAACGGCTAAGCAGTCAACACCCGATCATGTCACCGTCAAGCCCTCTGTCGACCGTTCCCAGCGGCAGGCGATGCGTTTTTAGTGCATTCAATATTTGTTTTTATACTCTTCTAGGGCATTGAACGACAAAACTCATCCAAATAAATTAGGGTTAATACCACGAAAAACCCTAAACTGGTACACTTGTGACACATTTACCCCAAACTATTTTTTTGACCATAAAAAACCCCAAACTGGTACACCTGTGACAATTTTACCCCGAACTATTTTTTTGACCATCAAAAACCCCAAACTGGTACATCTGTGACAATTTTACCCTGAACTTACCACAAAAAACCCCAAACTGGTACATATGTGACAATTTTACCCTGAATTAAAATTTTAATATTATTTTTTATTATTTTTCGATTATTTATTTATTTTTTTTATTTTTTTCCTTTTGTTTTTTTTTCTTTATCTTCAACCTCTGGCCGGTCGCCGGTCCGGCGATCAGCCAGAGGCGGAAGCTGGCGAGGGCCGCCCTCGCCGGCGTCGGGCGAGGGCCGTCCTCGCCAAATCCGGCGAGGGCGACCCTCGCCCAACTTAGGTGAGGGCAACCCTCACCTGCGTCGGGCGAGGCAGCCCTCGCCTAGGCGGGCAAGGACGGCCCTCGCCTGAGTCGGGCGAGGGCGGCCCTCGCCGGCTTCCTCCTCTGGCCGGTCACCGGACCGGCGACCGGCCAGAGGTTGAAGTGAAGAAAAAAAAAAGAAAAGAAAAGAAAAAAGAAAAAAGAAAAAAGAAAAAATTCAAAAAAATAAAAAAAATAATATTAAAAATTAGTTGGGGTAAAATTGTCACATGTGTACCAGCTTGGGGTTTTGTGCAGATGTTCGAGGTAAAATTGTCACAATGTGGCTTTGGGATTTTTATGGTCAAAAAAAATAGTTTGGGGTAAATGTGTCACAAGTGTACCAGTTAAGGATTTTTTGTGGTATTAACCCAATAAATTATTCCTACTTTACTTCATTATAGTACTTTTGGTCGAGTAAGACAATCATCATCTTCGAGATAGACCTTCCTCCTTAGGTCACCAACTTCCTTTACCTTTTGGCACTAGACACTGATGCTTGCTTTCGAGAGGTAAAGGGAGCCTGGCTTACAATTCCTCAACGAGTGGACATAGCTAGACAGAAATGGGATGACTTCCCAAAGAGTAAAGAGTTAACAAATTGACATAAGGTATCACGATTAAAGCGAGACAAATAATTCCTTTACTTTATTTTCAGGAAAGGCTAAGTGGTTTCTCTTGAAAATTTTGGAAAGGAAAGCTTTACAAAATGCGAAAAATATTCTAAATGACTAGGTATGTTTATTTTTTGTCTCATTTTTTAAAATAAAAATCTCTCTTTTATCACTAATTTTCGTAAAACAAGATAAAACAAAGGAAATGGATAAAAATAAATTAAGTAAAATATTAATACACGACACTAATTCTCATAAAACAAGATAAAACAAAGAAAATGGATAAAAATAAATTAAGTAAAATATTAATACATGATAAACGTGACTTGTTACAAATTGCCGAAATACTAATAGAAATAATAAGTTTTTTTTTTTAAAAGAACCACAATTAAATAAAAAAGAAAAATACCTCAGTGATAGAAAGGTCAAATAACAAAAATTGAATACTCATAATGTACTATTAAATGGTTAAGTAATGAAAAAAATGATTGATCAATTAAAAAAAATTTAGAAAATCACCATAGAATTCGGTTAACCATTTCCTTTTAAATGTTGAATATTTTTTTAATCAATCGTCTTTTACATTAATTAAACATTTAAATATACATAACTAGTAATCAATTTTGTCGTTTCGATTTTTGCCATCGAGTCTTTTTCTCTTATCTAATTGGGTTTATTCGTTCACTTCTATCAACGTGGCTATATTTATCAAACGTTAACAATTTCACCATTTAATATTATTATTGATACTTATTTTTTCTATTGCCAGTATTTTAGTTAATTTGTTATTCTCGGATATTTTAAAATATTTAAAATTTTCCAGCGATTAAGACTAAAGGCATTTGTTTCTTAAAATGAGACGAAACTATAATTTCGATCCTCAAAAATCATTTATATTATACACGCTAATGGGAAAAATAAGTAAAGATTAACGATTATAATAAAATAAACAATCAACAAAGTATTGTGTGACGATTCAATGCTAGGTGAGATAAGTATATTGAAAGTCCTAAAATTTATCTCGAAAGTGCAATCGAGTTCTAAAACTTTCAAAAAGTGCAATTGAATCTTAAAACCTGTTAAATTAAGTCATTCCGTTGATTGTACTATTTGAAACTCGACTGTATATTTTGAAAATTTTAGAATTTAATTGCTCTATCGAAATAAATTTTAAGGCTTTTAATACATTTATCTCATTTTCGATTGATTCTCGGAAGGCAATAAGAAGTTAAAGAACGAACAAAGTTAGGACAGAATAGGCGCGGTGCCGCGGTCTCACGTGCGCGCACGCTCCGGTGCTCAAATCTCAATCCGAGGAGACAAAGCCGTCACCATCTTCCAGCGGGCCACCCTTCTAGAACCATCCCTCCCCTTCCCCTTCCCCCACCGCGTGTCAATGTCAAACGCTCCGTCTGACGGCGGCGGCGGGGGCAACGACTTACAAAGGCCGTCCCCATCGTCACCGCCCCCCGATGACGTCATTTCCTTGCCCCGCGAGGTCTGCCCGGGCGGTGGTGGGGCAAAGACTTAACGGCTAAGGAGTCAACGGGCCGACGACGTCACCGTCGAGCCCCCACCCTCTCTCTCTCGACGCGTCCTTGCCTCAACGGAGCCGTTCAACCAGAGCCGTACGTTCGTTCGTTCCTTCCTTCGTTCCCTCCCGACGCGGAGATCTACATTTAGATTCCAGATTCGTCCCGATCTCGCCCCCCTCCCCCTCGAATCGGTCGCGTATAAATAGGCATCCCTATTTTCTTAACTCCCTCCAACTCGAAATCTAATCTCGTCCTTCTTTTTATCACGTCTCGCATCGAATCGTATCGCCTCGCCTTCGCCAGTTCATCAGCGGAAAAATCACCCCAGACGTCGGAATCGAGGTTTTGCCCGATGGCGGAAAGCGATCTCAGGAAGCCGCAAGAGATGGTGAGCTTGGCCCTCGGTTTTGAGGTTGATCTCGAGGTTTTGTCGGGGTTTCGTTTCTGATCCCGGATGATTTGGCCCTGTTTCTTTCTTTTTTTTTTCCGTTTATGGGATCTGGTTTGGTTTGGAGATGCGTTGACTTGCTAGGTTTTGGGGATTTTGATTCCTCCTTTTTCGAGTCGGCTGGAAGTGATTCCTTTCGCGGATGATCGAGCCTTGTCTTTCCTGCATGGTTCGATCCGGAGATGATTTGCGGATGTTTTTCGCTTTTTTTCGGTTGAATATGGACGTTGAATCGGGTGTTTTGTGTCGCAATTAGTCGTAATCGAGGATCAATGTCTCTATTAGTAAACTACGGAGATGTCTCAAAACGACACACGTGACCTGGAATGTTTGCCAAGCTAGTAACTTTGCATTCCGGTATGCTTGTTCTTCGCATCTTGCCTCGATTTGCGTGGATGCGAAGAGCACATGAAAGGGGGTGTTTGCCTCGGAACATTTTACAAATTCGTCGGTTCAAGAGTATACGAAAACTCACTTCCAATTCAGATCTTTTTTGCTGGCTGAAATGGGTGGCGTGTTTGATAATTCTGGCGGCTTTATTTTGCGTTAGCATTCTAAAATTGACATTGTGCAATTTTTCCACAGTCCAAGGAAGAGGAGCAGAGGCTGAAGTACCTGGAGTTTGTGCAAGTAGCTGCGGTTCACGCTGCACTGTGCTTCTTGAACGTGTATGCTTATGCCAAGGAGCGGTCGGGTCCCTTGAAGCCCGGTGTGGAAACCGTCGAGGGAACTGTCAAGACTGTGGTTGGACCCGTGTACGACAAGTTCCATGATGTCCCGATCGAGGTCCTCAAATTTGTTGACCGCAAGGTTTGTTTCTTTTTCATGGATTTTCGCATGAGTTGATGGACAATTTTTTGCTCTATCGCCGCAAGTTTGTTCTCTTTACAATGATCAATCCATCAGGAAAGAAAAAACCATGTGCAATCTGACTGAGAATTCGTGGTGCTCAAGAGGTGTAATGAACAACATCAAATGAGTCCCTTTCGTTGATTCCTTTGGTAGGAAAGTGATTGTGATAGGCACGTTAGGGAGTATGAGTCAATTTATTTGGATGTCATAGCTTGGTGTGAAATTTCGGATGCACTTATTCCCACGGGGTTACTGGTCAGTGGATTGAGCAATGTGCAGAGTGCAGACTTGACATAGGCGACTGTTCACTCAGGTGGTGAGCTCTACCTTGAGCTTGATGTATATCTCGGTTTGGGCAAGTGCCTTGTAGTTAAATACTAGTAAACCCAAAAATTAATTAACGGTAGTGACTACTGACTAGCAAGAAGGTAGTATGAAAGTGAAAAACGGAGAATTAAAGATGCTTCATTTGATCAGTTGCTCTGTAATAGGTCAGTTCCGAAGGCTCTGTTGAACAGCTAGGTATTCACGTAAATGTGCAAAGTCGTGGTTGTGCCATTTTCGTTGTACTGAGTGGAAGTATTCTTACTTTGCAGATTGATGAGTCGATGATCAAGATCGACAGCCGTGTACCACCCGTTGTCAAACAAGTTTCTGCCCAAGCCATGTCAGCGGCTCAGCAGGCTCCTGTGGCAGCTCAAGCCATGGCTCATGAGGTCAAGCGGGCTGGCGTGGTCGACACTGCCTCGGGAATTGCAAAGTCCGTGTACACCAAGTGTGAACCAACTGCTAAGGATCTGTACTCTAAGTACGAGCCGAAGATGGAGAAATGCGCCGTGTCCGCTTGGCGCAAGCTGAATCAGCTTCCTCTCTTCCCTCACATGGCTCAAGTCGTCGTGCCAACTGCATCCTATTGTACCGAGAAGTACAACGAGACAGTGCGCAACACTGCAGAGAAAGGGTACAAGGTTTCCAATTATCTCCCCATCGTCCCCACTGAGAGGATCGCGAAGGTGTTCATGGGAGGCGCTCCGGAAATGGAGCCGCTGCTCCCTGCTGGAGGTGAAGCCGACGTTGCTGCGCATTGATTTTTTCAGTACAAGTATTGTTGATCTTATATTCGGTGATATGTTCGATTGAAATGTTAATGGTGTCTGTGGACCTCTGGTTAGTAATATTGTGGCCGATGTTTTGTAAGGGTCTCATCTGAATGTTGCGTTCTCCATGCGAATTCGAGTTGTTTGTTTTTTTGAGCTACGGGTTTGTTCGATGTACCTTTGTATATAGTCCACTCCCTTTTCGCGCGCTTAGATGGGCTTAGAGCGATTCTTTATTTCTCAGTCTGTTTATCTTATATGCACAATAGATTTCTGAAACTGAGCTCTTGTGGAATGCTGTTGTATGTGCATTATGATGCCGGTTTTCCGAAACTGAGTTTTTCGAGCTGATCGTGACCGACGTCCTCTTCGTATCGACGCTTTATCAAGTTACCTTTTTTTTGGGGGGGGGGGGTGCGTGGGGAAGGTTCGGACTTATTGAGTTACTTATTGGGAAGTCAAGAAACGTTTCTGAATATATGGCATTGAGTTTTTTGCCACAGTCGATAGGATCCTTACAAGCCCTGTTCGAAGGCTGTCACGATCACCATATGGATAAATACTGCACATTTGGAAGAAGCAAAGGCAGTCTCTCTCTTTCTTCTCATATCTGCAATGGCTTATTTTGGTGGCAGATGATGTGAGCAGTGGAAACATTATAGAAGTTCTCCTTCTGATGTTTGTTAGTAGAAAATTATCAAATAAACATTTGAAACAATTTCTTGAGCATGATCCCAGGGTCCCGGTCCCGGCCCAGGGGTTGTCGGGGACTTGAGCCTGGCCTTGGAATGCCCAAGTTTGGGCCGGCGCTGGGAACTCAAGCCTGGTCCCCTGACATCGAGAAACCCAGGCACGAGAGTGTACTCGAGCGTGGGAGTCGGGCAATCGGGCAGGGGAGCTGGGAACTCGCGCCTGGCCTTGGGGGGGCATTTAGCCCGATCACGAGAAATCCGGGCGCCTAGGTGTTGGGATCTCGAGTCCAAGCGTCATAATCCTGTCGCATTCTAGAAAAAAATTCTGATTTTTAAAAGTCAAAGTTATGTGCCCGAATTTTAGCATCTTTTTCGAATGAATTAATATTACGAAAAATCCTAAATTGATATATATGTAATAATTTTAGCCCAAATTAATTTTTTGATTACCAAAAACCCTGAACTGGTATACTTGTGACAAATTTATCATCAGTTTGTTTCTGAAAGTGCAATCGAGTTCTAAAACTATCAAAAAGTGCAATCGAATCTTAAAACCTATCAAATTAAATCATTATGTTGACTGCACTGTTTGAAATTTTTAGGACTCGATTGCATCTTTTGAAAAATTTTAAGATTTAATTGTATTTTCAAGATAAATTTTAAGATTTTCAATGCATTTATCCCATTTTTCAATTGATTCTCGGATGGCAATAAGAAGTTGAGAACGAACAAAGTTAGGACAAGATAGGCGCTTTGCCGCGGTGACACGGTCTCACGTGCGCGCACGCTCCGGTGCTCAATCTCAATCCGAGGAGACAAGCCGCCACCATCTCCGCGCCACGTGGCCGCATCCAGAGTGCCACCCCCCCCCCCCCCCCCCGATGACATCATTTCCTTGCCCCGCGAGGTCTGCCCGGGCGGGGGGCAAAGACTTAACGGCTAACAAGTCAACGGCAGGACGACGTCACCGTCGAGGCCCCCCGCTCCCTCTCTCTCGACGCGTCCTTGCCTTAACGGAGCCGTTCAACTAGAGTCGTACGTGAGTTCCTTCGTTCCCCCTGATAGAGAGAAAATATGAAAAAGCTAGGTGTTGAATTAAGGCACAAGCCCAGAATAAATAGGTACAATAAAACCTAATCTATAAGATATTTTAGGGAAACAATCCCAGATAATATACAAAGAATAAATCTACAATATCCTAGAATATATACAGAATCCCAAAGATATCGTAACACCCCCCTCAAACTCAAGGTGGATCAAACAGCGAGAGTTTGGAAAGTAGATACTGAAAGCGGGGCGCTGTAAGAGCCTTTGTAAAATCGTCAGCTAACTGATCGGCAGTCCCAATAAAAGGAAGAGAGATGGTGCCAGCCTGGAGATGATGATGAGTAAGATGGCAGTCGATCTCAATATGTTTGGTGCGTTCATGAAAAACAGGATTAGCCCCAATATGAATGGCACTTTTGTTGTCACAATACAGAGGAGCGGGATCTTGAAGCGAAATGCCCATGTCAACAAGTAAACGACAAAGCCAGACAATCTCAACAGTAGTGTCAGCCATAGCACGATACTCAAACTCAGTAGAGGAGCGCGAGACAATCTGTTGTTTCTTGGCGTGCCAAGAAATGAGAGAATCACCAAGGAAAATGCAGAATCCTGTGATGGATCGACGATTAATTACATAAGAAGCCCAGTCAGCATCAGAATAAGCACGTAACTCGAGAGGAGAAGAGGACGGCAAAAACAAAGACCGCATCAAAGCACCCCGAAGGTATCGCAAGATTCGCAAAAGAGCAACATAATGAGTAGACCGAGGGACAGCAACAAACTGACTGACAACATGAACTGCATAAGCAATATTAGGTCGTGAAATAGTGAGATACACAAGGCTACCGACCAGAGTCCGATAACGAGTCACATCAGAAAGAGGCTCCCCGTCGTTAGGGCGAAGCTTCTGATTCAACTCAATAGGAGTGACCGCAGTACAAGAATTAGAAAGAGTAGCCCTGAAAAGAATGTCGACGGTATACTTCTGCTGAGAGAGAAGAATACCACGAGAACTGCGAGCAATCTCAAGTCCAAGAAAATAACGCAATGGACCAAGATCCTTCATGGAAAAATGTTGCTGAAGATGCCTCTTGGTATGTGCAATATAATCAGAGTCATTGCCGGTAATGACCATGTCATCCACATAAAGAAGAATGATAGTATAGCGAGAAGACGAAATATGAACAAACATAGCATGATCAGCCTCACTCTGAACAAAGTCCGCAGAACGCATAGCAGTGGTAAACTTTTCAAACCAAGCACGTGGTGCTTGTTTGAGGCCATAAAAAGCTCGTCGAAGACGACAAACCTGACCAGGGGCGTGAGCAAGACCAGGTGGTGGCTGCATAAAGATTTCCTCCTGAAGATCCCGGTGAAGAAAAGCATTCTTCATATCGAGCTGATAGAGAGGCCAGTTGCGAACAGAAGCAACAGCTAAAAGAGTACAAACAGATGTCATCTTTGCTACCGGAGCGAAAGTCTCTTCATAGACAATGCCATATTCCTGTGAGAAACCTCGCGCAACTAAACGCGCCTTGTAGCGCTCAATACTACCATCAGAACGATTCTTTACTTTATAGATCCAACGACAAGAAACTAAGGATCGACCCGGTGGAACTGCCTCGCGGTAACTAGTAGGTTCCTGCACATCATGGACATCAGCAAAAAAGGAACCAAACTCGGCAGAATAAGAAGCAGCAGCAACATACCGAGCAGGGGGCGACGATCCCGAGGAAGATTACGACGTAACTCTAGAGGGGCAGAATCGTCGGTGGCATAATCATTAGTGGCAGGGGGAACAGGAGGGGCACTAGCGGGAGGTAGTTTAGACGGAGAAAGAGGGTTAGGTATATTTAGAGGAGGAGAAGCAGAGGCAGGAGGTGGGTTAGGACAAGGATCAGCCGGAAAGTACATAAAAGGAATAGGAGTAGACACTAAAGGCATAGTGTTAGTAGAGAAGTAAGGAACATGCTCATGAAAAGTGACATTACGATAGATACGTATGCGCTGAGTAATTGGATCGTAACAACGACATCCCTTGTGCTCGGTGCTGTAGCCTAAGAATGCACATGATATGGATCGAGCAGTCAACTTCGTACGTTTAGTGGGAGGGAGAAGCACGAAACACATACATCCAAAAACTCGAAGATGTGTATAGGTAGGAGAATAAGAATGAAGTCGCTGAAATGGTGTATCCTGATGGAGAACAGGTGAGGGAAGGCGGTTAATAAGATGAACTGCAGTAAGAAGAGCCTCAACCCAGAACTCAGTAGGAACTGAAGTAGAGAGTAAAAGAGCACGAGTGGTTTCAAGAAGATGTCGATGCTTACGTTCAGCAACCCCATTTTGAGCTGGGACACCAGGACAGGAAAGTTGTGGCAATGTCCCATCACTAACTAAGAGAGAACGAAAGGCACCCGAAAGATATTCCCCCCCGGAGTCAGAGCGAAAAACTTTGATTTTCTTTTGAAATTGTGTAGATATCATGGCAGTAAAAGTCTGATAAATGGTAAGAAAATCACTACGCTGACGCATAAGATAGATCAAAGTATAGCAAGAATAATCGTCAAACATAATATTTGAAACCACTCTTGGATGGAACAGGGGCAGGGCCCCATACATCAGAATGAACAAGATAAAAAATAGCACTAGAACTAGAAGTACTCGTAGGAAAAGGTAGAGCAAATTGCTTTGCTAAAGGACAGACAGAACAAGGAGGTAAAGCACCAGACAGGACAGGGCCAAGAACCCCCTGTTGTTGAAGGATAGAAAGGCGAGAAGAGGAAGCGTACCCTAGACATTGATGCCACCGTGCAAGATCCACAGTCGCTAGCACAGAATGAGGAGAGGAAGTGGAGGTGGATGGAAGGTGGAGAGACTGCATAGTGTATAACTTGCCATTCCTACTGCCCTTGCCAATCATCCTGCCACTCGAACGATCCTGCACAAAACAAGAGCGATCAGTAAAACTCACAATACAACTAGCATCAGTAAGCTGGCTGACAGATAATAAATTGAGCGCTAGAGAAGGGACATGCAACACATTAGGAACACAGAAAACCCGAGGGCGGACAAGAGTCCCCTGTTGGGCAGCTATAAGAGGAGAACCATCAGCTGTAAAGAATCGTGGCCGGAGACTTAAGCTCGAAAAGCTCGGTGAGACAAGCGGAAGGAGCAACATGTGTCTAGCGGCTCCCGAGTCAAGAATCCAAGTAGTAGAGGAGCCACCCGATGAAGGAGCGGCGCACTGCAGAAGAATCAGCAGGAGTGACAGCAACCGAAAGGCCAGAATTGGATGACTGAGAGTTAAGCTGCAATTTATTTAAGCGGGCTTATTGAGCCTCAAGTGCAGTAAATCACTCATCCACAGAAGGAGAAGCGGGAGAAACATGCTGAGCCGGAGTAGGAGTGGGTGGAGTTCGAGAAAAGTGCTGGGTATCGCGCCGCTTCTTATTGCAGCGGGACTCGGTATGACCACGGCGATGACAATAAAAACACTGAATAAACTGCTGAGAACCCTGAGTCGGAGCAAGAGACGATGATGTAGGTCGAGGAGTAGCAGCAAGAATTGCAGTGGGATCAGGCACCGCAGAACATGAGAGACGACCCAACCGGGTTTCCTCAGACTGAAGTTCCTTGACAGCATCAAGAAGAGAGGGTGGAGGATTCCGATAAAGAATCTGACTACGAACACCCTCAAAAGCAGGTCGAAGCTTCATAAGAAAATCATAAAGTCGCAAGCAATCCTGAGTCTGTAGCCGAGAAGACTGACATGTGGCACAGCTAGAACACGTGGAACATAAATTGGGAGACAAAACATCAAGTTGACTCCAAAGCGACTTCAAATAATTATAAAACTCACGAATAGATCGAGCGCCCTGAGTAGCAGCAGGAATCTCCTGCTGTAATTGATAGACGCGGATAGAGCCAGTTTGAGTAAACATGTCAGAGAGTTGATCCCAAAGATTCTTCGCACCCGTGATGTGAGCAAACTGTGGACGAAGGGCATGATCAAGAGAACCAAATATAATGGCCCAAGCCCTTCGATCAGCACAGTCCAAGTCCGAATGTCAATTCACGCTTAGCAATATCCTCAGAAGTGAGTTTGGATTGCTCAACGTCCTTGAATTTGGCAGGACAAACGCGTACACCCTCAACATGCTCAAATAAGTCACGATAAACAAGTGCAGCCATAGCCGATGGCCGCCAAAGAGCATAATTGGAGCCATCGAGTTTGACATCAATTCGGTCACCCGAATCACCCATATCAAGTCCAATAACGCAGAAAACGACCAAAATTCAAGAGCAATAATAATAACGGCACGTGAGAGTGCGTGCGTCGAGAATTTACCGGGTGGTGAAGTGTGAGAAGTCACCGGTGACGAGACCATGAACGTGGTGTTGTCAAATCAATAAAACCACGAGAACACAATGGCGAAGAGTCCCGATCTTCCAACGACAATAGCAAACCGTGGTGAACTTGATTGCCGGTGATGTAGCAGTGCGCAAAGGTATAGTGACAACGTACGTCACAACAGGGAAACAAAGGCCCAGAGCAATTGCTCTGATACTATGATAGAGAGAAAATATGAAAAAGCTATGTGTTGAATTAAGGCACAAGCCCAGAATAAATAGGTACAATAAAACTTAATCTATAAGATATTTTAGAAAAATAATCCTAGAGAATATACAAAGAATAAATCTACAATATCCTAGAATATATACAGAATCTCAAAGATATTGTAACACCCCCAGACGCGGATATCTAGATTTAGATTCCAGATTCGTAACCCCCCGTCGAATCGCTCGCGTATAAATAGGCATCCCTATTTTCCTAACTCCCTCCAACTCGGAATCAAGGTTTGGCCGAAGCCGCAAGAGATGGTGAGTTTGGCCCTCGGTTTTGAGGTTGATCTCGAGGTTTTGTTGGGGCTTCGTTGCTGATGGCGGATGACAAGGCCCTGTTTTCTTTTTTTTTCCGTTTATGGGATCTGGTTTGGTTTGGAGATGTGTTGCGTTGCTGCGTTTGGGGGATTTGGATTCCTCTTTTTCCGAGTCGGCTGGAAGTGATTCCTTTCGCGGATGATCGAGTCTTGTCTTTCCTGCATGGTTCGATCCGGAGATAATTTGCGGATGTTTTTCGCTTTCTTTCGGTTGAATACGGAACGTTGAATCGAGTGTTTTTCTCTGTTGCAATTAGTCGCAATCGAGGATCAATGCCTCTATCGGTAAACTAGGCAGATGTCTCGAAACAACACGTGTGGCCTGGAATGTTTGCCTAGCTAGTAGTGACTTTGCATTCCGGTATGTTTGTTCTTCGCGTCTTGCCTCGATTTGCATGGATGCGAAGAGCACTTGAAAGGGGGTGTTTGCGTCGGAACGTTTTACGAATTTTTCGGTTCAAGAGCATATGAAAACTCGCTTCCAATTCATCATGTCTTTTTTGCTGGCTGAAATTTGGCGACATGTTTGGCGATTCTGGCGGTTTTGTTTTGTGTTGGCATTCTAAAATCGACATTGTGCAATTTTTCCACAGTCCAAGGAAGAGGAGCAGAGGCTGAAATACCTGGAGTTTGTGCAAGTAGCTGCGGTTCACGCTGCACTGTGCTTCTTGAACGTCTATGCTTATGCCAAGGAGCGGTCGGGTCCTTTGAAGCCTGGAGTGGAGACCGTGGAGGGAACGGTCAAGACTGTGGTCGGACCCGTTTACGATAAGTTCCATGATGTCCCGATCGAGGTCCTCAAATTTGTTGACCGCGAGGTTTGTTTCTTTTTCATGGGTTTCGCATGAGTTGACGGACAATTTCTTGCTCTATCGCTGCAAGTTTGTTCTCTTTACAATCATCGGTCATTCAGAAACGAAAAAATCATGTATCGGATGCAGTGAGGATTTTGGGCTCCTCTCAGTGAGAATATATGGTTCTCAAGAGGTGTAATGCACAACATCAAATAAGTCCCTTTTGTTGATTCCTTTTGTAGGAAATTGATTTTGATAGGCACATTAGGAAGTGTAAGTCAATTTTTTTGGATGTCGTAGCTTGATGTGTGCACTTATTCCCGCGGGGTTACTGGTTAAATGGAGTTAAAAAGTGTGCAGCATGCAGACTTGACATAGGCGACCGTTCCTAAAGTGGTGAGCTCTGCCCGAGTTTGGTGTATATCTCGGTTTGGGCAAGTGCCTTGTAGTTTTTTTTTTTTTTTTATGACCCAGGGAACCCCGCACGGCCGACAGCCGGGAGGTAAACCCTGGGAGCGACACGTGCTAGCCACCACACACGTGCACCGGTTAAGTCACCCTGCGGCACCCGGGATTCGAACACTCAACCTTTTGCGAGAGGAAGAGTGCGCGCTCCAGCAGCGCCACCCAGGCGGGTGGTGACAAGTGCCTTGTAGTTAAATACTAGTAAACCCAAAAATTAATTAACACTAGTGACTAGCAAGAAGGTTGTGTGGAAGTGAAAAACGGAGAATTAAAGGTGCTTCATTTGATTAGTTGCTCTGTAATAGGTCAGTTCCGAAGGCTCTGTTGAATAACTGGGTATTCTGTGTTTGCATATTCACGTAAATGTGCAAAGTTGTGCTTGTGCCATTTTCATTGTACTGAGTGGAAGTATTCTTATGTTGCAGATTGTTGAGTCGATGATCAAGATCGACAGCCGTGTACCACCCGTTGTCAAACAAGTTTCTGCCCAGGCCGTGTCAGTGGCTCAGCAGGCTCCTGTGGCAGCTCAAGCCATGGCTCATGAGGTCAAGCGGGCTGGCGTGGTCGACACTGCCTCTGGAATTGCAAAGTCTGTGTACACCAAGTGTGAACCAACTGCTAAGGATCTGTACTCTAAGTACGAGCCGAAGATGGAGAAATGCGCCGTGTCCGCTTGGCGCAAGCTGAATCAGCTTCCTCTCTTCCCTCACATGGCTCAAGTCGTTGTGCCAACCGCATCCTACTGTACCGAGAAGTACAATGAGACAGTGCGCAACACTGCAGAGAAAGGGTACAAGGTTTCCAATTATCTCCCCATTGTCCCTACTGAGAGGATCGCGAAGGTGTTCATGGGAGGCGCTCCGGAAATGGAGCCGCTGCTCCCTGCTGGAGGTGAAGCCGACGTTGCTGCGCATTGATTTCAGTACAAGTATTGTTGATCTTATATTCGGTGATATGTTCGATTGAAATGTTAATGGTGTCTGTGGACCTCTGGTTAGTAATATTGTGGCCGATGTTTTGTAAGGGTCTCATCTGAATGTTGCGTTCTCCATGCGAATTCGAGTTGTTTGTTTTTTTGAGCTACGGGTTTGTTCGATGTACCTTTGTATATAGTCCACTCCCTTTTCGCGCGCTTAGATGGGCTTAGAGCGATTCTTTATTTCTCAAGTCTGTTTATCTTATATGCATAATAGATTTCTGAAACTGAGCTCTTGTGGAATGCTGTTGTATGTGCATTATGATACCGGTTTTCCGAAACTGAGTTTTCCAAGCTGATCGTGACCAATATCGATGCTTTATCAAGTTACTTTTTTTTTCGGGGGCGGGGGGCGTCGGACTTATTGAGTTACTTATTGGGAAGTCAAGAAACGTTTCTGAATATATGGCATTGAGTTTTTTACCACAGTCGATAGGATCCTTACAAGCCCTGTTCGAAGGCTGTCACGATCACCATATTGATAATACTGCACATTTGGAAGAAGTAAAGGCAGTCTCTCTCTTTCTTCTCATATCTGCAATGGCTTATTTTGATGGCAGATGTGAGCAGTGGAAACATTATAGAAGCTCTCCTTCTGATATCTGTTAGTAGAAAATTATCAAATAAACATTTGAGACAATTTCTTGAGCATGATCCCAGGGTCCTGGTCCCGGTCCCGGTCCCGGTGCCGGCCCAGGGGTTGTCGGGGACTTGAGCCTGGCCTTGGAATGCCCAAGTTTGGGCCGGCGCTGGGAACTCAAGCCTGGTCCGCTGACATCGAGAAACCCAGGCACGAGAGTGTACTCGAGTGTGGGAGTCGGGCAACCGGGCAGGGGAGCTGGGAACTCGCGCCTGGCCTTGGGGGGGCCTTAGCCCGATCACGAGAAATCCGGGCGCCCAGGTGTTGGGATCTCGAGTCCAAGCGTCATAATCCTGTCGCATTCTAGAAAAAAATTCTGATTTTTAAAAGTCAAAGTTACGTGCCCGAATTTTAGCATCTTTTTCGAATGAGTTAATATTACGAAAAATCCTAAATTGATATATATGTAATAATTTTAGCCCAAATTAATTTTTTGATTACCAAAAACCCTAAACTGGTATACTTGTGACAAATTTATCATCAGTTTGTTTCTGAAAGTGCAATCGAGTTCTAAAACTATCAAAAAATGCAATCGAATCTTAAAACCTATCAAATTAAATCATTATGTTGACTGCACTGTTTGAAATTTTTAGGACTCGATTGCATCTTTTGAAAAATTTTAAAATTTAATTGTATTTTCAAGATAAATTTTAAGATTTTCAATGCATTTATCCCATTTTTCGATTGATTCTCGGATGGCAATAAGAAGTTGAGAACGAACAAAGTTAGGACAGGATAGGCGCTGTGCCGCGGTGACACGGTCTCACGTGCGCGCACGCTCCGGTGCTCAATCTCAATCCAAGGAGACAAGCCGCCACCATCTCCGCGCCACGTGGCCGCATCCAGAGTGCCACCCCCCCCCCCCCCCCCTCCCCCGATGACGTCATTTCCTTGCCCCGTGAGGTCTGCCCGGGCGGGGGGCAAAGACTTAACGGCTAACAAGTCAACGGCAGGACGACGTCACCGTCGACCCCCACCCCCCCCCCCCCCCCCCCCCCACTCCCTCTCTCTCGACGCATCCTTGCCTCAACGGAGCCGTTCAACTAGAGTCGTACGTGAGTTCCTTCGTTCCCCCTGATAGAGAGAAAATATGAAAAAATTATGTGTTGAATTAAGGCACAAGCCCAGAATAAATAGGTACAATAAAACCTAATATATAAGATATTTTAGGGAAACAATCCCAGATAATATACAAAGAATAAATCTACAATATCCTAGAATATATACAGAATCCCAAAGATATCGTAACACCCCCCTCAAACTCAAGGTGGATCAAACAGCGAGAGTTTGGAAAGTAGATACTGAAAGTGGGGCGCTGTAAGAGCCTTTGTAAAATCGTCAGCTAACTTATCGGCAGTCCCAATAAAAGGAAGAGAGATGGTGCCAGCCTGGAGATGATGATGAGTAAGATGGCAGTCGATCTCAATATGTTTGGTGCGTTCATGAAAAACAGGATTAGCCCCAATATGAATGGCACTTTTGTTGTCACAATACAGAGGAGTGGGATCTTGAAGCGACATGCCCATGTCAACAAGTAAACAACGAAGCCAAACAATCTCAACAGTAGTGTCAGCCATAGCACGATACTCAGACTCAGTAGAGGAGCGCGAGACAATCTGTTGTTTCTTGGCGTGCCAAGAAATGAGAGAATCACCAAGGAAAATGCAGAATCCTGTGATGGATCGACGATCAATTACATCAGAAGCCCAGTCAGCATCAGAATAAGCACGTAACTCGAGAGGAGAAGAGGACGGCAAAAACAAAGACCGCATCAAAGCACCCCGAAGGTATCGCAAGATTCGCAAAAGAGCAACATAATGAGTAGACCGAGGGACAGCAACAAACTGACTGACAACATGAACTGCATAAGCAATATTAGGTCGTGAAATAGTGAGATACACAAGGCTACCGACCAGAGTCCGATAACGAGTCACATCAGAAAGAGGCTCCCCGTCGTTAGGGCGAAGCTTCTGATTCAACTCAATAGGAGTGACCGTAGTACGAGAATTAGAAAAAAGTAGCCATGGAAAGAATGTCGACGGTATACTTCTGCTGAGAGAGAAGAATACCACGAGAACTGCGAGCAATCTCAAGTCCGAGAAAATAACGCAATGGACCAAGATCCTTCATGGAAAAATGTTGCTGAAGATGCCTCTTGGTATGTGCAATATAATCAGAGTCATTGCCGGTAATGACCATGTCATCCACATAAAGAAGAATGATAGTATAGCGAGAAGACGAAATATGAACAAACATAGCATGATCAGTCTCACTCTGAACAAAGTCTGCAGAACGCATAGCAGTGGTAAACTTCTCAAACCAAGCACGTGGTGCTTGTTTGAGGCCATAAAGAGCTCGTCGAAGACGACAAACCTGACCAGGGGCGTGAGCAAGACCAGGTGGTGGCTGCATAAAGATTTCCTCCTGAAGATCCCGGTGAAGAAAAGAATTCTTCATATCGAGCTGATAGAGAGGCCAGTTGCGAACAGAAGCAACAGCTAAAAGAGTACAAACAGATGTCATCTTTGCTACCGGAGCGAAAGTCTCTTCATAGACAATGCCATATTCCTGTGAGAAACCTCGCGCAACTAAACGCGCCTTGTAGCGCTCAATACTACCATCAGAACGATTCTTTACTTTATAGATCCAACGACAAGAAACTAAGGATCGACCCGGTGGAACTGCCTCGCGGTAACTAGTAGGTTCCTGCACATCATGGACATCAGCAAAAAAGGAACCAAACTCGGCAGAATAAGAAGCAGCAGCAACATACCGAGCAGGGGGCGACGATCCCGAGGAAGATTACGACGTAACTCTAGAGGGGCAGAATCGTCGGTGGCATAATCATTAGTGGCAGGGGGAACATGAGGGGCACTAGCGGGAGGTAGTTTAGACGGAGAAAGAGGGTTAGGTATATTTAGAGGAGGAGAAGCAAAGGCAGGAGGTGGGTTAGGACAAGGATCAACCGGAAAGTACATAAAAGGAATAGGAGTAGACACTAAAGGCATAGTGTTAGTAGAGAACTAAGGAACATGCTCATGAAAAGTGACATTACGAGAGATACGTATGCGCTGAGTAATCGGATCGTAACAACGACATCCCTTGTGCTCGGTGCTGTAGCCTAAGAATGCACATGATATGGATCGAGCAGTCAACTTCATACATTTAGTGGGAGGGAGAAGCACGAAACACATACATCCAAAAACTCGAAGATGTGTATAGGTAGGAGAATAAGAATGAAGTTGCTGAAATGGTGTATCCTGATGGAGAACAGGTGAGGGAAGGCGGTTAATAAGATGAAACGCAGTAAGAAGAGCCTCAACCCAGAACTCAGTAGGAACTGAAGTAGAGAGTAAAAGAGCACGAGTGGTTTCAAGAAGATGTCAATGCTTACGTTCAGCAACCCCATTTTGAGCTGGGACACCAGGACAGGAAAGTTGTGACAATGTCCCATCACTAACTAAGAGAGAACGAAAGGCACCCGAAAGATATTCCCCCCGGAGTCAGAGCGAAAAACTTCGATTTTCTTTTGAAATTGTGTAGATATCATGGCAGTAAAAGTCTGATAAATGGTAAGAAAATCACTACGCTGACGCATAAGATAGACCAAAGTATAGCGAGAATAATCGTCAATAAACGAAACATAATATTTGAAACCACTCTTGGATGGAACAGGGGCAGGGCCCCATACATCAGAATGAACAAGATAAAAAATAGCACTAGAACTAGAAGTACTCGTAGGAAAAGGTAGAGCAAATTGCTTTGCTAAAGGACAGACAGAACAAGGAGGTAAAGCACCAGACGGGACAGGGCCAAGAACCCCCTGTTGTTGAAGGATAGAAAGGCGAGAAGAGGAAGCGTACCCTAGACATTGATGCCACCGTGCAAGATCCACAGTCGCTAGCACAGAATGAGGAGAGGAAGTGGAGGTGGATGGAAGGTGGAGAGACTGCATAGTGTATAACCTGCCATTCCTACTGCCCTTGCCAATCATCCTGCCACTCGAACGATCCTGCACAAAACAAGAGCGATCAGTAAAACTCACAATACAACTAGCATCAGTAAGCTGGCTGACAGATAATAAATTGAGCGCTAGAGAAGGGACATGCAACACATTAGGAACACAGAAAACCTGAGGGCGGACAAGAGTCCGCTATTGGGCAGCTATAAGAGGAGAACCATCAGCTGTAAAGAATCGTGCTGGAGACTTGAGCTCAAAAAGCTCAGTGAGACAAGCAGCGGAAGCAGACATGTGTCTAGCAACTCCTGAGTCAAGAATCCAAGTAGTAGAGGAGCCATCTGATGAAGGAGCAGCAGCTGCAGAAGAATCAGCAGGAGTGACAGCAACCGAAAGGCCAGAATTGGATGACTGAGAGTTAAGCTGCAATTTATTTAAGCGGGCTTATTGAGCCTCAAGTGCAGTAAATCACTCATCCACAGAAGGAGAAGCGGGAGAAACATGCTGAGCCGGAGTAGGAGCGGGTGGAGTCCGAGAAGAGCGCTGGGTATCGCGCCGCTTCTTATTGCAGCGGGACTCGGTATGACCATGGCGATGACAATAAAAACACTGAATAAACTGCTGAGAACCTTGAGTCGGAGTAGGAGATGATGATGTAGGTTGAGGAGTAGCAGCAAGAATCGCATTGGGATCAGGCACCGCAGAACATGAGAGAAGACCCAACTGGGTTTCCTCAGACTGAAGTTCCTTGACAGCATCAAGAAGAGAGAGTGGAGGATTCCGATAAAGAATCTGACTACGAACACCCTCAAAAGCAGGTCGAAGCTTCATAAGAAAATCATAAAGTCGCAAGTTCTGTAGCCGAGAAGACTGACATGTGGCACAGCTAGAACATGTGGAACATAAATTGGGAGACAAAACATCAAGTTGACTCCAAAGCGACTTCAAATAATTATAAAACTCACGAATAGATCGAGCGCCCTGAGTAGCAGCAGCAATCTCTTGCTGTAATTGATAGACGCGGATAGAGCCAATTTGAGTAAACATGTCAGAGAGTTCATCCCAAAGATTCTTCGCACCCGTGATGTGAGCAAACTGTGGACGAAGGGCATGATCAAGAGAACCAAATATAATGGCCGAAGCCCTTCGATCAGCACAGTCCAAGTCCGAATGTCAGATTCACGCTTAGCAATATCCTTAGAAGTGAGTTTGGATTGCTCAACGTCCTTGAATTTGGCAGGACAAACGCGTACACCCTCAACATGCTCAAATAAGTCATGATAAACAAGTGCAGCCATAGCCGATGGCCGCCAAAGAGCATAATTGGAGCCATCGAGTTTGACATCAATTCGGTCACCCGAATCACCCATATCAAGTCCAATAGCGCAGAAAATGACCAAAATTCAAGAGCAATAATAATAACGGCATGTGAGAGTGCGTGCATCGAGAATTTACCGGGTGGTGAAGTGTGAGAAGTCACCGGTGACGAGACCATGAACGTGGTGTTGTCAAATCAATAAAACCACGAGAACACAATGGCGAAGAGTCCCAATCTTCCAACGACAATAGCAAACCGTGGTGAACTTGATTGCCGGTGATGTAGCAGTGCGCAAAGGTATAGTGACAACGTACGTCACAATAGGAAAACAAAGGCCCAGAGCAATTGCTCTGATACTATGATAGAGAGAAAATATGAAAAAGCTATGTGTTGAATTAAGGCACAAGCCCAGAATAAATAGATACAATAAAACTTAATCTATAAGATATTTTAGGAAAATAATCCTAGAGAATATACAAAGAATAAATCTACAATATCCTAGAATATATACAGAATCTCAAAGATATTGTAACACCCCCAAACGCGGATATCTAGATTTAGATTCCAGATTCGTAACCCGCCGATCAAATCGCTCGCGTATAAATAGGCATCCCTATTTTCCTAACTCCCTCTAACTCGGAATCAAGGTTTGGCCGATGGCGGAAAGCGATCTCAGGAAGCCGCAAGAGATGGTGAGTTTGGCCCTCGGTTTTGAGGTTGATCTCGAGGTTTTGTTGGGGCTTCGTTGCTGATGGCGGATGACAAGGCCCTGTTTTCTTTTTTTCCGTTTATGGGATCTGGTTTGGTTTGGAGATGTGTTGCGTTGCTGCGTTTGGGGGATTTGGATTCCTCTTTTTCCGAGTCGGCTGGAAGTGATTCCTTTCGCGGATGATCGAGTCTCGTCTTTCCTGCATGGTTCGATCCGGAGATAATTTGCGGATGTCTTTCGCTTTCTTTCGGTTGAATATGGAACGTTGAACCGAGTGTTTTTCTCTGTTGCAATTAGTCGCAATCGAGGATCAATGCCTCTATCGGTAAACTAGGGAGATGTCTCGAAACAACACGTGTGGCCTGGAATGTTTGCCTAGCTAGTAGTGACTTTGCATTCCGGTATGTTTGTTCTTCGCGTCTCGCCTCGATTTGCATGGATGCGAAGAGCACTCGAAAGGGGTGTTTGCGTCGGAACGTTTTACGAATTTTTCGGTTCAAGAGCATATGAAAACTCGCTTCCAATTCATCACGTCTTTTTTGCTGGCTGAAATTTGGCGACATGTTTGGCGATTCTGGCGGTTTTTGTCTTGTGTTGGCATTCTAAAATCGACATTGTGCAATTTTTCCACAGTCCAAGGAAGAGGAGCAGAGGCTGAAGTACCTGGAGTTTGTGCAAGTAGCTGCGGTTCACGCTGCACTGTGCTTCTTGAACGTCTATGCTTATGCCAAGGAGCGGTCGGGTCCCTTGAAGCCTGGAGTGGAGACCGTGGAGGGAACGGTCAAGACTGTGGTCGGACCCGTTTACGATAAGTTCCATGATGTCCCGATCGAGGTCCTCAAATTTGTTGACCGCAAGGTTTGTTTCTTTTTCATGGGTTTCGCATGAGTTGACGGACAATTTCTTGCTCTATCGCTGCAAGTTTGTTCTCTTTACAATCATCAGTCATTCAGAAAAGAAAAAAATCATGTATCGGATGCAGTGAGGATTTTGGGCTCCTCTCAGTGAGAATATATGGTGCTCAAGAGGTGTAATTAACAACATCAAATAAGTCCCTTTTGTTGATTCCTTTTGTAGGAAATTGATTTTGATAGGCACATTAGGAAGTGTAAGTCATTTTTTTTGGATGTCGTAGCTTGATGTGTGCACTTATTCCCACGGGGTTACTGGTTAAATGGAGTTAAAAGTGTGCAGCATGCAGACTTGACATAGGCGACCGTTCCTAAAGCGGTGAGCTCTGCACGAGTTTGTTGTATATCTCGGTTTTGGGCAAGTGCCTTGTAGTTAAATGCTAGTAAACCCAAAAATTAATTAACACTAGTGACTAGCAAGAAGGTTGTGTGGAAGTGAAAAACGGAGAATTAAAGGTGCTTCATTTGACCAGTTGCTCTGTAATAGGTCAGTTCCGAAGGCTCTGTTGAACAGCTAGGTATTCACGTAAATGTGCAAAGTCGTGCTTGTGCCATTTTCATTGTACTGAGTGGAAGTATTCTTACTTTGCAGATGGATGAGTCGATGATCAAGATCGACAGCCGTGTACCACCCGTCGTCAAACAAGTTTCTGCCCAAGCCATGTCAGTGGCTCAGCAGGCTCCTGTGGCAGCTCAAGCCACGGCTCATGAGGTCAAGCGGGCTGGCGTGGTCGACACTGCCTCGGGAATTGGAAAGTCTGTGTACACCAAGTGTGAACCAACTGCTAAGGATCTGTACTCTAAGTACAAGCCGAAAATGGAGAAGTGCGCCGTATCCACTTGGCGCAAGCTGAATCAGCTTCCTCTCTTCCCTCACGTGGCTCAAGTGGTCGTGCCAACCGCATCCTACTGTACCGAGAAGTACAATGAGACGGTGCGCAACACTGCAGAGAAAGGGTATAAGGTTTCCAATTATCTCCCCATCGTCCCCACTGAGAGGATCGCGAAGGTGTTCATGGGAGGCGCTCCGGAAAACGGAGCCGCTGCTCCCTGCTGGAGGCGAAGCCCATGTCGCTGCGCATTGATCGCAGTACTATTATTGTTGGAACTTATATTCGGTGATGTTCGATTGAAATTTTAATGGTGTCTGTGGACCTCTGGTTAGTAATATTGTGGCCGATGTTTTGTAAGGTTCTCGTCTGAATGCTGCGTTCTTCATGCGAATTCAGGTTGTTTGTTTTTTTGAGCTACGGGTTTGTTCCATGTACCTTTGTATATAGTCCACTCCCTTTTCGGCACGCTTAGATGGGCTTAGAGCGATTCTTTATTTCTCAGTCTGTTTATCTTATATGCACAATGGAGCACAATAGATTTCTGAAACTGAGCTCTTGTGGAATGCTGTTGTATGTGCATTATGATGCCGGTTTTCCGAAACTGAGTTTTTCGAGCTGATCGTTACCAAAGTCCTCTTCGTATCGATGCTTTATCAAGTTACTCTTGTTTTTTTTTTTTGGGGTGGGTGGAGCTTCGGACTTATTGAGTTACTTATTAGGAAGTCAAGAAACGGTTCTGAATATATGGCATTGAGTTTTTTACCAGAGTCTGATAAGATCCTTACAAGCCCTGTTCGAAGGCTGTCACGATCACCATATGGATAATACTGCACATTTGGAAGAAGCAAAGGCAGTCTCTCTCTTTCTTCTCATATCTGCAATGGCTTATTTTGGTGGCAGATGTGAGCAGTGGAAACATTATAGAAGCTCTCCTTCTGATGTTTGTTAGTAGAAAATTATCAAATAAACATTTGAGACAATTTCTTGAGCATAATCCCAGGGTCCCGGTCCCGGTCCCGGTCCTGGCCCAGGGGTTGTCAGGGACTTGAGCCTAGCCTTGGAAGGCCCAAGTTTGGGCACCAGCGACCAGGGCGTGAGCGCTAGGTACTTGAGCGAGGGAGTCGGGTATCCGGGCATGGGCGCTGGGAACTCAAGCCTGGTCCCCTGACACCGAGAAACCCAGGCACGAGTGTACTCAAGTGTGGGAGCCGGGCAACCGGGCACGGGAGCCGGGAACTCGGGCCTGGCCTTGGGGGGTCCTTAGCCCAATCTCGAGAAATCTGGGCGCGGGTGTTGGGATCTCGAGTCCAAGCGTCCTAATCCCGTCGCATTCTAGAAAAAAAAAATTGAAAAAAATTCTGATTTTTTCGGGGCCTCGGACGTCTAAACGTCAAAGTCATGTGCCCGAACTTCAGCATCTTTTCCGAAACCGTGAACTTTTGTTTTCGTCGAAAGTCATATTTCGAAGCCACTATAAAGATGGACACCCGGCTTTGAGCGGGTCGAAAATCGGGGACCCGATTCATTTCTTAAAAAGCTCCGGCAACATCCCCCGCCGAGCGGCGGGGCGCGCGCGCGCGCGCGAGAGGGAGAGAGAGATGGCGAGCAAGACCAGTCTGCCTCTGCGACTCACCTTCCTCCTCTCGCTCTCTCTCTCCGCCTCGTACTCCGCCTGCTCCCACCCCTCCTTCCTCTCTCTTCGATCCTCTTCGTCGCCTCCGCCGTCTCCTCCGATCCCCAAGGCCACTCCCTCCGACCTGCTCTCCCTCCTTGGCCCCCCCGCCGCCGCCGCCGCCGCCGCCCGCTCCCCCTCCGCCTCCTCGGTCAACCCCGTCGTCGCCGACAGGCTCCGGTCCTGCTTCAAGTTCCTGGTCCCTTTCTCTCCGACGACGACGGCGATGGCGACCGCCTCGAAACGCCTCTCCGTCAGCCGGAAGCTGATCGCTGGCGACGGGATTGGAGGTCGGAGGGCGGTCGAATCCGAGAGGCGGAGAGACGAGGACCGGCTCGTCTGGTGGCCTCCCGAGCCGGTGCTCGAGCTGGCTCGGCTCGCCGTCGACTCCGGCGGCGACGTCGGAGCTATCCATCGCGCCCTCGATCCCACGCCCATTCCGGTAAGCTGTTTCTGGAATCTGCTAAATCGCGGTAGAATCGCCTGTAATAGCGCAAATGTTTCGCTAAGGACGGTTCTGGAGGTGATTGCTTGAATTTGATAACGGTGCTTTTGCGCAATTTCGATCAATGCTTGAGCCTGTCCCCGTGGTTGTTAGAACTCGAAGGTTCAATTTTCACACTCTTATGGAAATCTTTAGCTATGATTCATCTATTGCCAAAGGATGATAATTAGACCAATTTTCATTTGAATTTGAAATAATTCGGTATGGGCGAGACGAGAAGAAGAGATCGGTTTTTCATGATTGTTCTGCGGCAGAGTCTTGAGGATTGCTAATATCATGTTACATGTGATTGTCATAGGTTCCTGATGTGGAAGGATCGAAAGAGAACAAATGCGAGCTCACGAGAACGCCTTATGGAAGGCGCTTCATTAGCGAGGTTTGCATTGTTGTCGAGACAATCTGTTTCTTTCCCAAGACTGGAGGATAGTGAAGCATCTTTCTAGTTTGTTTTCAGGAGCTAAATGCATACCTTAAGTTTTTATTTGAGCTCATCGAATCCCGTGGTTCCGCTGTTGGGTTGGATGTGACATTGAGCCGCTATGATTTCTTCCACGGTCACCTTTTTCTCGCCAACGACACTGGGAGGCTTGGTATATTGTATGTCAACCTACTTCTTTTCGGTTTGGTCATATACCTCTGAGGAGGCCCTTTAGAGTTGGAAATTATATGTGTTGTGCATTAAGCATGGACTTATCTGTTTCAGTGCATTCACTGACATTAGAGGTTCACACATGGTAGGTTTCATGCTAAAGAGTACCCCTCCTATGACAAGGAAGCATTTCCGTACTATATGGGTTATTGCCAAACAGGTAAAGACTTGTAAGAACATTGTACATATACTGTCCTTTATTCTTGTGCCGAACTACTAGACTGCTGGAAATAAGCAAATGTTTTGGCATGGAAAAATGCAGTCTTGGAGATTTTCATTCGAAATTATTAGTTCTTTTGTCCAGTCCATGTTCTGGTTGCTCAGGCTGTTAGCTGCATTTCAGGTTCAAACGTAATTTATGATGATTCGATGAACTTGCGGAACATTCTTTGGCTTGCCCCGTTACCAAGCAGTTCCACCAATGATTGGGTGTCACCAGGTAATTCTCTGTGGTACCTGAATGTAAAATATGTTTTTCTTTGACAGATATTGTAAAAATTTGTTATTTCATAAGAGTCAGCTGAACCTTTTCCAACTCTTGATGAATCCAGCTTTTGTTTGCGGAACATCTTGAAATGGGTTGTTTTGGTACCTGTGCTTGTAAAGGAGATAATTATAGGAAATACGTGGATATCTCTACCTTTTACTGGTATTCAGCTGATAATTAAGATGCTCGGTGTCTGCATTGACACGTGCTTCGTTTGCACTCCTTTCTTTTTATTTGGGGGGGTCAATAAAGCGACTCACTTGAATTGGATGGTGATGAAATAGGAGTCCTTGTGGTGCTGGATGCTCGCCCAGATGGAATTATATACCAGGATCTTATCCCTGAATATGTACAGTTTGCTAGGACTATATACGAAGGTTTCTTTTCATCTGTTTTCGTTCTTATTTGAATTTCGTTTCTAGATCAAGCCAATTACGAAACGTTCGACTTTTATCGGAAACTTTTGTTCCGACATAATGTTTTGGACAGAACTAATTAATGCTGTTTGGATTTGCTTACCAGATGATTTAGGGGCTGTTGCAGTTGATGTCAACTATCTGAATGTAGGAGGTTTGAAGCCAGACTATCAAATTTTCATCTGCTAGCAATCTTCCCACGGCAGCCCCCATTTGGGCATCCTGCATGTATGTGCCAAAGCATTATTCTTGTAGAGTTTCCGTTATCTGCAAACATTTCCATTTTCTCGTGTTCTACTGACTCTATCCAAATCAAGAAAAACAAATGTAGTAGCTTGTTTTTATATTTTGTCATCCCGCTGAAGCGATGAAAATAATGCTAACCGGTAGACTGAAATTCTCTTTTAGGGAAGAGCCAACATCCACGATACAGAGATGCTTTAAGCTGCTTTATATTCGTATCTACGTTAGCTCTGCTTCAAATTGAAATCATTTTACATACTTCTGATATGAGGGACATTTCTCGCAGGGTCGGAACAGAGATCCCATTCGAAATTTGCACTGCGTGGGGGTGAACAAATTGTGTGCGCATCAAGTTGATTGAACTCATATATTGACCCAAATCTCAATGAGGTTGGATCTGTCGTTCTATTTTGCACTAAGAAACCTTCTTCCCATGAAGTGCTGCCTTGCAAGAGTTATTGCAGAGGGAACTGAAGAACTGAACTGTGGCGTGCCCGTGCCAAACCAGAAGATTCTAGTTGATCTGAATTTAGGCCATAGTTGTGTTGAAATTGATTTGGTATGATTCTTTTGGAATTCAGGTCATACTGGACAATTTTGTGCGTCTCAAGAAAAACATCGAGCCGATTTGAGCCGGTCTGGTTTTTGGTTCCATTCAACGCTGTGATCTATTGGGCTTGGAGTTGGATCGGTCCTCGATGTTGCTTAATAGTACCGGTATGTTCATTATAAAGAAACGAGAAAGGATAGATTGAAAAAGAACGAACTAGAAATTTCAATCTTTATGGTCCGTTTTTTTATTGTCTTATCAATATTTATGGTTGATTGTGATAAAAATACTGTATTAGAGTCGAAGAATATTAAGTCAAATACTAAATATGTATCAAAAGTGTCATTTATCTCACTTTTTTCTTTCCGGAATTACCATTTGCATCAAAAGTGAAAAATATTTGCTATTCATCAAGTTTAACCACTCAATTCACGGGTTTGTGAGTACCTATATTTTATACATTCGCTAAATTAAATAGTTACTCGATTTCTTTCAAAGAATTAATTCACTTATATTCATATTTAATCCAATTAAGATCGCGCGTGTATTGGAACACCAATATTCCTAAAAAGAAACGTATCGTCTGTCTTATATTTTTTCTAATTTTAATATGAAACAATCTCACCCAATGGCGTGATATGATTTGTGCATGTACCAATGTAAATATATAAGTCAAAAGTGACCATTCTCACTTTTAATTTTCAGAAATTACCATTGCTTGAAATAAATAAAAGACAAAAAAAAAGAGACATAGTCAATATATCTCCAATAATTTTCCATTTCATCGGTTTCTTTTTATAACTACTCATCTTGTTCCTCTCCGACAATCATCCGATGTGCATGGACGGAGTACAAAAATAAATTATATAGATTGTTTTCGGATTTTTATTAAGTTTGCCGTCGGCAGAAAATAATTTATATCGTCGGATTATCTATACATATAAAAAAAAACTCGATTATAAATATCCATGTCACTTGTCAAAACTATAAAAATATAACATATTTATTGTACTGACGTGGATCCTCTTTTGGTTAGACTAAAGACCGAGAAAATTCACGTTGGATTGTTCTAGAAAGCACGGTCCTATTTCCACCTCCGGTGGTTGCCACGTAGGTCCAAAGCGGGTGGGGCCCCGCTCACCCCCGATGCTGCTGCCACGTAGGCCCAAAGTGGGTGGGGCCCACGGATATTTTTCCCCCCTTTCTATCCGGAAGTAAAGGATGTGCGCACTGCGCACCCCTTTGCTCACCACAGTAACGGCCTCCGTCTCCTCTCTTACTCTTACAAACCCTCTTTCTCGCTCTGCACTCGCGCTTCTCTCTCTGCGCATTTCCATGGCCACCACCGCTCTCTGATCTCTCTCTCTCTCTCTCTCCTCCGTGCAACGTGCCCGATACGTCCGACCTTAGCGAGTTCCCGCCGCCTAGAGGCATGGGCGCGCAGTGGCTCGAGAGAGGCGATCTGTGGAAGAGTAAAGCTCGGTGCGTGCAGCTCCGGCTCCGGGACCGCTTCCGGGTCGTCGCCGTCGACAAGCACCGTCTCCGGCCGGCGGCGGCGGCGGCGTTGCTCGCCGACGGCTACTTCTCCTCGACCGTGCAGCGCTGGCTCCGGAGGTTTCGGGACTTCCGGAGGGATTCCCTGCCGTCGTCGCCGTCGTCCTTCTACCGCAAGAGAGGTACTGTGCATCTTCTCCGGTCGATTCCCGCACTTGTGTTGTAGGCGTGGGCGTCGGATAGCGGGGCAGATCGATGGGATGGAGCTGAGGATTGAGGATGTTTCTTCTTGGATTTTCGTCATCTTAGCCGCTAATATTGAATTTGAATAGCTTGTTCGCTCTGTAGCATTTGAGAATACTTAGCCTGAGAGGCTCCATATGATCCCGGTTGATCTCATTCATGTTGCGCGTCGAGCTTGCGAAGATGCTTTGGTTGATATGGAACCCGCTTACAATGCAAATGTAACGTGGTCGTGGAGTTCTTTCAATTCCCGTTGTTGAATATAAATGCGCGAAAGGTTCGGATGTCTAGATTGAGAGAGTACCTTTTAACCTGTTTCGTAATTAGGAATACTAGAACTTGTGTCTTGTACAATCTTGTATGTCAAGCAACAGCTGAAAAGTAAATTGAAGAATTTACAGGGTTTATTTGGGATTAATTTTAAGGATATCGAAATTTGCTGGCTAGTTTCCATCATGTAATGATCAGGAAAACTGTGATAGTAAACCTTATGCATTTTCGCTAGCAGTACATGCATTCGTCAACCTCATACTTAAGAAGCTAATAATGCACCTTGTAGTATATTTGAAGCATGTGATTTGGTGACAACATAACGTATGAATAGTACAGGGATTTTGCAAAGGACAGGACAAATAATCTAACAAATAGATAAGGTGGTATGTTGTTAATTCTATTGAATGGTATCAAATTGAAAAAGCAACTTCTTATCCGTGGTGATAGGCTGAGTTAAAGCTCAATCAATGAGATGAAAACGGAGTTACAACAAGCCTTAGTGAAATATTGCGCATCTACAAAAGGAAAAAGATTGAATGAAGGAAAAATAAGGATCTGAAAGTCCTTTCTTACCAGCTCTATTTTCTTATTTTCTGTAGATGCTTTTTAAGGTTGGACCAGAGAGTTAATGTAAAGTCCTTCTAGTCGGATCACATCGATTGCCAAGAAATTACTTTATGCGAAATGTTCATGATAAACAAACTAACATAGGAAGTGATTGGTCAACTAAGGAATTAGTGGGAACCAAGAATGCCAGAGTTGATTGCAAGGCGATAGCGCTTAGCGAATCTGACCAGCCAAGTCATTTAATAAGTAGAGTTATGACATGGGTAAAAAAACATGATCTAAGCGAATCCTTGTGTAATTGCTAATCAGATGGATTGTGTGCATCAACTACGGTAACTTTTGATACTTCTCCCCGAAAATGAGTTATATTACTTGTTGATGTAGGTATCCGACAATTGTTTTTGATATGATTGATGTTAATAACCAGTGAATCATAGAGTCAGTTAATGATGGACTTAATCTATGTATACCATACTAGTTTGAGGAAATGGGTGCAAGTATAGGAGTGGATAGATGAACATTAAGCAAAGTGGGAGGATGATTAGCCGATATAATGGAGAAATCAATTGCGAGCTAGTTACCATAGATGACTATACACATAGCTTGCCACTGGATGTGGGCTTTTCCTCCATATATATAGAATCTAAAGTCCCTATGGTGACCAATATGCCCCGCAGATTACTATGTGGCGCCACTAGTGTGCCACATTAAGTTTGTCAACACTTGTACAAGCGCACAATTTATTGTAAAGAAATTTCGTGTGGCACAATGAAGTGAGAACAATTGTTGAGTGGTTTTGTAAAAGATGATGATGACCGCATTCCAATTGGGTTTCGACTGTAAAAACCAAAGATGATCAAAACTTGAATGTTTTGTTCTGATTTTTACTGGTGCGAGTTATATGATAGCATAACCTTCTTGATATTCGTGAATTAGAAATATTAAAAGCCGGCCTGGTGTTGTGACCTCAAGCTGAGGAAGCTAAACTCCTCAGCGCATCTGATGAATTACTCATTAAGTTTAGTATATCATTCCATTTCAGGTTTGATATTAATTAGTGCACGAACTTTTCCTTTTTACCTTGTATGCTTGAATCTCTGGGGCCCTTGTGGACCTTTTAAATGCTTTTTTATTTGTTAGGCAATATTTTTTCTTAACACCTTTGATAGAAGTAAGGTGTAACTGTTGACTTTTGAATTTATCGTATGGCAGTCAGCGAGGAGTTAAATGCTGAAGGAGATTCTATTGTCCTCCGAATGGTTCAAGCTGTTGCTGTGCCTGTTCTAGGGAATATGTGCCATGTGTTTATGCATGGCCTAAATCGTGTTCAGGTGGGACCGGTTTGCTTGGCTGGGAACTGTTTATCCTTTCTGAAGTCTCAGGCATGAAATCATTCAAATATTTTTGTTATGGCAGGTATATGGTGTAGAGAAGCTACATGATGCGCTGCTTCACAGACCTAAGCATAAGTCCCTTCTCACGGTATAGATCAGCCTGCCTGCAAAACGGGCATTTAAGCTCTTCCTTTTATGATCCTATTAGCATGTTGGGAGAGATGACTAACCAAGGATCTTGTCATTTAGGTAAGCAATCATGTCGCATCTGTGGATGATCCATTTGTTATCGCCTCACTTCTCCCTCCAAGTGTTCTGTTGGATGCTCAGAACCTGAGATGGACACTTTGTGCAACAGATCGATGTTTCAGCAATCCCGTGACTTCTGCTTTCTTTCGATCCGTAAAAGTTCTGCCAGTTTCCCGTGGTGAGGGGATTTATCAAAAGGTAATGCCATGCAACTAGCCAGAGGTTCTAGGTAGAGCATAGCCATGTTTTTTTTTTTTTCTTTTGATGGTATTTATTCTACCCAACGTTTTTAATCGTGGTTTTGCATTTTGTTATTGCATTTGTGCATAATCCTTTACTTCAATCAGTTCGGGTGGCTATATAGAATATGTATGATGGCTTGTTTGTCGCTTTTGTTGGACATTGTGTGTTTTTTTGGAAATGAATCTGTTTCATCATTTCTCTTTCTGTGTTTTGTTGCCTTTGGGATGTGCCTTCGTATTTGAGTGCTGCGTAGTTTCAATTTCCTTTTTACCTTGCTGTGTTTCATCTATGATAATGGTTCCATTTTTTTTAAGAAAGCCCATGTTGATTGTAAAATATGACTCTTTCCAGTGTTCATTTTCATACTTCAAAATGAATTTCTTGACTCAGTGTTTCTTTTTCACTCACTCAATATTTACTGTGGTGCACGTTAATGACCAGATAAGGATTTTCTGTAAATTGCAATGATAACTTCCACATTTAACAATTGGGAACTGTGTCCTCTGTCAGTGGCAGTCAAATATATTTACTATGAGTATTATGACAATGTTGTCACTATATCTTTTGGGGCTTTAAGGCTACCATTAATACTTTTCTCTCTGTCATATATTTTTCAGGGTATGGACATGGCTGTATCAAAATTGAACAGTGGTGGGTGGGTTCACATCTTTCCAGAAGGCAGTCGTTCTCGGGATGGTGGGAGAACCATAGGATCAGCGAAGAGAGGTGTTGGGAGGTGACACATTAGCATCTGATTATCGATTTTTATAGTCCTTTCCCTGTTATTGTGGCCCATGGCTGTTTCATTCCTTCCCATCTGCTGCCTTCCTGCTACCAATTGGGCGATACTCTTTTTGGCATTAGAAGACTTTGAATCTTTCTTCCATGGATCCATGAAATAGCTCTGTAAGACCCTGTTCAAAATTAGAAAAACCAAGGATCAATCCAGTCTATTATTCTAGTCAAACTTGGTAGGGGTGAAGAGGGTCCTCTTTAGATGGTTTTTCAATTGGTAGTGGGAAAGTTAGCCCTGTTGCTACCAGGGGCACAGCTTGGTTTATTTAACCCTGTGACGATGAGCTGTATTAGTGGAGCTCAATTATTAAGCTTCCTAGTGGAACTTTGAGTAGTTTGAGCTCAATCATTCAATTTCTTTTGCTTTTACATCTCTTTGCCCCTTAATCTAGCTGGTCATCTGCCAGAATAGATCTAGACATAAGTTATCTGCTCTATGGAGCTATTGGCTGCTTGATGTTTATTGGCTTTCCATTATTATCTACTGCAGGTTGGTACTCGACGCAGACAGCATTCCTATGGTTGTACCTTTTGTGCATACAGGAATGCAAGATATCATGCCTATTGGAGCCAATTTCCCAAGGATCGGCAAGACGGTATGTAGCTGTGTATTGATGCAATTTTCTGCCAAAAATTTTGGCTCAGTGAGGGTTCTTTGTGATATGGATACCGAGATGGAACAAATGTTATTTTAGGGCTTATCAAATTATCAAGCGACTTAATTTTAAGGAGCTAAAGTTTAAAGCTGTCACATTAAACCCCTGAAGGTCTTGACTAATTCTAAACAAGGAGGTTATGTCGGTTGACTCGTCTTCTTCTTTATTGACCTGTGAGAAAAAGCTTTCTGAGTAAACATGTTATGTGAGTCTGAGGCGCAAGCTCTGGGAGAGTATGTTTTCAGTTATTTGATGCACTGTTGAAATGAAGACTGCCTCACCTCTGATGCAACATATCGTTTTGTATTGCGTGTATAGGTGATTGTACTTATCGGCGATCCTATCCACTTCGATGACCTGCTCAATATGGAGGGACTTGAACATGTTTCAAGAGGCAAACTTTACGATGCCGTGGCATCCCGAATTGGTCACCGACTGCAGGGGTTGAAAATGCTAGTCGACAGGCTAGCACTAGAACAATCGATGCAGTTATGCACCCACTCTATGCAGAACTCACAAAGAGTCGCTGGCATACTGCAGCAGGTCGACTGGGAGTCATTCGGCATCGAGGCCGATGCATTTGCCGAACACTATCCGTCGACACAAACTCCGCACATTCAACCGGAAGAACATCTTGCTGGCCCAAAAGATACAGCGGGCACAGACCGGTACTTCAGGATGGGTTTCTCTTACGAAGGGGCTGCCTTCATGTCGAGAATGCGCGGGTACATGGACCCATCGGAGCTGATGGGGTTCGCAGCTAGAGGCTTGTTCACGAATGTTTACAGACCGAAGGAGAGGTCGGAGGACACCAGAGTCCTCGGTGCTCTGAAGGCTTGGAAGCGATACATGGAAGCTAATGTACTACGAAACTGGAATACCTGTTAAACAAAGAACATAAAGTGGAGCAAATTGTAAATTAATTACATAGTCCAGACCACAGCTCTTGGTTTAAGTTTTGGGCTAGATTTGAAATTTCTATGTTTTATAGGGGGTGCTAATGTAAAATTCGAGATCCTAAACTCGTAGTTCTTCAGAACCGTGCGATTAGAAAAGAGGACGATAGAAACTTTTCGCATGAGGTTCTTGTATCATCATCTACTCAAGCATATATCTTTGGTCATCAGGGAAGGCAAAAAAAGACAAAAAGCTAAAAGAGCGGAAAAGAATTTATCATCTTTCGATCCATTTAAGGTCAAATTCTCAATGTGCACGTACGTAACCCCAAAACATACATTAATTTCCGTGAAAATTCAAAAATATGATTTTTAGGGGACAAAATATTACGGGGAAAGAAAAGACAAAAAAGGTTCCGTTGCCGGGAATCGAACCCGGGTCTCCTGGGTGAAAGCCAGATATCCTAACCGCTGGACGACAACGGATTTTATTATTCGTCAATGCTCTTTAATTAAATATACTCAATTATTTTTATTTGGGCCGACCAGGATGCAACGGATCGGTGACCCAAGGCCCATATAAAAACCCGATAGCTGCTTCAGTCCTGCGACCACCCTCACGGACTGATCACCTCCCTCTACTGCAACAATCCGCTTGAACAGAGAGCTTCTTCTGCTGAATTCCTGTTGCGTTGAATGTGCGAATTACGATGCTCGCTTTGGTCGTTCTCATGTGTTTTGATTTTCTTTTCCAGCAGTGTCCGTAAATTTGCGCTATAGGGTACATTTCGAATCCTATTTTCGCTCGCACGCCCGATTTCGTTCTAAATTCCTGAGTACGATTTCGTGGGTTTTGCCTTCTTTCTTTTGGTGGGGTGACGATAGGAAGAGCTGAAGAGGACTAATGTCTCGTACAAGTAGAGAAGATGGAGGAGAATCGAGACTAAGACTAAAAGCTCTGAACGAGCAACTTCCCCCCCACCACTCAATTTGAAATTCGATCGATTTGCACAACGGACTCGAACGGGCTTTTGCCTCCTGCTCTTCTCGAAGTTTGTTTCCAGTTAGAGAGATCCAGAGAGGCATCTGAGCGCTTTACCCATTTGATTCCTCGGGGTCCTCCTCGGCGAGGGAAGAAAAGACTATCTTATTCGCTTGCGCGGCAGCCACTATTGAGCAGGAAGGCATACGTGCTCGAGAGATTCCCGTCCCCCTCCGCGACCTAAAACGTCAAATCTGCAGCCGAGAGCTTTTTAGTTCTTGAACGTTAGGAACGGTCGGATAAACGACGACCCCCCAGGTGTAGTTCCTGCTCCCGACAGCAGAAACCCCAGAGCCCCCCCACTTGGCATACGGACAAAAAACCCCTTTTCCTTTTTAGGGACACGCGGCACGCGTCGTACCGTCATCGGCTTGCTAAAAGATGCGCGCTTTGCGTGGGGATCTCGATTTGGATATAGGATTCGCGCGGCGTCTACATGATCCGAGGAACCGGATCTAGCACGATCCGGGGAGCGTCCTAACGGTCTAAGATGTGGTAATCGGGTGGAGCGGATGAACAGACCGTGGTCCCACCGTGCGCGCTGAAGCTTCTCGAGTTTAGGGACTTTGAATTTACCCATTTTCCGTCGTGATTATACAGAAGCGTCGGATTATACGACGGCATTTATGGATGAAGGGTTGGGAAATTGCCGGTTGGTGAGGGCATCCAGAAAATGGACGCCACCTAATCGACGTCACGGGGCGCACGTGCGACCGTGACGTGAAATCGTTATATTTAAACCTCCGCGAATCTAGTACAAAACGCGTTTTGATTGCGAATTGTGAGAAAGAGAGATTGTCTAATGGGTGGGTCCTAAACTTGGAAATTAACAAGGTCAAACAACTCCACAAAATTTGTTAGAAAGCCACAAATTCTTCCCGACCGCCTTAAAGACTGCAAACTTTCAGTACAAGAGAAGAAAGAAACCATCAATGGAGTTAGATGCAAGCGTAGGGGGAAAAGGTAATACTTAAGACAGAATCAACACTAATGAGATTCTCCATTGATGTAGCTCATGAAAGTTTGGTGGTGTTGAGGTTGATGGCCATCATACCCAATTATCTAATTTTATTTTTTTGTCATATTGGTAGCTAATTATTTTGTCTGATTTAGCCAATTATTTCGTCTTGAGCCAAAATTTCCTCTCTTGCCCAATTCTTTTATTCATGTTTCCGATTTCGTAACTTGATTTTCAAGCGAACGATTGGACCTCAAACGTCCGTTTGTAGTGATTTTTACTTTTTTTAAAATTTTGCGGTGTGCGCGTTGCGACTTTATTTAATCCTCAATACTTAAAACTTTTGTGAAGTATAAATGTAGATATATAAATTCATAAATAAAACTTTTTAGATTTGAATAATATTTTATATCTTGGCGGAAGGGCAAAGAGTTCTGCTTTACTTTTGGTATGCCCCAACAAACATGCCTTTATTTATTTCCTCCTTTGAGAGGAGGGGGTGGGGTATAGAGGATGAGTTTGGCAATGCTTTGATTTTATACTTTACATTTAGACAAAAAAATTTTGACTCAAGGTGTTTAAAAAAAAGCAAATAGTATTTGGATAATTGATTTTTAGTACATTTTCATAAAGCAACTTTAAAATGAAGTAAGATTATAAAGAAAAAAAAGGAGAGGATAAGGGTAAGTCATGTCACGCCCCGACTTGGAATCACGATCGATGCTTGTTGATCGATCATGACCCGTTCGAGCCCGTGACTCGCGAAAATAAATTAGTACATCCCGTTTATTTTAAATACGCAAGCGGAAGCATTCGTAAACGAGACATCACAAAACAAACATCGCATGTTATATTTACATGGTTAATGCTTATTTTAACGAGGCCACTTTACGAGCCCTTGCAAACCACGCATGTATTTTACACGCCTATTTCAAAGGCATTTCTGAACAAGGCCGATTGTGCACAACAAAACATCGGCTTGGGGTAATCCTACTCCACTACTCCGTTTCCTCGCGCTTCCGTCTACTCGTGCTACTCTTCCCCGCGACCCGTCCATCTGGCCATCTCACATCCCACCTGCGGCTTGCCCCAGAGCCGGCCCGCCCATACTGTTGAAAGGGCCGTTGAACCCGCGCAGGGGTTCAACCCAATCTCCGTTAGCTAGGTGGTACCATGCCACGTACGTATTGGGGGACCAATTCCTCGCGGCCCTCATCCACCATCACGCACGTTGTAATCCGACAATAGGCGTGGCCTTCACGGGCATCAATCACGGTGAGCAACTCTGCTCGCATCTCTATGGGGTTGCCAAATCGGGTTGGGAGAAACACCATCCTACGGTCCTGAAAAGAGAAAACAACGGGGAGTGAGTCGGGAAATCAATAAGTGGACTCACCAATGTCAAGCAAGGATGAATCGATCGTCGTTAACACGAGTCGGCTCTTACCGCATCGGTATTGTTGGCAAATCAATAGCAAATGTCATGCTAAGAACTAATAAAAGAACATCGAGCATGGCTACCTTACGTGAACATCATAACCAAGCTCCGTTTTCTATATCGAGATGTGAACATGAAACACAAAATATAAGCAAACCGTGAGCATCAAGCACAAACATAAGAAAACCATGGAAGAAATCAACTATGATCAACCAAGTGACCAAGAGACGGTCCAAGCAATCACGTCACTACGCATCTCAACTTCCTTTCCCGATATTAGGGAATCCACTTACAGAACATAACACTAGAACATGTGAGAATAAAGAAAGCAAGTGACGTGTGGGTTGAGCACGTGAAAGGCAGGATCTCGGACGTGAGTTTCCTAATGGCCGAACAACAAAGAAGAAGAGGATGGTCGGTTGGTGTGTGTGGGCGTGAGGGGCTCTCCTTCACGTGGGGGCTTCCCGTATATAATGGTCCAATATTTGAAGAGGAAGCGAAGCCATAATTGTATGGCCCCTAAAGTCAAGTGAGTATTAATGGCATTTATGCACAATGGCCAAAAGAGTATGATGAAGTGATCTTGCCAATATCTAAGCCATTAAGGGGTTTTTAATGTGGCCTTATCCCATCTTTTTCACTTGGTCTCTCTCTCTCTCTCACTCAGCTCCTCCCCTTCCTTGGCCGAGTCTCTCCCTTGTCCCATACTAATTATTGGTGACCATGAGTCACCATGCTCCCATTATCAGGATAGACAACTCAGCTGGTCTCAATTATAAAGGGGACACCTAAGCTAAGTCTAATAATGGTGGCTTTTAATAGACATTTGACTTGGTCAACTTTTGTCTCTTAGTTTCTCTCTAGTTCTGAAGCATGTGGCCTTCTTTTAGTCCTCTACAAGTGATGGTTTTGCTCACAACTAGCTTGGACCAATCGGCTTACACGATATTGACGAATCAATGTCTAACTTGTAACCCCGCATTATACTTATTCCGTTACTTTTCCGAGGGTTTTTCGCGACAAAACACACTTATTATACTCGCTCGATCCGAGGTTTGCTGTAAGAAACTCTCCAAAAATGACCAAGTAGAACCATGCAAAAGTCCAAGTCTAACTTTGCAAGTTCGGGCCGGTTGGGTTGCCTAGGCGCATGTGCTGTGCAATCGGGCCTGGCCGGGCGCAGGGCTGGGCACACTGCCGAGCTGCACGAGCACATGGCCAGGCGCATGGCCGAGTGCACGGGCGCGGTGTCAGGCTACACGAGCGGCCCACCAAGCACGACGCTGATCCGCACGGACAAGGGACCGGTTCATGAGTCCAACACTTTCATTGGCTCATGCATGGGCACATGCATGACTCATGGCCAAATTCATTAGGCACGAAACTAGATCAGAGCCATATCTGACGGGCACATTGCTTGGCACAAGGGTCAGGCACAATGACTGACACACGGCCAGGCACGTAGCTGGTCCGTGATCTAGCTTACTGGCACAATGGCCGGTCATGTCCAAGCACAAGGCCTGGCCGGCACGGCTAGCACATATCCTAGTCCGCAGCCAAGCCATTGGGCTCGTGGCTTGGTACATAGCTCGTCCATGGCCTATCCGACTCGACGCGACGATCTGTGGCCGATTCGTGATCGGTCCACGTTTGAGTATCAACGATCTATGATCGACCATCGGTTGTCATGTAGTCTCGTGGAATCCAGTATCCCGGAATTAACTCATGGTCATCCGCGGCCGATGCATGACCATACGGAATTACCCGCAACCGACACATGCCGACACCGGACTGATCCATAGTTATCTCGATCCGTTCCACTAACGGTCCTTATGGTCGAAGGGTCACTCCGCAATCATATTACTCTAATCATCTTGCGTGATTAGGGAGTCATTCCACTGTTGATCCCTAGGCCAATTCAAGGAAAATCTTTCGATCGAACCATGGCCAACCTTCGGTACACTTGTTTCGACCATATTGTCCGTTCCATTATCAACCCTCGGCTCGAACTACTTGCCCAATTTATCTCTCGTTACCTTTGGCCATTGAGGTCCAAATTCGAGGATGTCACAAGTCCATTGCAATTGAGCAGTGCCATAACCAAAGATGCATTGTGGCAAGGGTTGTTGAAGCCTATGCATTGTATGCAAGGCGTCTCCGATATCACATGACTCCAGCTGAATCTGTCTTGCTAGATTGCGCAAGATCAATATTGCTTGGGATAGCAAGCCATCAACGAGTGTCGACCAAAGGTTGTGGTACCTCATTAAGGTGGCGTGGAGGTTGCTCGACCCAATGTGAGATAGATCTCTCTTGGGGCTCATGTGATCTCAACAAGGCGATGCCGGAGGTCAAATGGCCTCACCTCCAATGTCCATGTGGTGGCATTGCCACCAAATGTGTACTTGTTTGTGAGTGAAAAGTAAACGTCTCAAAATGATTTATAAATCCATTTCTTAACTCGTGTATCAGTAAATGGGTTATAATGGGTTAGTTATATCCAATAAATAGATCATAAATTGATATAAACATAATATGGATATTAAATGGGTCGTAAATGGGTTTACAACTTATTTAAACTCAACTCATCTCCCTCGCCCTCACTCACTCTGTACTCTCTTTTCAGTTTGAGTATGAGTTTTCCTAGATTGAGTTGAATATGTAAGTGTTTTAGTAATACGGGTTGGGGTCGGGTATGTGTCAGTAGATTTGCATTACATGAAAATGGGTCAAAACGAGTTAAATTGGTCTATTTGAGTCGGACCATTTTCGACCCGACTTATCCGTTTGACAGGTTTAGTGAAAAGTGGATAATTCAGACGGAGGGCAAATGTTGAAACACGATTAATCGATAAGGATAAAATGAAAAAAAAAAAAACAAACAAACAAAACTACCGCTTAAAGGGCCAAGGTGCTTTGCCGAGAACGCTTCAAACCCAAAGCAGGGACCTTCCTTCGGATTTTGACCATTATCAAAGGCAGCTTTAAGTCAAAATATTTTTGAAAAATGGTTAACAAACACCCAAACTTTGAAAAGCATATGCAACCCCATAATCATATCCATTTTTTGCCTTGTCCTTTCACTAAGATGAAGTAAAGAAAAATAGGAAAAACTAGCTATTATTCTTCAAAAGGCAAACAATGAAAAAAGAAAGAGAGAAAGAAGAGATTATATTAGAAGTTTGAATGATACATTTAAAAAAGAGTTAATATCACGAAAAAATAAAAGGTAAAATCTCAAACTGGTACATCCATCAATTATCATTTGTCATTTAACTCAGCAATTTGATAGTAAAATTAAACGGAGGGTAAATTTGTCACAAACGTATCTGTTTTGGATTTTTTGTGGTCAAAAAATTAGTTTGGGGTAAATTTGTTACATGTGTAAAGTTCGAGATTTTTCGTGTTATTAATCTTTAAAAAAACAATGGAAGAACAAAGGAAAAGGCAATTTAGCAATAACTTACACTATTCTTCATGTAAAAGAATTAGGACTAGAAATCAACAAAACAAAAGATTGCGGGCCGGAGCGGGACTTCCCGACGATGCCGATCACATACATCCTCATCTTGCTTTGTATGTGCAGCATGAAAGTTCATCCCTATCATTGTTCCTAAATTATGTCGATAGCTTTTCCAGATAATTATTTAGCGACGTTCATAGTCTGAAAACAAGTTTAGCTTCTTAAATTTCTAGTACGCTCAGCGCTTCAAGATATGCAAATTATTTGGAATGGATTGCTTAATGAGCACCAATACTAATTGACAAAACTTAATTTCTGTTGCCAGTAAAAAAAAAGGTTAATATCACCAAAAATCCAAAATTGGTATACCTATGATAATTTATCCCAAATTATTTTTTTGACCACAAAAAACCCTTCACCGGTACACTTGTAATAATTTTACCCAAAAACTAATTTTTTGACCATAAAAAACCTCAAACTGATATACCGATAACAATTACCCTTTGTTAATTTCCGTTAAATTTTATTGTCAAATTACTAAGTTTAATGACACATGGTAATTGATAAATGTACCAGTTTGAGGTTTTACCCATCTGTTTGTCACAAGTTTACCAATTTGTGATTTTTTATAATATTAATCCAATTTAACGGACATTAATGAAGGGTAAATTTATCACAAATGTACAAGTTTTGGATTTTTAGTGGTCAGTTCGGGTTAAAATTATCACAGGTGTACCAGTTTGGGATTTTTGGTGGTTAAAAAATTAGTTCGGGGTAAAATTATCACAAATGTACCAGTTTGGAATTTTTTATGGTCAAAAAAATAGTTCGAGATAAAATTATTACAAGTGTACCAGTTTGGGGGTTTTTTGTGGTCAAAAAAATAATTCGGGGTAAAATTGTCACATGTGTACCAATTTAGGATTTTTCGTAATATTAATCCTAAAAAAAATAGAGAATTGGAAAAAGAAAGACCGGGCCAACAGTAGTCAACCAAATTCAATCCGAACTCCACCCACGCAGAACCAATCCCGGCCGTCCAGCTGTCCACGTTCGGACAGCGCCCTCACCGTCCCCCGATCCCCCCAAATCCAACGGACACCGGAACCCACCTCTCGCTCACGTACACAAAAGTAATCCATAAATTCAAAAATGAAAAAAGAAGAAGATGATAACGACACGTACCGTTTTTGAACTTTAACCTAACGATGTAATGTGATCCCCGAAATTTTAATTTGTTTATTTTGATCCCTGAACTTTAACCTAATATTCAACATGATCCCTGAAATTTTAATTTGTTGAATATCGCCCCTGAACTTTGGGTACATGTTCAATTTAGTCCCTGAACTATGTAAAAATATTTAACGTAGTCCCTAAATTTGAATTAATGAAATGACTATATCGAACATTTTCGTGTGATTCAAGGACTAAATTAAACATATACAAAAAATTCAGGAGCAATATTGAATAAATTAAAAATTTAAGGACCGCATTGAATATTATACACACGGGGCCAAAGTTCGAGAATGGTTTCTTATCATTTTCTTTAAAAAAATAAAAAATAAAAAAAAGGGGGAAGAAGAAGCAGCAGAAATAAATAAATAACTAGAATAAAAACGGAAAATGGAAATGAGAAATGGGGACGAGAGAAAAGTCGCGAACCAGACGAACCAACCAAATAATAATTAAATCCCGAATTCAGCGACTCCTTCCTCGTTTCCATGTTCCTCTCCTCCCCCCCCCCCCGATCGTTTCACGCATCTCCCCCTCTTCCATTTCTCTCCCTCCCTCTCTCCTCCTCCTCCTCCATCTTCATCATCTGACTCCTCATCGTTCGACGATCTCCCGTGCGCAATCGCAGGCCGGGGAGGCTTGATTTCCGCCTCAATTATTCCGGCAGCCTAGGCAATCGGATTAGGGTTTCCTCCTTCTCCTCTCTCGGGAAAGGAACGACGTTCGGTGAGGTTGTTGGGTTGGGTCGGTTGATTGGTTGGTTGGCTGGTCGGTCGGTTTGTTTTTTTTTCCGCCCCCTCGAGGGAGAGATTATGGGGTTGAAGGGCGACGACGACGTGGCGGTCGACGACGGCGACGGCGGAGGCAGGTCGGTGTCGTGCTCCATTTGCCTCGAGGTCGTCATCGACAATGGGGATCGGTCGTGGGCCAAGCTCCAGTGCGGTCATCAGTTCCATTTAGGTGAGATTCTGAGTTTCGGGTCGTTCTTCTTTCTTTCTCGGGGGGATTGCATCTCTGAGATCCGATCTGCTTGAAGTTTGTTCGTTTTTTGTTTTGGTTTGGGGGATTTCTGGATGGGCTTTGAGATTGACTCCTGTCGACTGAAATTTTGGCGAATGTCAATTAATTGGGCTGCGATTAGATTGAGGTCGATGGCTCTTGACGGAATATGCGATTTTTCTTTCTCCTTTATTCTTTGGCTTTGAGCATTCGTGCTTTGATGAGTTTGGGATGATGTGATGAGTCGATCGGTTTATCGAAGATTGAATTGGTCCTTGCATCTTGATCTTGAATTAAGAAATTTACTTGGAACTGAATTAGATCGATTAAATTTGGTCAAATGGAGAGAACTATACCACGACAGAAGGCGGACGCCCTGGATGTTAATAGCGAGTGAAGTTATGCGAGTCTTAAATGTTGCTTGGTGCATCGGCTGCGAAGATGGAATTTTTTCTTCGCAAGCGGTGTTAATCAGGATCAAGTGGCCACACATTAGAGTGAATGGCTATTCGCTTTCGTGTATGAACCTTAAGATGCGGATTTGCTCCAAGTTTCGGAAATCTTCTTTGAGTTGTGATGGTTTTGTGGGTGCAATGGAAGTTAAGAAGTTAGATTTTTCCCAGCAATGGGAAAGAAAAAGATAAGAACCTATGAATCTGTATACCGCCTTTGAAGTGAAACTTTTCTTTCAAAGCGTGCGGTCATACTATTTAATGATTTATCTGATAACAATGACAAAGATCCTACTGATGTTGAGAGCTTTATTTAGGAAGACGGGGTGGATCATTCTTAAGTTTGGATGCCAATTGCTTGCATGATGCCGGATCCTTATCCATTGAGTGAACTAGTCATCTCATTTGTCGCAACAATTCTTTTTCGCTTATGATTTTGACTGATTTTTAAAACAAATGACAACATCTTGCTGAGAGTTCAGAGCTCTAGGGCAGTGAATCTTTTTGAAGTGATATCAATGGCCTGCATGATGCCTGATCTTGTGGTCCAGCTCAGTTGGAGTCATTTTGGTTTTCTATTGGCAACAACAGCCTGTTATAGTATATGATTTTGACTGATCCTTAAAACCAGATATGGTTATGTAGGTTTACTTGCTGAGAAATCAATCATATTCTAATTGTTGGAAGAAAGCTAGCATCTCAGATGAAATTGTTTACATCTTCTGATCAGCAAAATGCTCAATCTCTCTTCTGGTCCACATATTTGTTCTGATAGATGGAGCCTTTTTTTTGAAGTTCTTTTTATTCATTGTCTTTCAATTCACCTCCTTTCAGATTGCATTGGTTCTGCATTCAATTGCAAGGGTGCAATGCAGTGCCCAAACTGCCGGAAGACTGAGAAGGGACAATGGCTTTATGCTACTGGTTGCCGTTCACTTCCTGAGTTTAGCTTGGATGACTGGGCCCATGAGGAGGATCTATATGACTTAAGTTATTCTGAAATGGTAAAGAAGCATTTTAATTATGATACTATTCCTCATTTGTTTTATTAATGTGCGCACTGTTATTATTAATTTTATAATGGTTAATGCATTCCTTCATACTCCTTATTGTTTCTGTTCAGGCTTTTAGTAGTTTTGGATATCGGCTTCCCTCTCTCTTTGTTTTTTAGAGTCTGTTTTTTCTTAAGGAAGTTCCGCCTTTTTTTATTCCTTTTAATTAGAAAGCGCTGCATATCCTTCTTTTAAGGCTTATGTATTGCTGCCCTACCTTACAGAAGATAGCATTACCTTACTGTAAAACAAACATAGAGTAAAATTATTAGGCGACATCGTATCGAATTCCAATACATCAGATGTACATTTCAGTTGGTTTATATGTATTTAATACACCTGATCATGGTTACTTTGGAAGTATTGCTCCTCTAATCATTCTTAAGAAAGGAATTGAAAGAAAAAAGGCCATTGGCCCAAATTAGTTGGCATCAAGTTTAAGAATACCATAGTCGAGATTTCTCTCTCTAATGGGATTTATTGTTCGTTTACTGCAAGAGAATAAGGAGAAGTAAAAGTATACCTCCTTTAATATCCATTACATTCCTTTCTTCTTTGGAACCTATAAAACAAAGTTGCGCTGCTCTCTTGAGTTTTCAATTGAAGGCAAAGGAAGTTTGTCATTTACCTATGATACTTGTTGCTTGTGTAATTAGTAGATCATTAGCAAGTATCCTGCATCGCCCTGAATAATATCTCCCTTCAGAGGAGGTCTCTACTTTTTGAGGCTTTAAGAAATTGAATTTATACTCTAGTAAATTAAGATTTGGTTTGGCAAAGAGGTACATTAAGTGATGTGAAAGACTTAGTATATTGAGTGTTTACGGGCCAACATATTAAGGGAACTCGATGCGATACACATAATTGGTGCTCGAAACTTGGGATTGATCTCGATTTCAATCAAATATAAATTTTGTTTGACCTTGACTCAAACGAATGATTCAATATTTGACACGACCCAAGCAGACTTAATATCTGGTGTAAAATATAGAAAAAATGTACAGTCTTTGCCATTAAATTATACTTTTGATTGAAAGTTAGACGTCATTTTCGAAACCACAGTCTAGAAAACAATTTCAGTCGAGCTCAACTGGCTTGTGTGTGGCTCAGCTTGTTTTCACCGAGTCCATCTTGTGGTCAACCACACAAACCAGTATCTTTTTTAGACTATCAAATGTGTTCTTTATTTTTTGAATCTCTAGCAGTCCTTTAGAGGTGACTTTGAAGTAGAGACTCATGTCATGCTGTAAAATGGATTAGTTGCTCCTCTTGCTTCATGCGATGGTGTCACGAGGCACCATATAGTTAGCTTCACCTAGGCCAAGTTTTGGTATTGGTTCCAGTTACTCTTTTTATACCTGGAACAGACGGCCGGTTCAACTGGTTGAGCTGGGAGCTCTCTGGCCATCCTCTTAAGTTATTTCTCGTATTGGCTGCCGGTTCATTTGGTGGATGGGCAAACTGGACTGGTCTCCAAACTGGATTTAGCTGGGTTTGACAGAAGTGAGTATTGAACTAGATGTTTTTTTTTTTGGTCGAATAGTATTGAACTAGATTTGAGGAGCGTTATTCAGGGGCTTTTCCATATGGGCTTGAGGCTACTTTTGTATGGAAGTGGGTCTTTCTTCACTTGTTTGGCTGATGTCATGATATAGCAAAACAATTTGTAATATTGGAGTGAGGCTCGAACCTTGGAACTTTGGGATAACATTCACGCTATATTACCATAAGAATGGGTGTGCTTCACATGTCCATTGGTCTAGGGACAGACCTGCATATTGAATGGCAGAGGCTTTCGCTCCCACTTACTATTCTGATAGTTAAAAATAGTCGAAGGTTTGTGAGTTATTCTTGATTTTTTGACCTAAAAAAAATAAATTTTGCTATCATTGAGTTTCCTAAAAGATGCATAGCTAAGCCGATATTTAAATTTTCAATTTCAATTTGTCCCCGCAAATTGTAAACCTTTTTAACAATTTGGAAATACAAATTAGCTTTTGCAAGGATTTTAAAGTGTGAGAACATTACTTTTCTTTGGATCATAATGAGAACACTACTATATCACCTGAGACAATTACACTTGATTTATTCGTAGTGTGTGACTACATTACTTTTCTTTGGCTCACGGTGAGAACACTACTTATATCACTTGAGACAAATACACTTGGTATTTTTGTATCGTTTTGGTAAAATTTTTCCCCACTGAGAAAAAAACTTTGTATCTGTCCCTGCATTGGTCACAGATGTTATATTTGTATTTTTTATAGATAATGATTCAGCATCGGTTGAACCACCAACTGGCCACTTCAGCGGTTCTTTGATATGTCTGGTTTTGATAGCTTATGTTCCGTTTAGTGGCCATACATAGTGGAAAGAAGTTTTGTGGGATTGTACTTTTTAATTGTTCGAGCATCTTCTATCCCTAATAACTGGAGTTTGGTTCTGGCCAGGGCTAAATTGGGAAAACCTTCTCTTTTGGGCTTGCATTGTTAGGGGCAATCCTTTCTCTGATGAAAATGTATTTCTTTTCATCGAGAAGCTTTGAGATTAAGACATGTGGTCAGAAGGACTTTTACACCATATTTGGGAAGAAGAGGGAAGAAAATGAGATAAATTTCAGATTTTTGCTCTCTCTACTCACAAAAGTTTGACTTTTTTTCATTTTCCATCCAAGTTTTGTTCTTCCTCTTTTCTTCATTTTCCAAGCGTAGCACTCAGAGTTCATTCCTTTATTTTGTACCATGGCTAGGATGTATTCAGAGTCCTAGAGCGAACTAAGTTGACAGGTTTGCGAAGGGCTTCTAAAATTTTGCAGACTTTCGGTGGTGGCTTATAGCTCCATGTTTGTGTCCTGATTCTTTTACTGCAATAGTTGGCTCTGAGGATTCAGTTAATGGATGGAAAAAGATGAAATTACTTGCTTGAGTGGTCTCCTAATTTTACTTGAGAATTGCGAAACCAATTATAATATCTGTCTCACTTTCAAATGATACCTGGTTATCTTGCTGAGGAGGGAACTCAGTGTCGCGACCATTCTTTACTAAGTAGTCATGTTCTCAGGACATCCTTGCACTTTGTGCATTTATTTACGGAATTTATCGTTATATTTTTCTTTCTCAGTGTTGTCTGATATTGTTTACTCTGTGGGATGTCATTGCAGACCTTCGGGGTTCACTGGTGTCCATATGGACAATTGGCAAGGCTGCCTTCTTTTGAGTAAGAGTTTTTGGAGCTCTAATGCTTACCTCTTATTATTTATTAATCATTTCTCTGATTACCTTTAAATTCTCTTTTTTTGACATGGAAGAACATTCCCAAGTTCCATGCTTGTAAGCAAGAGCTTTTCATGGTTATTTACTCCGCATGGAAACATTCATTACTTCAGCAGGAGTAGCGCACATTTCACAAATTGTAACAGGAAGTTCCTATAAGTAAAAAAAACTGTAAATGCACTGAAAGAAAGGGGAAAAGACCATCTCAGCTAATTTCTTAGTGGAAACCATTGAAAAATGGCTGTCTAATGTTACAAGGCGCATATATTCGTGATCAGTTTGTACATAGATAATTTAATTGTTAATTGCTTTCTTATGGGAAAAGCGGAATGCATTGATCAAAGAGTTGGAGCATCAGGCTAGATAAAATTAAAACCTAGCGGTGAGGATGCAAATGATGAGGTTACATCTTTGTAACTGTGGGATGTTGTTGACGGATTAGGTGTTGAGAGAAGGAAAAGAAAGCGAGTAATAAGAAGTTGGTGATAGGTGCCCTTTGATCTCTTCTAGTGCATGACTGATTAATTGTTTTTGGATTGTAAATTTATTCTCTATGCAAGTTTTTATCAGGCACTAAGCAGGATGTGCTTACGCATTACCCATAGCAACTGAGTGTTGGCAAGTAGAATTCCAAATTTAATTTGCGATTGATGAATGGAAGGATGCAAAGTTGACTTCCGTGGAGTTAAGTAGCAGAGTCAATACTTAGGGTGTTGTCGACAAGCAGTTACTCCGTGAGGAAGATAGGTCGGTTTGGAGTTTAATTTTTTCCCCCTTTTCCTTTTTTATTCAAACAGAATGAATGTTGTTGAGCTACGAGACTATAACAAAGAATTGAACTGAAATAAACTGTAAATCTGCTTTCTGTTTGTACTTATCTGTTGAGTAGATAGGTCAAGAGCATATCTTAATTTAGTCAGGATCACTATACTTTAAGTCAAACAGATAGAATTCATCTTGTGATGGACTGGACATATCTGTCTATGGGTCTAAGGCACCTTGTGAGTCAAGGAGAATGGAGTGGCCTACTCGTGCATGTTTGTCTTTAGGGTCTTGTACCAATAAACCATTAACACGACTTTAACCTTATTAATTTCTTAGTGGGCTTAGTGGGCACATGTCAATCTCTCTCTCTCTCTCTCTCTCTCTCTCTCTCTCTCTCTCTCTCTCTGTGCAGTAAGAACTTCGGAAATTTGTTCTTCTTGTTACTTTTCAGCATTTTATTTATCTGATATTCAATATGATGTTTTTGCAGTGAGGGGGAAATTTCGGCACCTGCATGTAAGATTCTCTTGAACATCTTGAGCAGTAGTTTTCTGAATTTTAAGTTGTGGAGGGTGTGTTACTTATCAATGCCGAAATGCAGATAATGATCTCCGGGTGCATCATACTATGTTTTCTGAGCAATCTTCTGTATCATCTGCTGCTCATCCCTGCCCGTACATCGCTTATTTTGGACCTATTCACCCCTCCACATCTAGTTCGAATGGGAGCATCCCAGATGGTACAAACTTTAGTAACCCTTGGAATGGCCCATCATTACCTAGTGAAGTTCCAAATTCTTATGCCTTTCCCGCCATGGATGTTCAATTTCATAGCTGGGACCAATCTCCTTTCTCTACCAGCAGCAGACGTATTGGTAATGCTGATCAACCTTCAATTCCGCCTAATCCTGTTCAGAGGTCCTCTAGGACAAATTCTGACACAACAAGACCAGCATCATTTATGCATCCGTTCCTTGTTGGCCACAGGTATGTATTTGAGAATAATGCTTAGAGTGCACTTCTCCTTTTAAAGCAAAAATGCTATTAAAATTGGTTAGAGTCGCTAGGATTGGGAATTGGGAGACTGACTGGTTTATCTGTCACCAAATAATAGTCTTACTCTGTAGCTGTAGAAGGCTTAGTTTCCTTGGATTGTTGAATAGACAGGATTATAATTATGTCCTCACAATTAAGAAACTGTTTTGAGGTAGTCCACTTAGTGGGCTGCCAGTTATATTTGGCCTTCGCTGAAAGATCACCAGGTTAAAGTTGACTAATCAATTGAGTGATGGTACCAAATTACCACGCTTAATTGCTTAAGCCTCATCTATAATGGGAATGTTCAAATTTCTACAGTTCTGGGGCTAGATCTGGGAGCTCAGTACCATCATCGCTGATTCCTCCATATCCGGGCAGCAATGCTCGAGCTAGAAATAGAGGCCAAGCTCTGCAGGCATTCTACCAGCAACAACCTAGTCATTCTCGTACGCCAATAGCTCCAGGGACTCGGCGATCTACAACTCACAGAGGAATGAGTCACATGGGTTCAGTGGCCTCATCGTCATCTGAACAGAGCAACGGCTTCTATTTTATCCCGGCAAGTTCCTCAGGCCCAAACTTCCAAGAACCTGAAAACCCCGTGTCAGCTCGTTTTCATGCGTGGGAGAGGGATCATTTGCAGTCATATCAACCAAGCCAGGTTGAGAGAGAGTCCATCTGGCATTTCCACCAGCCTGCAGGTGGATCAGAATCAGGAATCAGGTCCAACAGCTTCCGCCTAAGGCACGGGTCTGAGAGGACTCCTCACTCATAGACTTAAACGTTATCCCTTTTCCCCGGTGAAGCAAAAACTGCAAGTACTATGACTCAGAACTGATATGTATGCTTGAACAATACTTCATGCTTGCTGTCTGTGAGTCCTGTTCCAATCAGACTCAATCTGTGGAGTGGCCGAGAAAAAACAATCTTTTGGTAGCCACGTCCGTGCCCACGCGCACGTAGTGCTGTGGTGGACTCTTTAAGTTTCTTTAAATACTCTTCTTATTCAAGATCTGCCAAAAAGAAAACGAGATAAAGCTCTGAGAACGGCCAGTGTCGGACCTAGTCCCGGAAATTTCCAGCCTGATCATGGAGTCGAGGAAGCATTTTGTATGTGCTTGCGAAGTGGTAACTCCTCGCAAAACTATGTCGATTTGGGTGGGCATAAATGCTAGATCTATCCCAGGAAAAAAGGCTAGAATATACCCACCCGAGGACTGAGTTGGCCAGAAAAGGCCTTGGAAGTAGTTCATATGGGATGTTGCTTGATCTATGTTTTGGGGTATTTGTGATTTGCAAGTTGTTTGAAAAGTGCCCTTTGTTTGCAGATCAGGGAAATAAAAATGAACTCTTATTGTGCAGTGATTTCTACGTCAACATTTCTAGCGATTCTATGCCTCCTTTTTCCTTAATTGGCCTTTGGTGATAATGTGAATATGACGGAATCAGATTGATACTGCTTTCCTAATAGCTATAGTGTTGTGCTCCACGACCAACAAGATCGTTCTCGGACCAGTAAAGAGGACTCAAAGAAAGCAACTTCAAGATCTCGAAGTTCCGATGACATCAATTAGAAGTAGTGGATAACATTTGTTTCTAACCGTTCAGGTTTCTTTCGGCATGGCTACACCTATTCCTCGCTTCCTCACGCCTTTCCACGACACCGAGCGATCAGCTCTCGCGTCGAATAAAGTCAAATGAAACTACAGAGAGACCCGGTCCCTTAACTTAGCCCTCGCGAACCTAATTTGCTAAAGATTGGACCCCGAAGTCATAACCAAGGTAACAAGGGACCCCTACCTATATTAACTCCAAAATCAAGATACGTCTTTATCTTGGCAAAACGGACCTAATCCAGGAGGAATATGGTTTTCTTCCCCAACAAAGGCAGGATCGACTATCGAATAGCCAAATGACTCGCAAATGCCGGATTAACCAGTGTCGTTCCAATTTTTTGTATTCAGCAGAATCGCAAGTATGTACCCCAGAAACAGGTGGCCAACCAAATCTCAAACTAATCTCAGAAAAGCATACTTTAAGGTTGTGACATGACATGGGTAACGGACCATTTTAATGATGTCGCTGACTCCTAAAGATAATACTGAGTATAAAGTCTGTTCGCCAGAGCAAAAGAGTAACTATACGTATGGTGCAATACATAATTTGCCCAATGATACCGAATCTGTAAGCACACTCAATTTGTCATCAAACGGACAAAAGCAAAATCTATTCATCTAGCTCGCATTTCTAGGATCTTGGCCTTCAACCAAGAGACGATATAACTTTCTCCCATCCCAAGAGACTGGGAGAGTCGGAAAGCCATTCTCAATAGTATTCCCTAGAGTCCACCGAACGGCTTCGAGATCGAACCTGACAAAACAAGACCACAATCAGATGCAACATAGAACCCACTTACATCGCGTAAATGCATTATCAACTGTACATGAGTATATGAGGTGCGCGCACATGCGCGTGCACGTGTGTGTGTGTGTGTGTGAGAGAGAGAGAGAGAGGGAGAGAGAGAGAGAGAGAGAGAGAGAGAGTACAGAAGGCAAGCGAGATCCAGATAAGCTGCTTCCTGGGCTTCGACCTGCACGTTTTCCGCGAGGAGCCTGTACAAGTATGAAAAGATAGCTGAGAATAGTGTCAACGCAGCATATGCGGAAGCATATCAACTCAGATTTCAATTTCCTTCACACGCACAGCTTCCCAACAGGGAATAAAAATGAGCTCTCACTAATATTTCACTTACAGGTGACAGCGGAGTTCTTGATCTTGAATGAGATCTGCAAAAGTGTCCAGATATTAATACCATAGTAAACCACTTAAAACACTTTGAGACCTCTGAGTATGATCAGGCTCAGCATTCAACAGCCTCACGTTTGACATAGTCAAATTTCCATAGAGAACCCAAAGCATTATCCTCTTCCAGCAGGAGAAGAATAGATTTCCTTTCACTGTCGCTTACACTACAATAAACCTAAATTTTTGAGTCACCGACAGAGAGTCAAGCCTGGTTTCTGGATGTTAACATGCATTGCTGATCCGTAATACCAGCTGCATCGCATTAGAATCTATCTTGAAATCATCACATCCACGCACGACAGACTCAGAGAACACCCAGTGCCAGATGGCATGCCATGTTTTACTATTAATTCAGCATTGGTGTAGTTCCAGTTCTGTAGCCACTCATTACAAAACAGGATTTTACCTCAACAACTTACAGAGTAGCACCACATCCCATGAAGGTCCTTATGAGGGATCCCCAGGATGCCAGAAGATTCCTGATCTAGCAAGCAAACATGTCAAGTCTCATAAACAAAAGGCATGACAAGGGATTAGCACGGTAGTTTCCTATCTCCAGAGTCCAGTCCAGGGAAAGAAGTTGCAATGAGGAAAGAGGGCAAACAGTAGAATGTTTTCGAGTGGACAAATTGAAATGGACAAAGAACACTTCAGAATTTTTTGCAATGGCAAGCCAAGATTTAAGATAACTTTTAGACTGAATGCTGAAAGGTTGAGGATGAATCAAATTGTCTGCAAGTGTAATTCCACCTTGCTGGTAAAGCTCAATGCTGAGTGATATGAAGACACAAAGGAAACTGCGTAAAAGGAGTTGGAAGAAAGCAAAATTACTATCCGTTGAACGAGAGCCCAAAACCAGCTCAAGGAGTACCACTACTCACTCAACTGAGTGCCCAAAACCAGTTCACAAATCACCAAACAAATACATGGCCAAGAAAAGCCAAGCGCAGAATGCAGTTTACCAGACCAAGCACCAAATCAACTGAGATGTTTTTCCCCATAAGAATTATCCATTTCATATTTAGTAGGACTAAAATAAGCTATCCAAACAAGTAAGTCGGCCTGGACGATCTCAAACCACAAAATTGTTGGAAGAAAATTCTGATCCATGAACCACCACCTGCCGAAAAGAACTCAAAGGCAATGAACAATACTGACTTCCCAGTTAGGTTGATCTTTCCGTCCCTCTATTCCATAGTTCAGAGAAATCTTTTTGGAAAGCAAAAAGTGTAGGATGACAAATAAGGAAACCAAGGGAAAGCTACTAATTTCAACGAATTTCAGCCATACATGCACTCAATCTATAGAAGGAGTCTGAAAATCGGAGTCAACTGAAATTGAAATATTATGAAGTTAACTTACCTTGAGTAAGAGCGAGCATAAGACCCTGAGCGGGATCTAGAAGAGACAGACCTTGCTGGAGATACTGATGGAGAACGTCTTGAGTATTTTTTCCTAGGAGACCTACTGCAGAAGCATGCTGAGTCGACTCAGTCACAGTACATCATCGTATTTCTTCAGTAATTGTCAGCTTTGCCAAGATAAGTGAGACAAACCTTCTGCTTCTGTCACTGTAGCTAGGGCTGCGACTGGGACTCCTAGAGTAACTCCTCCTTGAATCATACTCTCTTACCTGCACAAATACAACCAAGAGAGAAGGAACCATTTAAACATATAAACTGCACACAAGATAAATAAATTGGAATTCGTCACCTTGAAAAGAGGCATGGTTCACTCTACCCGTATATAAGCCCGACTGAAGGCATTCCTGAATAAAGTGTCATCAAGTTTCTTGATCTACATTAAAACAACATATAATGTAGATTGTTTGAAGGAACTCTTCAAGGTAAAACAACATGAGATGGAATATTCATTAGACAACTCACGGCATATTTCATGTCATCATAGTTTGTGTAATCAACAATTCCAGTAACACCTGAAAAATGTATATCACGTGATATTAGCAAACATTGATGATAAAAAGAATAAAGACATTTACAGAGTTTTTTGCTGCATACCATCACGATCACGGAATACTTCAGAAAAACAGACATCTCCTGCCCGACGCATGTGATCCTACTCATTGGATATATTCTCGGTATAAGTACAGTTACCAAATCCAACCAATAAGCTGAATCTTATATATAAAACATATGACATCAAATGCCATCTTACCTTCAGGTCCTGCCATGATGCCGAAGAAGGCAATCCAGTGACCAAAACTGCAATATAGATTATTAGCGTTTTTAAGTTTCAATCTGCTAGGCTGTGTTTCTACAAGGCACCATATCAAGAAGCTACATACCACGATAGTCAGAGTGCCTGCCAACTCCTCCACGGCTACTTCCGCTGCCACTGTAGCTTCCATACCGGTCCACAGATGAAGAATATCCTCGCCCACCATGTGCCAGCTCAACCTGCATAATGCAAGAAATTGATATTACGCTTCTTTTCTGCCCATGCAGAGTAGTAAGACAGAGAAAGTTCTACAGAAATATAAACAAAATATGTAGAGTGCCAAGTCAGGAGACTCACTCGCAGACGGTACCCATCAAACTTACATCCATCACGACCACGAATCGCATCTTCAGCATCACGAGGGTCTTCAAACTGTATCAGCATAAAAGTCCATCAATAACACGGGAAAGATCCGATGTATTAGGAAAACTTATGCAAATATTCTTAAAAGCAACAAAAAGATAATGCCTCTGACATTGGACTTCAATCCTCACCTCAACAAAAGCATAACCTGGTGGTCTGGGAGGGATCTTCAAATCAATGTCGACAATGGGCCCATACTGTAAGGAGATTGTCAATCATGAGCGAATAATAGAAATCAAAATGATCAGAACAGAGCTCAAGAGACAACCTTATACTGAAGCTGTCAATAGGATGGTCACAAGGTAGTAGATTTAAATGTTCCTAAGGTATGACGAAATCGACTTGGAGCATTGGAAGCACCACAATTTGTCAATTGTCTTTGACGAAATATTCAAAGGAGCACTTTGCAAAAAATAAGAAGAAGTCTCAAATCTCAATAGAGGAAAACGTGTTTATAGAAGTCTCTGCAACTTTTACACAATGAAAACCATTTTATTTGCCGGATTTTCAAAGCAAGTGTTGGGCACATGATAATGGGAAGCTCCAAACAAAAGATGTTCTCAGCAGTCATAAGACTCATTACAACACTTGAATGAAGATTGTCACTACAGAAGATCATGTAGCAGACAAAATTTTACAACTGGGCAATTGCACTTGAAAATCCTGGATAAATATTTTGAAGAGTTTTGAGATACATTTCCTTCCTTTGATCTATTCTAATAGAAGCTTCTTCTTTATATTTTGTACATTTGTAGATCACAAATAATTTTGCTTGTTTTCAAGTGCAAAAGCCAAATATTCAACAAGTATAGAAAAAAATAAAATAAAATAGTGTGCGGAATAAGCTTTTTTCCTGATTGAACTCACAGAAACTCCCAACCTTCATGAAGGGTTACCACTTCCAAAGGGTAGATGCATAGTTCGGATGTTGTATCAAGTGAAAATTCCTAAATATGTGTCCATTTATCTAGTTGCCAATAAAAAACAGCTCCAGCTCATTAATCTTAATCATATTGATGTACTTCTCAACCTTACATTCGATGATCTACGCAATGTGCATTTGACCTTTCTAAGTAAATAAAGAAAAAAAGGAAAAAGTTCAACGTGGCCAATGCACATATTATGCATACCCACAAAGTAATATCGACAATTTTTAGACAACGCTCATAGAAATATTAAATTAATAAAAAAATCCATGCTTCACAGAATCTTGAGAAGAGGAGTAGCATGGCCACCTTGTAGAACAAGTCTTCAACTTCTCTATTCCGGACATCCCCCGGCAGATTCCCGACGTAGATTGTGCAGCTAGAACGGCGGCTCATTTTCGCTTTTCCTGGAAAGAGAAAGAATTTACCACATCAAGAAACACACATCCTCTACCGAGCAACTCGCATCATCAAATCAAGCGCCCGATACCAGTGTCCACGAAGTCTCATCTCGTCCGTAGCAAACCTCATCACCCAACAAATATTACACGCCTTCACCAACCTACCCCCCAAAAAGCACAATGCACATACAATTTTCTTCCTTTTTCTTTTTCAAAGGAAGGCCACAATGATGTTCGAATACATAAATATCAAACCACGCATTCATCTACCGGCTTAAACTTTTAGCACAATTAGCAAAAGAACACTATGATCACCCGAAACAAAGTCAACCGCAAGTTGAGAAGACGAAAACAAGCGAAGAACAATACACGGGCCGATGATCTCAAAAAAAAAAAAAAACGCGACGCGGCACGGGATCGGACTAACAAGCCGCCGGAAATCAACACGAAAACCGGACAGCTCAAAACCGCCGGACCTCGGCGCCGACAGATACTGACGGAGAGCTTCGGAAAGTTCCAACTTCGAAGCAGGAAACGAGAGGGGATGAAACGCCCGACGGATCGCCTCTACCCAGCACGAAACCGAGCGACGATACCCATCAGAACCGAGAGGGAATTCCGTAGGCTTTTTGAAAGCACGAAGAGATGCAAGATCGCGCGGGATCGAGGAGAGACGAGGGCGTTACCTGCACGAGGAGGTCGCGGAACTTGGCGAGCTGACGTTGATTGTTGGAAGCTTCGAGAGACGATGATGATGAAGAGGAAGAAGAAGGAGATGAAGAAGAAGAGGAAGAGGAGGAGGAGGAGACGTATATAACCGGAGCTTCTGGTAAGCGCGGGCGCTCGCCCTCTCCCGGCCGTTGGATCGTCCAGAAACAAACGACACGTGTCGCCGTCTTTACGTTTGTGATTCGTTTTTCCTTTTTTGTTTTTTTTTTGGGGGGGGGCGAAAATGGTTCGTGCTGGCATTATTGAAGCTACTGGGCCCAACAAAGCCCAAATAAATTTATGGGCCCAGCCCAAACCTTGCTCATACGATCGCAATGTGGACGTAGCCCAGTGTCGTTGTGAGCTTAGATGGGTAGGGAGGGGCAAATACTTGTGTGGGACCCGGCCCACGTGGAATCGGCGAAGGATGACCGCCGTTGTGGGACCCATGTGAGGCCCACATAATCAATGACCGAGATTAATGAGCCCCCACCGGTAGGGGTGCCAATTGGTTTGGTTTCGGGTTTTTGAAAATCCGAACCCAACCGAATCGAACCACTGCGCGTACGCTTGAACTGAAAACCCCGGATTAGATAAGAAAATCATGTTGAGGTTTCTCGTGGTGATTTTGAGAGAGGTGAGAAAGAGTATTCGGTTTTTATTGAAAATTTTAGTTGGTTTGGTTAACCAAATCGAAATAACCCAAGCCGAAAGAAAAGAACAGTTATTTTTTCATTATGTGAACTGAAACTCGAACTGGTTCGGTTCGGTTTCGATTTCGATTTGATTTTTGACACCCCTACCCCTAGTCGTGCATCGGATTCGAGCAGGAACTTGCTGCAAGGATGGCAATTCGACTTCCTGATGGATGCTCATGATTTGTGGGTTTTTCGAAACTAGAGGTAGGGCCAACCGAATATGTTGTCATGCAAAAGGAGTGGGGCAAGGATGGATCTAGTCGTGTTCGCCACTGAGTTGGCCCCCATCTTCCACCATAACCCTTTTTACTCGTAAAATCAATGCTTAAATTGTAAGATTTATACAACATGGATCTTGATGATACTTCTTTGTTGCAATTTGACCAATCAGTTTTTCTTGCATCCTAGAAGAGTTAGAAGTTAGATACTATACCAGCAATTAATTATTTTGATCCAATTCTATTCAAAATATCTCATTAGAATGATTTCTTTTTCTTAATGGGATTGTTTATAAAGGTAGCATAACTAAAGTTGCAGATACAAAATGTAGCAAAGGAACTAATAAAGAGAGATTAAAAGGGATTTTTCAAGTCTTGGATTTTGTGTAATATAGCGTTGTAGATTCACAAAAGAATAAAGTAAATCCAGTCACGTCAAGGAATTCTTGAAGCAGCTCTTCACATTGTAGTAAAAGCAAGACTTGCAAGCGGATCGACTCGCTAAATTTCTATTGAAACAGGATCGGCACAAGGAAAAGCGATTGTTGTACGAGGATGTTAGGAGCATCCCGAGAAACGTCCAATTCGTAATACGGCACGACTCGAGAAAATAATAAGACACAACTTTGCATCCAATTCAATTGGAATAGTATCCGCAAAGCTCGATTCAAATGAAAGATACAAACATTTAGTTGTAAGATCCACATGTCCTCCCTTATCATATTCAATGCCCTTTGAAGAACACAAACATTATGATCATTAGCTAGTCATATGATCTTCTGCCCTTTGCTTTTGCATGCAGAACAACCCATTGAACTTTCCGAACTAGTAATAGAGACCCCCAATTCCAATCTTTTTTCTAATCACAACATGTTGAATTCCACATGTGCAAGGCTTGTCTCGATTTGAAAGTGCAACAAAAGCAAGTGGAGCTGCAAAGGCTGAGATGACGAGGTGCCAAGCAACAAGCAATAGAGGACCAATTCCAATTCTTTACTCAAGGGATTCTCCTCAAAAGAGATGAACTAGGTCGGACCAGATTGCGACTTATTGGTACACGTTACCTTTCGACAAGACATCGATAGAAAGCTTCGCAGACAAGCGAATCTTTTGCCGATTCCGGAGGCACATGCGAACGTGACTACCCCTTAGTTTGGATTACGTGAGGGGGTTTCAATATAGTAGAGGAGCATTTTAGGGACCATTTTTATAAAGTAGAATGAAGTCCATGGTGACTCAAATAATCCTAAGTTGAACTTCCAAAGTTGACAGCTCGGCATCTCGAAGGCTCGGCATCTCGAAGGTGCGCGAAACACCCTGCAAGCCTTAGTAGCAGGTTAAGTTTGGGTCTTTGACCCATGCATGCAGCCCTGACGCAAAGCATCTTGCATATGATTGATGTGATTTGAAACGGTGACCTGCCGATCCCGAACTTGAAATCCATGTAACCCGTGGTGGTGTCGGGTATGTTGTAGCAGGGGTAGCTTTCCCCTCTCAAACGTGAAAAAAAATGTGGGGACGGTATCAAAAATTATTCTCGCTTTCCACCCAATTACCGCTTATCGCCAATTTTCGAAACTACAAGTTTGCGCGGCTCACTTAGTGCAGTCAACTTTGGTTAATTAATACTGTCATGAAGTTTACCAAATTGAGATTTTTGTTCCAAACATGCCCTTAGCACCATTTAGTTGGTAATGTGAGACTTACCAAACGAGCTCTACTAATTAAACATATGTTCGCCACTAGGGGTGTGCAACCGGACCGGGTTTACCTGGAAATTGGACTGGCCCATCCAAAAAACAGGTCCGGGAACCGGTTCCATTTTTTGGGAACAAGTTATAATTGGTCAGATTTCTGGTTCCAAGTAAAAATCGACCCGGACCGGTTTTAGAACCGGTTTTGAGATAATGTAAAAAAAAGTAAAAACCCTAGATCACGTTACCCTACTCGGCTACCCAATTTGTCTCTCACGGTTTCTTTCTTCTCTCTTCTCGACCTCCTCTGTCTCTCACGGTTTCTCTCTTTGCAAGCGCCTCCTCAGTCGCCGTAAGAATGCAACTCAGCTCATTGCCTACCTGCGTGTTGAAGAGGGCTAGGGTTCGGTCATCTCGGTGTCCGTATCGTGCGTGTGTTTTTTCCGCCTTTTTTTGGCTCGCCGATCTGATATATCTTTTACTTTGAATCGTTTCATTACTACCTATATTATTTTGTTAGAAAAAAATGAAACCAGAAAAAGGAACAAAAAAAAACGGGTTCTCGGGTCAACCCTAAAATCGGATCGGAAAAATAGGGTCGGTTCCAAAACAGGGTCCAGGGAAAACAGGGTAGGTTTCAAGTTCCAAAAATTGAAAACCGGTTATAACAGGGTTGGTTTCAGGTTCCAGGTCTGGACCCAACCCACCCTGGAACTGATCACCCCTATTCGCCACTTAACAACGATTCATCAATTCCATTCCGAGGAAGAACGAAGCAAGGAAATCAAACAGTGCTTATAATGTAATTTTTGGAACATTATTCACGTAAAATAAAACAGCAAAGCAATTTGACTGCGTTAAATTTCATCCTTGCTTATCTACTTACAAATGAATACGTTATCGCGTCTTCAACCATGCTGAAAATTTCTTTCAGCTCTGCTGATGCTATCGATACGCCGATCAACTACCCGATTTCGAGTCCCCTTACTAGATTTGCGTAGAAATCAAAGGCGTAACTCAATGGAAACCCTTCTCTCCAACTCTTCTTTTATTGCATTGAAATGCCCATGATTTCACACAATAAAACATCAAGAAACTAATAAACCATATGCCAAAAGGACCGACGATGTGATGTGATATGTGTGTGATGAATCATTATCCATAGTAGAAGAAAGCAAGAGGAGTGTCTTTAGCAATAATGTCCATTTTGAGAATTATAAAAAACTAAATCTATCCTTTTCGTCTTTGTTGAAATGGGCCACGAAAGTATAATTTATCATTTGTCATATCACAAGTGGATGATATTGGGGCCACGCATACCATCTCAAGTGGTGGAACCACATTAATTTAATTTCCTGCCACATGGAACCGGAGATCATCATTCAAAAGATCCAACTAAAGACAATATCTTATAAATTCCAATCACGGGATAATAGCACAAATCATCATTGAACTTTAATATAATGTGTAATGTCATTCCTGAACTTTTAATTTGTATAATATGGTTCAAGAATTTTGATCCAATGTGCAATATAATCACTGAACTATTGGCGAATGTTTAATGTAGTTTCTGGACTAAATGAAAATGTATAAAACTTCATGGACGACATTGCATGTTGGATCAAAGTTCGGTGATTGTTGATGCCGCTTTTCCTATCTCGAAGAGACAAAAGCAAAGACTCTTTTTGGGCTGTGTGCGTGTGCAACACTTTAGTTCGCACCAAAGGGAGATGACCAAACAATGCATGTTGGACCGTGTGTGCATGTCACTTTCCTTTCCTCCAATTGGCCTTTTGGCTACTAAGTTACTCATCAAGCGATATGGGTACAATGCGGAGCCCATGATTATACCTTGTTGTCGTTCCAATTCCGCAATCCTACTTCTCATTGCGTGGCCATTATTGGGTTCACGATTAAGAAGCCAAAATCCATATGTCTAGATTCGTTTTATCTCCTCAAATCATTCCAAAACGACTAGCGGACCTCTTAAAACGGGAAACTTACCAATTTCGGCCTATTATAGGATGCCAATTGAATTTTGAATTTTCTAATTTTTGCAAATGCAGACTCATATCTTTGCACGAAATTTCAATATAGTTCTTCTTACCAATTGACCGTAAAAAATGCCAACGTGGTCGGTTCTAGTAAAGTCGGCAACGTCTGCATGCGCGTAGGATGGCTGGCCGTAATCTCTGGCGATAATTGGTCGGAAGGACAACATTGGGATTTCGCACAAAGAATTTGGACAACATTGACAAAATTGAAGAAAAAAAGTCATAAACCTATTGCATTTGCGCCTGTTAAAATATGTCTCGAGTTTGAGCCCGACAGACGAAACCCGACTCGAGATTAATTATTATTTGTGGAGGTCTAGATATTCCGGATTGGGTATTTTACGGACGTCCGAATATATATTTCCTATTTAGTGTCAAAGTCCAAGTTGGATAAAGATTTCATGCAATTCAGAAAAAAAAAAGAAAGAAATAAAATCTGTTTTGATAGCCGTGCACATTGGGTGCGTTTGGTACAGCATTTGGAATGCTACTTTGAGAATGCAAATACCTTTGGGTGGAAGCCCTTTAGGAAAAATGCAAATGGCGTTTGGTAAAAACTCATTTGCAAAGCTATTTTGACCCAAGTGGTGTTTGGTTAATTTTTTTTACAAATGGGCTTTGGGGGGGTTTTTTTAAAAAAAAGGCAAAAATACCCTTCGCCGGCTCCGGTGAAGGGCTACGGCTCCGGCGAAGGGCTACGGCCGCCGGCGAGCCAGATCTGGCGCCGGCGGCCGTCGCCCGTCGCCGAGCGACCCCCGGCGAGGGACGCCGACCTCGGGCGACGAGGCCTGAGGTCGCGCGACCTCGGGCGACGGCGCTCGGGTCGCGCGACCCCAGGCGACGGCGCTGGGTCGCGACCTCGGCGATGGTCGCCCGAGGTCGCGGGACCCAGCGGCCGCACCCCAGCGGTCGCCCGACCCCGAGCGGCCGCGCCCGGGCGATCACCGACCCCGGGCGGCCGTCGCCTGGGTCGGGCGACCTCGCTGGACCTTCGCCGTCGCCGGCCCTTCGCCCTCGCCGGAGTCCCTTTGGTGAAGAAGATGAACAGTAACAAGAGGGCAAAGCCGGAATATTGAAATTTGAGTGACGGTAGTTTGGGAAGTATAAAAATGATTTTGGCATTTGGTTCAAGGCTGAAAGTCCAAAGCTAGTCCCGATCAGCATTGGGCTTTCAGCATTGAAAATGCTAGTTTTGAGCATTTTCAATGCTCAATGCCAACCGTTTGGTTCAGCATTTTTGGGAAGGGGCTTTCGGGGCTGAAAGCCCCTTCCCAATGCTGAACCAAACGCAGCTATTATCCTCGGGAGTTGGCCGCGGAAAATAATAGGGCAATTGTCGAACTTTGACTGTGAGTTCTATGGCCAAAGATTATCCTAAGGGAAAGTCCAAATCTTGGACTTGTGAACCGAATTACACGCAATTTGCATCTCCATGTTGAAGTCGGCCACCGAATCTTTTGGAAATATATTATGTAGCCTTGAACTTGGCCGCAAGCAGAAGAAGTCTTTGTTGAAGAAGACTTCTTGAAGCGCCACTGGCTTGCGAGTGCTTGGTGTGCGAAGACGTGCAGAGGGAATTCGTGAATTACATCCATGAAGTTAGTGTTGAAGCCGATTAAATTCTTGTGGTAAGAATTTGTATTAATTCCTTCGTGAGATTGAGAGATTATTTCGTGAGTAATTGTGAGGCTAAGTACTGCGTGAGTTATTATATGTAATTGAAACTTGAGAAACACTGAGAGTGTTTGAGTGACTCGAGTGCAGTTATAATCTCCGTTGTATTACTTGATCTATAGTGGAATTCCGTGCTGCTCTTCCTGTGGACATAGGTCACTACGACCGAACCACGTAAATTTGGTGTCCGATTTATTTTCTTATTCTGTCAAATTTATTGTTTGATTGCTTGACTTCCGCAACAGTGCCAATTCAGCTCTAAACCACTCTATTTGACCAATTTAGTCTTAAACCTTTTGACGATTTGCCAATTTAGTGAAAGAAAAAGGTTGTGAAAAAAAGTGAGGTGAAAGAAGATTTGAAAAAATCAATAACAGGCCCGGCATGTTACATACATAAATCACATTTACTACGTCTAGCATTTTCCTGTAAAATACGAGTCGTCGTAAGCGTGAGCCTATCCTTATGGGTGATAAATGGAGAAAGAAAAGATAGAGCGATAAACGCGACCCAAGTGTCTAATACCAGAGCTGGATCGACAATTTCAAATCGAATCGAATTCAGAGATACGAACAATTAAAACAACATATTGATGGAAGACGCAGGCGGCTAAATGGAGAAATGCCATCTAAAATTTGTTTGCGAGTGGTGTAGGGATTACTTATCAAGTGGTCAATTATAGAAATGTATGAAGTTGATCGTATCAATTAAATATTAAAAAAAATTATTAAGAGGATTAAGATGAAGTAGAAGAAATAATTGTTAGATCACCTAAAAATGTGGGACCATCCCGGTTATTTAAAAAAGGAAGCCAAGAAAACACAGAAATGGTCCGTCACGTGACACGCACGTGCCCCTCCAACAATATCCGGATCGCGAGCCACGTGTCGGCCATCCGTTCAGAGTCGGAGTGACACCTGGGGCCCACGCGTCGCATCGCCCTTTATCTCTCATGATGCCCCGATCCGACGGCCCAGATCGCTTCGCCACCTGGCTCGCCGTTTAACGCCTCCATCGTCTCCATAAATACGATCCACTCACCTCGGCTACTGAAGAAGAAGACGATCAGCGAAGCCTTCCAGATCCGATTCCGTCGCGCACGCGCCATGAGCCTGCTCGACCACCTCTGGGACGACACCGTCGCCGGACCGACGCCGGAGAGCGGCCTCGGGAAGCTCCGGAAGCACAGCTCCTTCAGCTCCCGATCGAACTCCGGCAAGGGTAAAGACACGAAAACGAACGACCCCCCACCCCGTAACCCCGGGCCCTCGGACCCCCGAACGGTCCGAGGAGCAAGGAATCGTAACCCCTAGCTTGAACCGCCGGCGAGTTCGAATCTAACACGGAACGAGTCGTTAAAATTGATTTCACGAAAGAGAATAATCACCTCGTACGCCGCGTAGAGCGGTGCATGTCGCCTTAAATTCTGTTTGAGAATCCGATGATTCGGTTGGTTTCTGTGTGAGAGACACTTCGTGTGAGGATGATGGAGTTGGTAATGATTTCTTCTTCTTCTTCGTCTTTGTGGAAATCAGAGTCGGCGGCTGCGACTGCGAGGTCCTACGGCGGCGGCGACGAGGCGCCCAGTGAAGCGACGAGGAAGGTGACGCGGAGCATCACGATAGCGAGGCCGCCCGGATACCAGTCCGGCTCGCCGCCGGCTTCCCCGGCCGGATCGGTCACTCCCGGATCTCCCTTCTCAGGTAAACTCCGATCCCCCCATATCCTTTTTTTCCTGAGCCTCGAATCGTACTCAAGTCCCGGTCTTTTTTCCATTTCGGTTTTGCGACCTGGGTTTGCAACACGGATCCGTTCATGTAAGCTTCCGATCCCGTCGCGCGGTCGCGTCGAAGTCGATTTCTCTCATCGGAGAATGAAGAACTTGGCGCCCCTAGATCGGATGCATCGTTCTGTGTAGTCCCGTCGGGGCGAGATCGGGTTCTCCTGCGATCGTGGAGATGAACGGTCGGAAAGTCTCTAGAGATCTCCGGAAGGGCGGAGGACACTGCTGGGGTCGATTGGTGGGTGGGGGTCAATTCTGTCTTTTTCCGTGGACTTTTCCTTTCGGTTCTTTCAATGGAGTGGATAATGATTGGGAAGTGTTTTCCTGGAAGTTGCGTTGTTTCGCGCTAGCCACAGCTGGGTGAAGTGACGCTTTTGTCCTCGTTGACGTGCGGCCCCAATAATGCGGGCATGGTTTCGTCTTCTCCTTTCCTTTACAAACAATAGTGCTATTAACATATCAAGATTAACTATTGAGCCCCATACAAGCAACTCACTTCGCTTCATCCGCCGCATCGTATTATCAATCGATTTAGTGATCTTGTTTTACTGGGTATCGACTAACATCGGCGGACGGCGTGATCGTGATAGAAAAAAGGCGCGCTATCCGCACTAGATGTGATTAATTTGGCGGACGACGTGGTTGTGATAGAAAAAGGCGCGCTATCCGCACTAGATGTGATTAATTAGCTCAGTCGAGAAGGTGTGGCGGGCTGAGATCTAAGGATTCTGCCCTTAAGCTCTGCCTGTTGTCCAATTCAGAAAGGGTGTATGGCCATGACCGGCATGTCTTTGGACGACGAGATTGGTTTTGGAGATTCGGACCGCTATTCCTCGAACTTCAAGTTGCATTTCCGAGAGCAGCAGTCGAGGCTCGTGTTCAGATGGAACATTTTGTCGAACAGGTTATAGGAATGCGATTTGAGCGTCCGACTTCACTTGCATTTGCTATTTGCTTGGTGCATCTGCCGAGTTTCTGTGCTCACTCGTTTCATCTCATAGGTCTTTGGTGGGTGGTGCTTCATGCTGACATTCTTGTTTCTATTTAGGTCTATTTAGTTTCGTCGGGTCGACGATGGATGGTTCTTGCTCTGTTTTTAGATGAAAATTTGTTTGCACCAACTGTAGCTTACCCGCTTTATCATTCATATCGCTTTGTTTGTTCTTTGGGGGGATAATCTTATGAGCGATGATGCTTAGGAAGCAGAGAGCCCTTTCGGTTCCGGAGAAGATCTGCGCAGGACGCGTATGAGAAGACAGGCGAAGCTGGACCAAAAGGCTCCCCTCCTGTTTAAGTCCAGCGACATATGAGGATCTTTGTCCTCGGGGCGACACGACCGAGATCCTAACTTTGCCGAGCTCCTGTAATGTGTTAGGAGGACGTCCCTTTTAAGGCGCGGAAGCTTTGGGATCGCGCGTCGACTATAGAACTAGCCTAGGTCGCGAGTGCCGGTACTAGACTTAGAACGTTGGCTGTTGTAAGCCATAGTCAAAGAGTGTGGTTTGTGCTTTGTGCTTTGTGAATGTAGTCTCCAGTCTTGGTTGCTCCTTGTAATCTCTATCACCTTTAATAAGAGCTTCTATATTTCCCTTTTTCTGCATTTTCTGAATTGAAATTTCAGGTATTTTCCTTGGCCACTAATGTTTCGATGGACCCTCCATGTGCTGCTTTCTATGTTATAACCTAGGCCACAAAATTTTTGCTCTTCGCGACACGTGTACTTTCGATTATTTGAGCCGTGAATCACGCAACGAAGTAATTGATAAGAAGAAGGGAAAAAGTCATAAAAAAAAAATCCAGAAAAAAGTCCAGACTATGCCCACTGTGATATATTCATCATAATATTTTTCTTGTGACATAAAAATTCCAAACTTGTATATAAACGATACATTCACCCTCCATCAAGATTTCGTCAAATAATTTTTCAGTCAAAACAAATCATTTCATTTCACTTAAGCCACATGAGGCGCAATGTCGATAACGTTTGCTTTCTAGCGTCAACGTACGCAGATTTTAACGGTCTTCGTGGAAAAAACTTTAATGAATGGTAAATGCGTCACACGTACAAGTTTGGGATTTTTAATGTCACATAAAAAAAAGCTGAGGGCAAAGGTATCACGATGGGTATAGTTTGAGGTTTTTGGTGGTTTCTCCTTAAAAAGAAACACATAAAATCTTGTTACACACACAGTAAGAAGTTACAACCTTAGCGGCGATTTCTTCCTCCACCGTATCAAGTAAGCCCCTGCTTCGGGAATGGATCCGCAACATGGATCACAAATCAAGGCGTCCCCGGTTTAGGATCTCAATTGGCCCTTCGACTATTAGGTCGGTAATTTGAGACGGAAAGAGGGCACGGAATATTCAAATTAGAATTCTTGAGAGCCCAAACCCTAACCTGAATGGATTTCTTTATTGTATGGAAAATGACATAAATGATCTATGAACTTTTAATTTTTTCAATGTGGTCCCTGGACTTTAGCCTAGTGTGCAATGTCGTCCATTAATTTAAAATTTGTTCAATGTAGTCCTTCAGCTTTTGGTACATGTTCAATTTAGTCCCTAAATCATATGAAAATATTCAATATTGTTCTTCCATTAATTTAAGTTCAGAGACAATAGTGAACATTTTCAGGGACTAGATTGAACAAAAATCAAAAGTTTAGGGATTACTTTGAACAAATTAAAAGTTCATTGACGACATTGCACATTTGAATGAAGTTCAAAGATCACATTGAACAAATTAAAAGTTTATGGATCACATTACACATTAAACTAAAATTCAAAGACCATTTATGTCATTATCCCTCATATTATATAGACAATTTCCTTGATGGCCCGTCAGATCAGATCATGACTAACAAATGAACATTACATGTGTAGCCTTTTAATTAGCAAATGCACCGTTGTAATTGTCAAGTAGGTGAGATTTAAGTGATGTCTGATTAGACTTATTACCATCGGGTGATTTTGGATTTACCAACGACTTAGTCACGTTGGGTCGATCTCGTTTCCTTGATACGCGGGATCTTTTTGATATGTTATTCGACCTTCCTTTGTCACCAATAGACCCTTACCTTATATAACAAGGTTTTCATTATTAGGTCATCTCTAGCGCATGTCGAAGGTTCTTCGTACTGGTCTTGCTAAGCACTCGATTATTAACCAAACGTTAATATGTATTCGCAATCGGATATAGGACACGTTGAAATTCCCAGAGATCATAACAACAGTCGAAGATGAGCTCGATATATTTGGCCTATTGAGTTTTCGAGACGCTAGGAACGTAAATCAACACTTCATGTCATGTTAGAGTGCTGTCGAGGCACAAAGTAAAATTGAACTACAAATTTTTCCCTTTTCGGTCTTTCTTACTCTAATTCTCCTCCTCTTTTTAGACTCTTACTCTATTTCTTTGCAGAACGCGAAAGTTAAACCCCACGAAAATTAGTTTACCAAGTGATACATGTCAAATAGTGACGTCGCTATTCACATCATTGTTCAGAAAGAAAGAAAATTGTGTTTGGCCCCCATCCATCTGAGCCGCGAGAATCGGTCAATTTTGGGCTCTGTTAATTGTTTGATTCGATGTCTTGATCCGGACGTGGGAACGGCACAGTCGTGGACCGGTCTGGAACTCCATCGCCATTTTAAATTTCCCTCAATCGGGCATGTAGATTTGTCTCGTGTGGCGGCTTTTGGATAATCATCATTCAGTAGCGCCGGCAGCTCTCATCTTCCCTGGTCAAACAATCTATTTCCTAAGAAGGAATCAGTTTGATCCGGCCAAACGACGCTCTCTACCCTCCAAAATTTCGAATTGACCCGACAAGACCGACCCGATTCGACCCGGGAACTTTTCGGATCGCCGCGAACCGTTTCGCGGCCGGATCGTGCCGGCGGTTCGGTGTCGGTCCGGGGAAGGAGGTAAGTTATAGAGTTCGATACTCGGAATAGGACAGAACAGAAGGCAACGGTCAAATTTGTGCATGATTGATATTTCATGTTTGTGTCAAGAACGGCATGCACACTTGACGGTTTCAAACATTCCCCAGCATAAGTCTGAAGATCAAATTGTTATTGTCAAACACAACGGGCCACCATAGAATTGACCCCATAACGACGACGACCCGCGAAATCCGACGACACGAAACAAACTATGCACTTCTAGTCCTCAGTCAACCGTTTAATAATGCTCGGAAGTACGTGTTTTGGTCCCTATACAAAGGATAAATATGGTAGCAAAGTCCTAGTTCGGGGACTCATACGAAATTGAAGAAATAAAGAACGCTCGAGAGTACGAGGACGAAAAGAATACTTCTCTCGAAAGAACCGAGATATGCAGGAGATGATGCAAATGATCCTTTGAAGTCTAAGATATGGTTGAAACTAGAGAGCTACTGTCAAAGGTGAATGAATCCACTGGTTTAGATACAAAAGCTCTTTTGAAGAGCCAAATCTACAGACTCTAAGAAATACAAACCGACATTCCACAGACAAGGGAAAATGCTCGACCAAGATCGACACGATGCACTCTTAGTTAGCGCTTCCAAACAGAATACCTTACGGAGAAATCTAAGAAGCGAACCAGAAAAATCTCTGGACTTGCACGGCAATTAGCATGTGTTGATTGATATACAGATTGTACAAGAACTTACATGGATAATGAGCGCCGCCACACGTCCATGTACTCGAAAGACGGCGATTGCTGAAGCAAGAAGGCTTCCTCTTTGCCAATGGAATCTACTTAAGTGTAAATACATGCGAGGTCATACTGAGGTTGCTATTTCTTGGGCTTGAAGTTGAAGAAGTACTTGAAGAAAACCTCATAATCCATATCACACCTTTCCGAACTTCGGGGGCGGCTTAAAACAAAATCAGACAAAGAGTTGATGTTGTAATGTCTTAGTCGTGGTGTTTTTACAAGTAGACAATGACGAAGAAACTGAAAATGTTTATACCTTCTTAAGAATTACTTTGCTTGAGGATGCCTTGTTGTCAAGTGGCTTCAGTATCTCAAAAGAGCACATTAAAGACTCATCCACGCTCAGCAAAGCGCCGGCATTGTCAAACTCCCCGCCATAGTTCGGAGCCGAAAATATCGTCACCAACCTCCGCTTAGCAAAGAACTCGTATCCGTCCTCCACCACCTGCAATCGAATTCAAGATTTTACAAATCCGTTGGACAATATCTAGCATTTGTAAGCCTAAAGGTTCTCCATACATATGGTTTTAGAAAGCTGCCGCTAGGCACAAGGGCTCAAACTTGAAAAGTAACCAGTATCGATCTACACATTGGTCGGCATCGTTACTCGTAACAATTTTTTCCTTAAATGAGCATGACTGACATTGTTTAAAAAGTTAGTTGGTGTGCAAACACCGGCTTACTTGATGTCCTCGGCAGATAAGGTCAAGGTCATTCTTGTTTAAGAAGTCAGTAACCCGATCAGCCCCAAATGTACACGAGACTCCACGGTCACTATCTGCCCATCCCGGAGTGCTAGGATTAGGGTCAGACCAAAGCAGATCACATAGGAGGCCAGAGTCCGGAATATCAGTAGGCCTCGGAATTTCTTTTATTTGATCCAAATTTTGCAACTCCGGAGAGAGACCCCCATGCATACAAAGTATCTTCTCGTCGATGAGCGCGGCTACGGGCAAACAGTTAAAGCAATCGGTGAACATTTTCCAGAGTCTAACATTAAACCTCCTCTTGCACTCATCATAAAACCCGTATATTCGATTAATCTTTGCATCCTCGTGGTTCCCCCGCAAGAGGAAGATTTTATCCGGGTACAATATTTTGTAAGCTAGAAGCAAACATATAGTCTCCAAACTCTGTTTGCCACGATCAACATAGTCTCCAAGGAAGAGATAGTTCGAGGCAGGAGGATAGCCTCCATACTCAAATAACCTCAACAAATCTCGGTACTGTCCGTGTATATCACCTGTACGAGGAGAGCATCATTAGGAAGACCGGCAAACAAAGAGCGTTAGTCACTCGTCTGTTCGTCAAAATTATATCGAATGCGGAACACAGGATCCGCCAAAACTTGCATGCATTTCACACCATACAATAGGATTTAATCCCTAACACAGACAATTTCCTCAGGTACGAAGGAATGCGCCGTAGCTCGGAACATGGAACAAACAAACGATAACAGGCCTCCCGACTCAACGTCTGGCTAAATCCCATTTTCCATCTCCTCATTAATCATACTGAGAGAACACAAAAGCTCCACCGAAACAAGAAATACCTAAATTTTTCTCAAAACCCAATTCCAAATGAGGTTACGAACCAGAACAATCTGCCTCCGAAACCAGACCCATCGCCCTCTCAGACAAAAGGGTCATCCTAATTCAAGCCAAACGACCACACTCGATCAAATTCATCCCATAATCCTGCCCCAGAAGTGCCCAATAAGCAAAACCAACATAAATAATAACACACACGAACACAAACAGAACATAGACATGATGTTTCATCAAACGGGGAACAGAGAGAGAGAAAGAGAGACAAACCACAGATGCGAATTGGAGCATGGAGCTGGAGGAGAATGGGCTGGGACAAGAAGATTTGGCGTGCGTTGATGCACAGCTGTCGGATCTCGGCCTCCGACAACTGAACTTGCTTCCCTCCTTTGCCTTCCAACAATCTCCTTATGATGTCCTCCAGCACCCCCCTGTCCATCATCCCTTCCATCGTCATCTTCATCATCTTTCCTCACCTATTCTATTCACACCCTAAAAAAGTACACAAAAATAAAAACCCAAACAAAGATCAAGCTTCCGGGTCACAGAGAGAGAGAGAGAGAGAGAGAGAAAGAGCAAGAACGGATCGATTCTTTGAGGTTCTTGAAGGAGGGGGAGGAGGGTGTACGATTTTGGGTATCAAGAAATTGAGAGAAATGGATCGCAAGTCGATAACTTTATGGAGCGAGAGAGAGCGAGACAGGCAGGCAGACAGACCGACAGGGAGAGAGAGAAAGACAAGGTTAGATGATACGAAGTGAAAAAGGGTCAAAAGGGAAATTAACGAATTTATCCATTCGGATCGTTAACGACGATTCCGCGACATACGAAATTCGAAGGGCACCCGTGGGGATCAATGAAAAAGATCGTGCAATTATTCCAGCGTGTGTCTCGCGGACATGGATGTCATTCGTCTTTCTTCGCAGCAGCGCACCAAGTCGATGCCTTTTTCAATAGTCGTTTTCCGAACGTATAAGGAAAAGTCGAATCACCGTGTGAAATACGTGCAGAATGAGTAATGAAATGAGCGGCGTCGGTATCGGTAGTTCTAGCCACCGCATAAGCTACGGCTAAATCCTGTCGACTTAACCTGTATATGATAAATTGAGTCGTTATTTGAGTTAATTATATTCAGTAAACGGATCGTGAATGAATTTAGAATAGTTCGAAAATATGGGTGTTATATGAACAAATTGTTAGCCTTGGATTGTGTGGTTAGCTGCTAGCCAGTCGATTTCAGCTTATGTTAAGTGGGGTATGGCGGTGGGTTCTGTCTTTCCGATGATGAGTCAGTCACATGTGGCCGACACCTCGATTAAAAAAAAAAAAAATATGGGTGTTATATGAGTTCACAACTTATTTAGACCAAACTTACTTTTACAACTCTTTCTCGCTCTCACTTGATCTCGCATTCGCTCGTTCGACGCTATCATCTCTTGTGTATAAATTTTCCTAAATTGGGTTGATATGAAAGTGTTAAAATAATATGAATTGGGTCGGATATAAAAATGTTTTAACAATATGAGTCGGATTGGACATGAAAATGGGTCGGACCAATTTCGAGCCAATTCACTCGTTTAATAGGTCTAATGACTGCTCAGTGTTCAATGGTCATCGTCAACATGCATTTTTAATTCACGCGATGAAGGGATGAACCGACATAGAAAGAAAGACGAGATTAACGTGAGGGTTAGACGTGGCATCACGATCTACAAATGGGAAATAATAATGGATGTGAAACCAATGCTAATGACTTAGCAGAAAGTTTGGATTGGTTCAACTTGATTGTTATGTCATGCCATGTGGATAAAATATATTTGTTTTAGCAAAAGAATGGTGTCCGTGGAAACCTTCAAGAAAAGGCGACTGTTTTGCGCGTAACATTGCGCTAATCGAGGTCCATAATCTGCACAAGGTCCTAGAGGAAGAACTCGTCTAAAAAGTACCAAATCAAGGGTCAAGTCAAAAGGAGAAGACTCAAAAAGAAAATGCAAAGGAAATGAGTGGTATCGTAAATTCCAACCTAAACATCATTAGTCCGTCAACGTTAGAATGCCCGACCTAAAAAGTTACATTATAATCATGTATTTAAGCGACTTGGGATTATGTTTAATACTCCCGCTCGCATATAAGCCGATGCCTTATACGTGCATAGATCTGTCAAAATGTGTCATGCGTCCATTTCTTAATTTACATTTGATGGGATGAATTGTTACGTGGGTTAATTATATTCAGTAAATGAGTTTAGAACGGTGAATCTCCAAATAATATGGATATACAACTTACTTAGACCCAACTCATATTTATAACTCTATCTCTTCCTCACTTGATTCCGCGCTTACTCGCTCCACGCTCTTACATAATATTGGTATGAGTTTTCCTAAATTTGGTTAAATATGAAAGTGTTTTAGCAATATGAGTCGGGTCGTGTATAGATTTGGTACATGTTGAGTCGGGTATGTATCACTAGATGCATTGCATAGAAATTATTCAAAATAAGTTAAACATGTCAATTTGGGTCGGACCATTTTTAATCCAACTCGACCCACCCATTTGATAGATCTACATGCACGCTACTTGAGTAAGACATTGTGAAATGGGCAAGTTTCCTATTTTTTGTGCGAGCCGGTTGGTGCAAGCCTACATCATGCTCGGAAAACCAATTCGAAAAATTTAGGCCATTAGATGGAAAGGAACTACATATGTGTAAGGTATACTATAACCACATATTTACACGATCCGGAGTTACACTTCAGGGTGCAAGTATGAGCTTTTGCAAGAGAATAGCATTTGATGCCGAAGGGCGACAATTTTTTAACACGATGAAACCAATTCGAAACCGACACGACGTGCTGATAACGATAACGAGAAGATACGAGACTAACCATCTCGACCATGGTGACACGAAAGGAATCCTTTAGTCCTTGAAAAAGAACAAAAAAGAAGGAGGTCGCACAGAATGTGTTGGAGGATAAAGGAGGAGTGTCCAACACAAACAACGTGCGATCGAAGTCTAAGACAACGCACGAAATTGACTAGGAGACAAGGCACGGAATGGCTTTCCCAAGAGGAAAGTGGATGTAAAATGAGAAGGACGTTCGGCGGTTTTTGCAAGCAATCCCCTTCTCTTTTTATCGAATCTCTATCTGTTGCCTCCATTTTTGTCGACCTTGGGTAAATCATGCGTCTAGATTAACTTTTTGGTTTGTAATTTCGAATCTAACTATACCTCTGGACGGACCCTTTTAAGATCGGACGATTTCGTCTTATACAATTTGTCAGATAGGGTTTAAATTTCAGCCGGTTACAGATCGACGTTCCAAGGAGGCGATGCACTGGACACGCGTCCACCTAATGATCGCCTCTAACGACTCGGCATGTCGCCAGTCACCGTGAAGGATAATGAGTTTGGTTGTTTCTGAATATGACCATCGGATTATCGGTTTTACTTAGATAGCGAGCGTCTGTTCCTTCTCTTCCAGAGCCCAAGTTGTGTCCTTTGTTTCTAGGCCTTTAAATCGGTGCATTCGAAGGTTTCTCAAAGCTCGTCTTGGAAGCGGACTCTATGAGCGTTTTCTTGCTTTTAGGGTCACACAATTTTTTCGATTACGCTGGCAACAAGCTGTCTCTCTCGATAAGAAGTTAACACTTACAAATAATTTGCACTTACGAAAAAAGGAGACCCGTCTCTCCCGATAGGTTCTTTCTTACTATTGTTACGTAATTTCTTAGTGAAGATTGAATTTAAGAATATATACATTCTTTCGACGAACAGCAAGTTTGCAATTTATTGTATTAAGAACTTTAATGTAACTTTGAAATTATTCGGCACATTCTTTTTTTACATTTTTTTGTACTGTCTAGAGATTATTGCATGGTGAACTTGCGAAACGTGAGGGGAAAATATTGTTCTTGCCTCTTAATTAACAAATGATTAAGGGGTGAGGCATACACCCATAATGAATAAAAAAAGGCTTTAATTAAGAAACCACCCCAATTTCCCAGGGGCCTCAAGCCCAAAGCAAGGCCCAATAAAGTAACCGGGTCAACCCGAATGACGGCCCAAAACCGAATAGGAGAGCCGGATCGGGTCTCGCTGGCGCATTAAAAGCTCTCCCCTCAAAACCCTAGCTCCATCTTCAGCTCCTCCGCTCATCTCTCCCCAAGCAGTCGCGCGCCGTCTCCGCAGCCGACAGACCTCACCGCCTGCATCAGCCATGGTCTCTCTCTCTCTCTCTCTCTCTCTCTCTCTCGCTATCGCTATATTTCTGTGTTACGTTTGAACGTCAGCTCATGGCGATCTCCTTGCTGTTCTTGGTGGATTGAAAAACTTTGCAGGGTATCGATTTGGTGGCCGGAGGTAAGAGCAAGAAGACCAAGCGCACGGCGCCGAAGTCCGACGATATCTACCTCAAGCTTCTAGTCAAGGTCTGCCGGAGACTCCGCAGCGCGGGTTTCGTCTTCCTTCGCGTGTGCTTCGTTTCGTGTGAAACCTCAAGCGTTCGTTCGTCGTTAGGGTTTTTTTTTTAATTGTGGGGGCGGAGGTTCGGCGTTAGCGCGATTCGAAATTCTTTTTTCCGGAATTCTGAAAATGGTGGTACGAAATGCATCTGCGAGCCGAGACATTTTAGGGTCTCGTTAATCACTGATGTCTTCTCGTGTTTGCATTCGCTGTGTCTTGATTCGACCAAGTTTGCTCTTTTATGTTTAATTTATCTTTATAAACGTAGTTGGCTGTCTAGAGTACGTGGATATAGGTTGCAGATCTGACTATTGTGGAGAATTAAAGGTTGGAATGTTAGTTTTCTTTATCTGAATCGAGTCATGTGTAGTGAAGTTGAATGATTTGGACTTTGTGAATCTGACGGAGAGAAGGCGTGTATGGTTGTTAATGATGGCATTGGACTTGAACATTTGATTGCCTTGGTGTCGAGAAACGGCACCATCTCTTTGGGCATAGGATCTGTGGCTATAAGTTTGTTTTAGCAAGTCCAGCATCGATGAAAATGTTTTGCCTGCTATAGTTTGTTGGTTTTATCATTTGTCCTCCTGAGTAGGCAAGCCCTCACTGTTAAATTGTGAATCAAACAGCTGTACCGGTTCCTTGTTCGGAGAACTGGAAGCAAGTTCAATGCGGTGATCCTTAAGCGCTTGTTCATGAGCAAAGTGAACAAGGCCCCACTTTCCCTATCGAGGCTCACCCGTTACATGCAAGGAAAGGTTGTTAATCTCTCTTAGATTCTGCTCTATTAGGTTTTGCTCCATTGTAGATGATGAAGTTGAGTGGAGTTGAACATTACATTCTTCTTCATCTGCGATAATGTATGATTCTTTTGTGACTTGCAGGAGGATAAAATTGCTGTTGTTGTGGGCACTGTGACCGATGACATCAGGGTCTATGATGTGCCAGCTATGAAGGTTACTGCTCTTAGGTTTACAGAGACTGTGAGAGCAAGGATTGAAAAGGCAGGAGGTGAATGCTTGACATTTGATCAGCTTGCTCTCCGGGCTCCCCTTGGACAGAACACGGTACGAGTTTATGCCCTTAATTGCCATTGCTGATGTTCTTGTGTTGTTACAGCAGCAGCCAGTTACTTTCACCTAACAATGTGTTTAAGCTGCTGTGACATATCAATCTCTTTTAGAAAAATCTTTCGCCGGGCCACATTCTTATTTGGCATCCTTCTCCATCAGCTTTAGCAGGATGTGAAATTTATATGTCCTTGTCTATATATTTATAGTTTGAGGAGAAAGTGCAGTCGTCGTGTATTGAATAATTAGATTCAATTTCCTTATCAAGTGAGGATGTTTGCAGCAAATATAGTACCGAATCATTTTTGAGTTATCCATGGCTCATATGAGTTTTGTCCTTACTCTTTTTCATTACTTTGGCGAGGTTCAAGACTGTACAACCATTTAGTTGTCAATGGATGCTTCCTGTTTCTTATGTAAACTAATAATATGCCAAGATTGGAGATGGAGCAATTAGTTAGATAAACAATTTTTTGCGTTTCCAGGTTCTTCTCAGGGGTCCAAAGAATGCTCGGGAAGCAGTGAAGCACTTCGGCCCTGCTCCTGGTGTGCCTCACAGCCACACAAAACCATATGTGCGGTCTAAGGGGAGAAAGTTTGAGAGGGCTAGAGGAAGGAGGAACAGCAGGGGATTCAGAGTTTAAGTTCCATTTTGATACTTGTGAGCAGAACATTCATTTCAAATTGACTCTTCAAATTTTGGCTGGAGTTAGGAACATTTGGCGCCTTTTTTGTATTGACTGTTGCGATATGCTTATTTCACCAGGGTTGGTTTTAGAAAGCTTCGTTTTCTTATGTCTTACTGAGAAATTGGTGTGTTTTAGAAGTAATTGGAACGGTGGTGGTTCCACTACTTTCTTAAATGCAATGTTTTGCAGTTGTTAAATTTGATTCAAAATTCTTACTTCAGGTGAATGAGCTTGTGTGTAGTCTGTTTGTTTGTCAGTTGGTAGCTTGCCGTAGGACAAATCTCCAAAACGAAGATCTGTTTACTGCTTGGATTCCCTTCATCGCGTCTGGAATAACATCTCACGCCAAACATAGTATATGAGTACTGTAAAGCAGAGCTTTAGGATCAGGCTTTGTTTCTACAGTTATAAGCAATTTAAGATTATCAAGGCAGTAGACAGAAGTCCATACCGGCGCCTGTATTTGCTTTTACGGGGTCGGCAAAAGGACATGAGCCGTCTATGTTTTTTCACCAGGTCGAGAGACGAGCGTCGCCGCGAAGAGGGATAAACTCGGTTTAACCGACGAAGTTGCTCCCTGAAATTAATTTGCTTATCTTGAATATCTCTGTCCTCTCGGGAAGATGTTAGCTAACTTAGCTTTATGGAGGACATCCGGAATTTAATGCCTGTCTTGGTGAGTCGAGCTACTTTGCTAAAATTTGGATGGTGCTTCCTTGCTTAATCCGTCAAATTAATGGGACATGTGTTTCCGTGGCTGCAGGATAATATGTATTGAAATGAAACATATGGGACACATCGACCTGCTGTGATGTTTACGTGTTGATTCTCTATGCATATTGAACTTGCGATCCAAATCAACCGAATGGAGTCGAGTTCCATTCCTGTTTCAGGTGGATTCTTGCAATGGCCAATTTGGTAGAACGCCTCGTGTTAACATGCAGAACTTGTGATTCAAACCAACGAAATGGACTCGAGTTTGAATCATGAATTCTAGCCGAGATCGCTGAACACAGATTGGCAGGCATCACGCGCAAAGTTTGTCGATGATTATCCTAAAGATGGAGAGAAAACGAGCTGCTTTGTTTGGCCAACCAAAAGGCCATTTCGTTTCATCATGCATAGGTGTCTTCCCAGCTAACCGGAGGTCTGAGTTTCGGTGTGCAATGGAAATTGGAGCAGCAGCAAGAAATGAACACCGGAACCTTACATATTACACATGACGGAGAGGTAACCTGATTATGGTTCGAAATGGAAAACGAAAATCGTCGCAAGGTTTGGAAATACAAACGAAAAGGTGTAGACAGCGTCCATCAGAACTTCTTGATGAAGTCGTGGATGTGGGAATTGATTTCCTCTGCTCGCTCTTGGTTGATGAAGTGACCGACGCCTTCCATCACCACGACGTCTTCCAGGAGCGGCACGTGCTTCTTGAACCCACCGCCGTGCACGTACTCCTTCACTCCAGGAGTCGTGTACGTCATGTCCAAGTCCCCAACTATGAACTTCACCGGCACCTTCACTTGCACGCCGGTCCACGGCGCCGTTAGCTCCCAGTTCCTGCACCAGCGGATTTTCCTCGTCAAGGTCTTGGGGCAAAATTAAATTAGAATCGAAATGACTCCGACACATTCGACGTCCACCCGACCGTATCCACAAATTTGATGAGGACAAGGACCTTTGATTGAGAACATGCGTTCATGATTCTTTTCCATAAATGAAGAAGCAGAGTAGTACCAATGAACCATGGGGAAGTAAATGTGACATGTAACGTACAGATCCATGGCGCGGTAGTAGTTGAGGCCTCCCGTGAAACCCCTCTTTTCGAACTTGCTCGTGTAATAATCAAGGTCTTCCTCCGAAAGCCAAGAAGGTAAGGCAATCGGCTTGCCGGGACCGCAGCCGAAATCCTCTCCTTTAGGCCACATGGGCGGACCGGGCTTGCGCTCCGTGAGTATCTTCACGAGCACGTTCCTCACACCGATGCGCTCGATCTCGGATTCAATGTCCCCAGGTTTCTGCAAGGGAAAAGGAAGCAAAAAATCAGACATAGGTTGAGTTCAACCCTAAAGCTAGAACAGGAGTTTATTTGAAGAATTGACCAAAAACCTTTCGTCATATCACTCGGAAGATAACTCAGCCAGAAAATTTAGGTACATCAGTCATCTGAAATAACTCTTCAATCTCAGACAAAGTCAAACTCATCTTTGTACTTCGTTCAGTTCACTGGGCCAGCTAGTGAAAATGGCATTTCCTTGGATGAAGTTTCATTTTAGTATGATAAATGTACATTAAACTTGGGGTGATTGTAGAAATCATTCTCAATTTGGCTCTCCTTATTAAAATACCTTCTCCATATTTCAAAAACCTACACTTTCGCATTTCCTCGATCTGAAAAGACCTATTTGCCCTCTCGCGCGGTCGAGATCATATACAACGAAAGAGCGGAATCCAATATTAAGGACGGGGTAATTCGGGAAAGAAAATGACCAACACACTTCCGACTTCTGGAAAAGATAAATTCCTACCGATAGCGACTCTAAACATCTATCTATTCTTGAAACACCGTTTAACCAAAAAACAAAAGACCAAACAAAGAGAATCAGAGGTACGTTTCTTTCGCGAAAAATTCAAGACTTATAAAATATTTTTCGAAAAATGATTGGTTATATCTCTTAGAAGTATTAGCTAACGGAAAATATTTCTAACTACTTTTGTGGACGATGAAAATATTTTTTCATTCATTCAATTTTGTAAGCAATCGCAAGCGATATTTTTTGGAAAAAGGTTTCCAAATCATGAGTTTTTTGTGAAATAAACACCTATTCTTGAAACACTCTTTAACCAAAAAAAAAAACACAAAACAAAAGAACAAACAAAGAGAATCAAATCAAATGGTACGTTTATTTCACAGAAAATTCAAGCTTTATAAAATATTTTTCAAAAAATAATTTGTTATATGGTTCAGAAGTATCAGCTAATGAAAATATTTTCAATATCGATAATAATTTATGCTTAACTATTTTCATGAATGATGAAAATATTTTTCATTCATTCAATTTGGTAAGTAAACGTAAGCGATTTTTTTTTTTTCTGAAAATGATTTTCAAATTTGGAGTTTTAGTGAAACAAACGCATCCAAGGGATTCGCTCCAAGAATAACCTTTTTCTAAATCAAACAAACCACCCAAAATCCGGCCAAGAAAAGAAAGAAAGATTTCGAAAGAAAGAATAACAAGAAGAGAAGAGAAAGAAGAGCAAAACCTGGAATCTGCAGATGTAGTAGTCATCGCCAAAGAAAGCCCGCATGGACTCGACGGGCTTCATCCTCGGGTTCCTCGGCCGGAACGGCACCGTCAGGCACACGTACGACCTCACCCTCTCCGGCCTGAACATGCAGAGGTACCAACCGACGAGCGCCCCCCAGTCGTGCCCCACCACGTGCACCTCCTCCTCCCCGAGCTCGTCCATCAGCGCCACCACGTCCCCGACCACGTGGTGGCACGTGTAGCACTCCGCCGGGGCGGGGGCCTCGGTGTTGCCGTAGCCCCGGAGGTCCGGGGCCAGGGCCCTGTACCCCAGGGAGGCCAGCGCGTGGATCTGGCGGCGCCAGGTGTACCAGAGCTCCGGGAAGCCGTGGAGGAGGAGGACCGCCGGGCCGCGGCCCTTCTCCGCCACGTGCATGGCGATGCCGTTGACGGACAAGGTCCTGTGCTCGATTCCTTCCATGGCCGACCGGCGCGAGCGAGCCTCTCTGTGTGTGCGGTGCGGTGTGTATGCGTGCGTGTGTGAATAGTTTGGAGCGGTGGATGAAGTTTCTTCCGGGGGTGTTACGTTATGTATAAGGTGTTTGAGAGTTTCAGGGTCATAAATGGCGTAGCGACGGGAGTAAAGGGAAGGGCGTTGGAAGCCTGTCATGCAACCTGTGAAAATGTCGGGGTGAAGTAAAAGCTTTGGAACACGTACAGGGGCTCCTCGATGGGGCTTTCGAGGTAAAAAGATGATACTTCTGCAGAGGTCAGCAGCGTTAATGGCCGCCAACCGAAGACGACAACGCCGAAGATGGAAAAGTATTTTTCGCCATTCGGTATTGTCGCTGTCGGATTTAAAACAAATATACCTCCCAGATATACATTAAAGTTAGAAAGAAACAAGTTGAGCAGTTACTCAATTTCTTCCTAGCGGTCAAAAGTTGTGGTCAAAAGTTGTGCGTGAAAAGAGAAGAAAAGAGACATTTGTTGTTATGAATAGTTGTAATAAACAATGCATGTTTTTATCTTTACCCAAAAAAAAAACAATGCATGTTTTTATTATATTTGCAAACAACCAATCAATCCGTTTATTGGGAATAGGCATCTCATCTCCCACCATCATCACTTTTCATGATCAACTATCGTTTCTCTTCGTGTCGACTGTAACTTCTTTTCATATCCAACAATCACATCTTTTCATGATAATAAATTATTTAAGCAATCCCCAACTTAAATTATACGTAAATTCATACATACAAGAATGTATTGTTAAAATTGAACCTTCAATTAGTGTAAACAATTCCATTAACGAAATCAGGGATAGATAAAACTTTGAACCATGATTTCATTTGTTAATCATATTATCACATATATGAATTTACACACTAAAATTTTTTCTATCTTGGCACTTTTATGGCCTTGTGCTCCCTCCCATATTCACGAACATTTACAAAAGTTCATCCAACCTTTGTTCGAAGTGGCACCACTTCTTATGTTTATATAGGTGAAGTTCATAACTTATTGTCTTAGCATTGCCTTGCTAAAACCTTGAAATTCATTAAAAGTGTTTTCTTTCATTCATCCTCTTAACTTTTCATGAGTTCTAACATTGTGCCTTAGTTAGTACTCGATTACTGTCAAGATACTATAGCTTGTTATTACTCATTGAACTTTTAGGTTTCCACTGTGCTTAACTATTATCTATAGTCTTACCCAAAAAAAAACTATTATCTATAGTCTAAGATCAATTCTAATGGCAATACTGCTAGCTGAACCTCTCGAGAGTCCCTTAGCGAATGGATCGGTCAACTCATTATTTGTTCGAACATAAAAAACTAAAGTCATTCCATTAGTAATTAATTGTCGAACATACTCATGTCGCAAGCCAATGTCTAAATTTTCCATTGTATTTTACTATACCCCTTAGATATTGTTGTCTTAGTATCGCGATGTAAAAATATAGCCGCCATTTGTTGTGGCCACAACTCTATATCCAATAGCAAATTCCACAACCATTTAGCCTCTTTACCAGTCGCCGATAGTGATATAAATTCATATTCCATCATTGAATAGGCTATACATGTTTGCTCCTTTGATGCCCAAGAAACCGCATCATTTGCAAGCTTGAAAACCCATCTAGATGTCGACTTGTTATTAGTTAGGCTAGTTTTCTAACTAGCATTTTAATATTTTTTTAGTATTGCTGGTTGTTTTCCGTGAACTAGATCGTAATGTATTGTTTTATTTAAGTAACCAAGAATTTTACTTATGCCCTTCCAATGCACGATACTAGGATTACTAGTCACAATAATTGCTATATCCAGTCTAGTGTAATGCATAGCATACACCAAACTTCCAATTGCACTACCATATTATAATTATGTGAAAGGTTGTCCAGGACTTTCCATCAATTTAATTGACACATCATATGGTATGTTTGACTCTATAACTCTCAAATGCTGATATTTTTGAATAATTTTCTCCACATAGCGGCTTTGTCTTAAAGCATAACCCTCACAATGTTTGATCACTTCAATACCAAAAATTATATCTACTTCTCCCAAATTTTTCATTTTAAACTAAGAAATGGATTTTTTTCAGTTTCATCTATGTCCTGCATATTTGTACCAACAATCAGCATACTAGCTACATATAATATTCTTTGGTAAACTTTGAATAAATGCACTTATCAACATTGTTATGCATAAATCCACATGATAATACCACCGAATCAAATTTTCTCTTGCCATTGTTTCGGTGCTTTTTTCTTTTTTTTAATCTTTGCTCATGTTGCCATTCTCAACAAAATGCACCTTATTTACGACTACTTTCACATAATTAGCCTCACAATCTCGAAAACCTTCGTCAATTGGAATTTGTTTTATCAAATTATCCATAAATAGGTTCTCAATTATGTGGAGAAGTTTCTTTGAATAATCATTCCAAGTCGATGGCAATTTTGAAAGGATTGCAGTAACTTGAAGAGATTCAGAAACTTCAATCATAAGGTCTTTAAGTTTGGCAACATATATTTTGAAATTTCTCCACTTGCTTAGAGACGCTCAAAATATTGCAAAGTAGTAAATTTATCATTACCTTGTTTGTCAATATCGTATTCGGTCTCCAAGGCATTCCAAATGTCTCTACGATTTATGTAAGATCGAAAAATTTAATATAGACGATCTAACGAAGAAGCATTGAAAATCCTTTCTCGGCACGTCCTTTCATCATTCTTTTTATCAAGATTGATATCATTCCACTTTTATTCATAAATTTCAAAGTACTATAGCCAACATGAGATAATAAATTATGCCACAAGAAAGATGACTCAAGCATATAAACGGAAACAAAAATTTCAATAATACTTATCTGTCAAGATTGCGAGCACTTCATGTAGCCATGGTCTTCATCTCCAAGAAAATAATACCTTAAGATTGTTGAGAAAATTCGATTGCTGATGAAGGTAGAGCAGTACTTACAAATCTTTGATGCTTTGATGCGTGATGGCGATTACTGTTCTTAAGGCATTATTTGCCACCAATATTGTTGCTGCCGGGTTTAGGACAAATATACCTCCATGATATATACCAAAGCCACAGAAAAACGAGTTCGGCAATTACTCAAAATCTCCCTTTGGAATTTCACCTTAATTGTGTTATCAAAGTTATGTGTGAAAAGAGAAGAAAAGAGATTATTGTGAGGAAGAGAGAGTCGTTGTTGTTATGAATAGTTGTGATGAACAATGTATACTTTGGTTCTATTTACAGATAACCAATCGACACATCTTGTGGGAATAGGTACGTTATCCCCAACATCACCACTTTTTATGATCATCTATAATTTCTTTTCATATCCAACAATCACTTATTTTCATGATAAGAGATTATTTCAATAGACAATTCTAATTACATAACAAGTGATGCGTTATCCATGCAAGAAAGAAGAGACTAGAGATGATTTGAGCGTGGAGGCGGACTATAAGAGATTAAAAAGTTGACTAATAAAAAGATTCTTCTTTTGTTCTTTTTGTAGCATTCAAGCTATTTAGTTTTGATTACCATGGTTAATTTAGTGATAAACATAATTCGTACGCTCATTTTTCGTCACGATTTCAAGACGGATCTCTTTTTTCCGTTTAAATATCGATGGGACATGATAATCGAGCGCCGTTTGTGAAGACTTACGAGCAGGAAGAAAAGAAGAAATAATGAGGAAAGAAACAGAAAGAAAAGAAAACAGAGCTTTTGGATTTTACATCTCTCTGAATACGAAGAAGATTTTCATTATTCAGCAAATCAAATCATACATTTCTTCTGTTCTCTTATTTATATTGTACAGAAAAACCATTCAACAGCTCATCTAAAGAAACTAACAAACTAACAGACTAACAGAAGAAAAATACAGTTGGTTGTTCATTCAGTTAAATGCACAAAAACAGAGTAACGGTTTTGCAGTGGAAGAGTTGGACACGTGAAGCTGGAGGTTTTCTTGTTGACTTCATCTTTGTTGACTTTATCTTTGTTGACTTCATCTCTCGCCTTCTTGGTTGAATCAGCAATATCTTCATTGCTTTTCTCTGTTGAAACAGAGTGACAATTGGTCTTAACATCCCCCCGCAAATTGGGAAGGGGTCGAAAACCTATACCCAATTTGGTTCTAATAGTAACATGAGCCAGGCGTGACAAAGGTTTAGTAAAAATATCAGCAAGCTGATGAGCACTAGGAACATAGCGCACACTTAGAGAACCGGAGGAAACTTTCTCCCGAACAAAATGAAAGTCAACTTCAATGTGTTTGGTGTGAGCATGTAGAATAGGATTGGCAGTAAGAGAAATGGCAGACTGATTATCACAAAACAAAAGTGTAGGGGAGGAGAGACAGAAACCAATGTCACGTAGAACAAAACTGATCCAAGTAAGATCAGCAGTAGTAGATGCAAGTGCTCGATATTCAGCTTCTGTGGAGGACCGAGACACGGTAGGTTGTTTCTTAGCTGCCCATGAAATGAGATTAGAACCAAGATAGGCACAAAAGCCAGTAGTTGAGCATCTGGTATCAACACAACCAGCCCAATCAACATCGGAGAATCCATATAATGTCATTGAGCTGTGAGAACGAAGAAAAATACCAAGATGAAGGGTTCCTTTAACATAGCGAAGAACACGTTTCAGCTTGTAAAAATCTGCAACTGTTGGCTACTGCATCTTCTAACATAAAAGGTTTGTAGCATAAGCAAGATCAGGGCGAGTTATTGTTAGATACTGAAGACCACCAACGAGACTTCTGTATTCAAGGGGATTGGCAAGTAGGCGGGTATCGTTTGTCATGATGACTGATCGTAGTGGAAGAGGAGTGGAAACAGGTTTACATTCTGTCATGTTAGCTTTTGACAGAAGATCAAGAGCATACTTAGTTTGACATAGGAAGAGATCAGAAGTGGTGCGTTTGGCTTCAATTCCTAGAAAGTAATGGAGATGCCCAAGATTTTTCATGTGAAAATGAAGACTGAGTGACTGAATCAGTTTATGAAGTAGCTGATCTGAGCTGCCAGTCAATATAATATCATCTACATAGAGCAACAAAAGCATTGTGTCTGGGCCATCATGAAACACAAAGAGTGAGGGATCAGTAGTGCTACAGAAGAAACCGGCTTCAAGAAGAAAATTGCTAAACTTGTCAAACCAAGCTCGCGGCGCTTGACGAAGGCCATAGAAGGACTTCTTGAGAAGACATACAAATTGAGATTGCTGAGGGTGTATAAAACCAGGTGGCTGCTCCATATAGACTGTTTCATTTAGTGTTCCATGTAAGAAAGCATTTTTAACATCGAGTTGATGTATTGGCCAGTGCTTCATCATTGCCACAGAGAGCACTATACGGATGGTAGCATGTTTGACAACAGGGCTAAATGTTTCTGTAAAGTCAACTCCCTCTTCTTGGTGAAATCCCTTAGCCACTAATCGAGCCTTCAATCTATCAAGACTTCCATCAGATGCTAGCTTAGTTTTAAACACCCATTTGCATCCTATGACATTCATTTGGTTAGTTCGAGGAACTAATATCCATGTCTGATTTTCATGAAGAGCATCCATTTCATCCTGCATTGCTTTATGCCAGCCTTCATCAGCTAAGGCTGATTTAACCAATCGTGGTTCAAGAGGAACTTTGTATTCAGCCAGACATGCATATTTGGGATTTGGCTTTACAATGCCAGATTTTAGTCGAGTTTGCATAGAATGAGTAGAAAGTGTACCTTGTGAAACTGGTGGAGAATTTTGCTCAGTATGATCGATAGGAATTTCATCTGGTGTATCAACTGTGTGAGAAAGAACTTCTTGTTCATCAGGGACTGAGGCAGACTGCAAAGGTAAGTGAGATGAATATGATGGCATTTCAACAGGATGAGATGTATTTAAGGGATGAACTCCCAACATGCCACTATCTTGTAAATGTCCTAGATGTCCATTTGAGTGGTATTGCACCTGTGCTGCACTTGGATAATCCAGAAGGTGAACTTCTTCTGCCCATTGTCGATACAGAGTAGTATACTGATTGTACTCTGTTGTTAGTTTCCTAGTGAAAGGAAAGAAACTTTCATCGAACAACACATGTCGACTAATGTATATACGACCATCAGCAGGCACAAGACATCGATATCCTTTATGACGTTCACTATACCCCAGAAAGACACATGTGAGTGATCGTGGATCAAATTTATGTTGTGCATATGGTCTGAGACAAGGGTAACATGCACAACCAAAGACTCTTAGATGTTCATATCTGGGCTCTTGTTGATAAAGCTTACTGTAGGGTGAGTGCAGTTGTAACTTTGATGTAGGAAGTATATTGATAATGTAGTTAGCTGTCATGAATGCATCAACCCAGTATTTTAATGGAATTCTAGCATGATAGAGCATAGCTAAGCCCAGTTCAACCACATGGCGATGTTTTCTTTCAGAAATCCCATTCTGTTCTGGTGTATAAGGACAAGAAACACATTGTTTGATGCCACAATTCTGTAAAAGGAGCTGAAATTTGTTGCTAGTGAATTCTCCTCCACCATCACATTGAAAAGCTTTGATTCTACGATCAAAATGATTCTCTACTTGCTTCTGAAACATGACAAAGATGTCATAGAAGTCTGACTTCAATTTCATTGGATAAAGCCAACTATAACGGGAAAAATTGTCCACAAAGATGACATAGTCTCTGAAATTCTGAAAAGAATTGACTGGTGATGGACCCCAAATATCACAATGAATCTTCTCTAAAGGAACAGTAGACACAGAATCGGATAAAGGAAATGGTAATGCAGTACTCTTGGCAACTTGACAGCTTCTACATATAGTTTGAGTCCTTGTAGTACAGTGAATCAATTGCTGAGTCTGCAGATGCTTCAATGTTTTAAAGTTGGTATGAGCTAATCGCTGGTGCCACACATCTTCTCCTACAGCTGTATGTCTTTGAGTGAAGAAAGCCTCTGTGATTTGTGGATCCACTTGGTAAAGTCCTCTAATTTTCCTTCCGAGCATCACTGTTGTGTTGGTGCGATTGTCCTTTATATAAACCCCATTTTTATCAAAAACAAATGAACAGGGATAATCATCTGTTAGTCTTGATACTGAAAGGAGATTCTTTTTGATTTCAGGAACAATCAGCACATCATTTAGAGGCAATGAATTAATTTCAGTATGTAACACGGCATCACCAATATATGCAATAGGTAGACATGAGCCATTCCCTATTATAACTGTATCAGTCCCATTGTACTTAGATGAGTTATGAAGAATACCCGAATCTGCAGTGATGTGAGCAGTTGCACCAGTGTCTGGATACCACTCACTACCTTTAGAATCTTCAATATGCATTGCTGCTAAGGCTGTTGGTATCTCCTCAGCCTGATATGAGTTGTCAAATCGATACCAGCAATGAAGTGCATCATGTCCTGGACGTTTACAAATTTGACACTCCAACCGAATAGTATCACACATCTTCTCATCCTGCAAATGTTTGTTAGATGTTAAACTTGGAGAGGGATATGATTTGGTATCTTGATACCTTTGTGAAGAACCAGCATATGAGCGAAATCCTTGACCAGAACTAGGAAAGTTATTAAACTGCTTAAAATGTTGATTCTCCTGATTCTGATTCAAGCTATTTGGTCTGTAACTCTGATTTCTTCCAGGATATCCATAACTATGATTTCTACTGTTAAATGGACGTCCTCTGCCATAACTACGTCCTCCACGATTACTACCTCTTTGACCTCCAAAACCAAAGTTTTGCTGAGCAAGTTCTCTGTCAGATTCCACCTTCTGCTGAACTTCAGACTTTCTTTGTCCATAGTAGGCCAGATGAGGATTATACTGACTTGAGGAATAGCTCTGTAATCTTGTTTCGAATCTTTCTAACTGTGATATTACTTCATCATATTCTGGCTGAGGTTTTAAGCAATACATGGTGGTTCTGAAACTCTCATATTCAGATCCTAATCCCTCAAGAACACCAAACATCTTCGTTATCTCATCTACAGGCTTTCCAATAGCATTTAGCTGATCACAAATTGATTTGTATTCTCTGAGATACACAGATAATGCTCGATCCCGTTTCTGACAGGCTTGTAGTTTCCCTCGTAGTTCAAATTCTCTTGCTACAGACTTCTGTGTAAATCGATTAAGTAGAGTTTGCCATACCTCATATGAAGTTTCCAAACCAATGATCAAACTCAGAATATTCTCTGATACAGCTCCACTGATCCATGATGATACAAGTTGATCTGTTCTTATCCAATCTGTATAATCGGGATTCACAGCTTCAGCTTCATTACCTTCAACTTCAATCTATAACGTTTGAGTAGGTGATGGAATTTCACCACTAATGAAACCAAATAGTTCTTGGCTTCGCAAGAATCTGTGAAACTGTGCTTGCCAAAGAAGGAAATTGTCGTCAGCTAGCTTGATCGTGACGAAGTTGGAGATGTTTACATGAATTGGGAAAGGATATTTCTGCGTTCTGGCTGCCATTGATGAGGCTCTGATACCATGTGAAGACTTACGAGCAGGAAGAAAAGAAGAAACAATGAGGAAAGAAACAGAAAGAAAAGAAAACAGAGCTTTTGGATTTTACATCTCTCTGAATACAAAGAAGATTTTCATTATTCAGCAAATCAAATCATACATTTCTTCTGTTCTCTTATTTATATTGTACAGAAAAACCATTCAACAGCTCATCTAAAGAAACTAACAAACTAACAGACTAACAGAAGAAAAATACAGTTGGTTGTTCATTCAGTTAAATGCACAAAAATAGAGTAACGGTTTTGCAGTGGAAGAGTTGGACACGTGAAGCTGGAGGTTTTCTTGTTGACTTCATCTTTGTTGACTTTATCTTTGTTGACTTCATCTCTCGCCTTCTTGGTTGAATCAGCAATATCTTCATTGCTTTTCTCTGTTGAAACAGAGTGACAATTGGTCTTAACACCGTTGAGATGGAACGAACAAATAAAAAATTAGAGAGGAAAAAATACAAAATTGCTCCATGTATACTATCTTCCCCGATCGATTTTCGTTGCAGCACTTCATCCTACGACGAAACAGTTCCTGAAATGATTTTCGGCTATGATGTCCGAAACAAAAGTTCGTATTTCTGCCCAAAAACGGATAGGAGATAAAACACTTGTTAAGAGTTGAGATCAACACCCTGCGTGAATGCGAAACAGACATGATCAAAAAGTCGATGACCTAAGCCGTAGCGGTCCGGTCCGGACCCCTAGGCCGAACCATCGAAAGGAGTACTCAAATGGCAACCGTTCGGCAAAGATCCGCTGCTAGTTCATCGACTTTCGCGCTATCTACAGCGCGTCGATCTCCGGCACTTAGCCGGCATTTCGGGTTCGTAAATTCCTCCATGGACTTCTTCTCACGGACATAACCCCGCTCGAGCAGCGCTCTGTCGCTTTGGCAGGAGGCAAAGGGCGAGAGACCTTCCGAAAGAGCATTGCCTTGCATGAGGGCCCTTGGTCCGTACTGGCCTTTGCTTTGTGGACGACGCACCTCTTCCCGTCGTTCCCGGGACAAGGCCATCGTCGGCATCGCTTTCTGTCGTACCCGCCTTTTGCGGTATGGATATGGACAACAGCGGCCGTCGTGTCAATCACCGTCAACCGCTTAGACGGCGACGGGCGTCCCCGGACGTCGGTGTAAAGGCCGCCCGGCAGGCGGTGGCCTCAAGAGGCGGGGTCGTCCGGACCCCCTGGGCATTGAAGACAAGGATGCCCGGTTGCTGGCACATTCATTGCGGAGCAATTCAGAGTGCACAAGGAATAGCACGTTGTCCCTCAACCTCTCTATACTACTATTTCATGGCACGATTTCAATTCCTCAAGTTAAGTCCGTTTTTCGTATCGAATTACTCTACTCATGATCCGATCCCGAAAATTTACGTCGAGCCTGAATTAAGTAGCATTTCGTTTCCGAATTGTGACTCGACCACCTTCATCGATTTAACTCTTTCTTTTTCTTTTTTTGGGGGGGTCAACCGTCAAATTGAAGTCCCGACAACTCAGGTAAGAGCGGTAAAAGAAATCGCAGACGTGGTGATCCGACTCCTTTGTCTAATTTTAGTTCGCTAATCCTAATTTTTATCCGAATAATAGGGCCACGAAAATAGGGAATTTTGAGTGGCCAGGCATTTTTCTTCTTTACCAATAAAAATGGAAAGCTTTTCCATGGCTAGGAGCTCTTCTTCACTTCACTATTAAATCATGATTAACATGCAAATTACTGCAATTCCACACTCGTAAATCATGATTAGTCCCACCTCACTACTTGTTCTCCTCCTAACTCTGCTCACGCGTTGGCCCCCTCAAGTGCAACCTAGCGACACATCCGATGTCTCCAACATGATCGCTCAAGTCTGCGACCACACCCTCAACAAGAAGCTGTGCGGGACGGTTCTCGAGACGGGTGGCACGGCGAGCGACTTCCCGGGCCTCGCCAGGATCGCCCTGAAGGCCGCGATGGCGAACGCGAGCGCCATCTTCAACCACGTCAACGACCTCGCCCACACGGCCACCCCCGACCCCTTCGTGCGGCAGTGCCTGGCGGACTGCTCCGACGACTACCAGGACGCGATGGACCAGATCGAGGACTCCCTGGCGGCGATCGACTCCCGGGGGTACGACGACGTGAGCGCATGGGTCGGGGCGGCGATGAATGACGCGGACTCGTGCGAGGAGGGGTTCAAGTCGAAGATGGGGTACAGCTCACCGCTCACCGACATGAACGCGGCGTTCCACGAGATATGCACCGTCGCGCTCGCTGTGACCAATCTGTTGATCGAGATGTGATCCGCCGTAGTAGTTCGTTCGGAAGTCGATTGGGATTGAATTCGAGGAGCAGTCCGCAATCAATGGCGCGACAGATTGATGAGCGCTAATGAACGCATCAAGATCTGCATGGATCGATCTGGTCGTGCATGCAAGCCCCGCCTCAGCCACCTTGATTAGTGATGTCATTAGCATTAATTACCGTTAAATTATGGAAGCTAATCAATTAATGAAAGTGCTGTTTCATTCAAGGACTGTTTTGCAAATTAATGGAAGTACTTTTATGATAGAGAGAGTAAAGACTCCGCTGACTGTTTGATACAGAAGAGGCAGATCCCAGTCACTGCAATATGCAGTGCAGATATAAATGCACCGACTACACAAGTTTTTTGTTCTGCATGTTCAAATAAGCATGATCACATAAAACAAAAAATCTCAAACCGTACTCCTATCACGTATTTACTCTAAAGCTCCATTTGTTTCAAGAAAAATAAATAATTTGAAAAATATTTTTTCTAAAAATTTTTGTTTGTATTGCTCACGAAAATGTGCAGGGATAAATTATTGACGATGAAGAAAATATTTTCCATTGACTAATTATTTTAAGCAATCTATCTTTTTTAGCTTATTCCTTTTGTACCTTTTTTCTCTCTCTTCTAAGAAAAAAATACTTTTGAACGCAGTGTGTGCTAAATGACCAAGACCAACCCAAGCCAAACACAAGTCGACTGCGTTTGGTTTGGTTTTCGTGGACAATGCAAAGGCCTTTAAGTTAAAAAATGGTTTTTCGAAATGTAAATAGTGTTTGGTAAATTTTAATTTAAATGTAAGTTGAAAAATAACTTTGGTTTAAACGGTGTTTGGAATAATCACACTTTGTAAAGCACTTTAACTTCCTTTCTTAAAAAAAAAACAAAAAAAACTCAAAACTGGTAAGGACCAAGGCCAAAAATGGCTACCGGCGAGCCAAATCTTGTGTCAGCAACAACATCTGGCCTTGCCAGCGGCCCGCTGACGGCCTGGACCCTCGCCGGTGAGCTCACATGAGTTAGGGACATTTCTAGAATTATGAAAATTTAGAGAGGGCAAAATTTGGGAGGAAAAAATGTATTTGCATTTCGGGAATGCTCGCTCAAAGCTCATTTTTGGCATTTCCCAAAACTCTCCAAAAATTTTGCCAAATGGTATTTACGAGTGCCCGAGGGACTTTGGACTTAAGAAGGCAATTCCCAAACGGAGCAATTAATTCTCGAATCTCATTAGTGGTTTCAATTTGCTCATTTTTGCAGTGGATGCTAGATCCTTTAGAGATTGTCTAGTTAGATGTTCTTCCAGGTATACATATTTTCTGGTTGAATGTATCCAAGTGTGGTGTTTACAATTAAGATTACTTCTCGAGTGCTAAGCTGCGTTTGATGAAGAATGTCCCATTTCACGATGAGAACAAACTTAGGCTAATCTTTTACGTCCCACTTTGTATGAATAGATTTGAGAGCATAATAAATTAGTATAAATTCATACCAGGAAAGACCCAAAACTGATACACTTGTGACAATTTTACCCTTCGTTAGTTTCAGGTTAATTGCTAAGTTTTTAGGATTTTACCCTTCCATTTGTCACGGGTTTACCAATTTGTGATTTTTCGTGGTATTAATCCAATTTAATAAAGGGTAAATTTGTCACAAGTATGCTAGTTTTAGATTTTTTATGATCAAAAAATTAATTCGGAGTAAATTTGTTATGGGTGTACCAATTTTGGATTTTTGGTGATCAAAAAATTAGTTTAAAATAAATTTATCACATGTGTACCATTTTGAGGTCTTTCGTGATATTAACCCATTAGTATACTAAGGTCTTTTGTTGCTCACAATACTTGAGTGGCATATGATAAACCCTAACTAACATGGTTTGTCCATCACTTTTAGTAATTTAAGAATATGAAATACGAAACGCTTTTTATTTTTTATTTCAAATATCGAAAAAACAAAAGTAGCAGATTCCCAAAAAAGGAAAAAGAAAAGAGAGCTCTCGATTATGCCTAATACAAAACACTGCAAAATGCTAAATATACTCCAAAGAAAATCAATATTTTGAAAAAAGGGTTTTTTCTAATTTGATCGTTTCTCTTGTTTAGGAAAACGGGTCAAAATATTTTCTCATTATCGGCGAAGACATTTAAACATAAATTGTTAATAATAATAATAATAATAATAATGTATTTTTGAACAATCAGCTCAAAATTTGTGAAGAACTAGAGAAAGGAAAGGAAAGAGAGAAAATCTAGAACTGTGATCCGATTACATTGGAGCGCATCTCCGTGGGAGCGCATCTCCGTGGGAAACAAGAGAGAGGGAGGAGAAGGCTCAAGCGGATCAGGATCGAGCACGAGCTCTTTGCTGTGCGCACATATAAAATCCTCGGAATCATTCCCGCCAGCGAGCTGGGGGGGAGATTTCGAGGAAGAACTTACGTGCGGCCGATCGGCAAAAAACGCAACGACAAACAGGATCTCAAAGATTGGAAAACGAGAAGAACGGCGTATCGCAGCGCCAAGGGAGGCGCCGGCACCGGCTCTTTCGACGGGGGAGGAGCCGGCGATGCAGACGGCGGAGGGGGCATGGAGGCGACGGGGGCAGTAGAAGCCCTAAGCGAGCGCAAGGCTTTGCATGTTTCGGTTTCGATGAGGCGGGAACCAATCTGTTGATCGAGATGTGATCCATCGTAGTAGTTCGTTCGGAAGTCGATTGGGATTGAATTCGAGGAGCAGTCCGCAATCAATGGCGCGACAGATTGATGAGCGCTAATGAACGCATCAAGATCTGCATGGATCAATCTGGTCGTGCATGCAAGCCCTGCCTCAGCCACCTTGATTAGTGATGTCATTAGCATTAATTACCGTTAAATTGCGGAAGCTAATCAATTAATGAAAGTGCTGTTACATTCAAGGACTGTTTTGCAAATTAATGGAAGTACTTTTATGATAGAGAGAGTAAAGACTCCATTGACTGTTTGATACAGAAGAGGCAGATCCCAGTCCCTGCAATACGCAGTGCAGATGTAAATGCACCGAATACACAAGTTTTTTTGTTCTGCATATTCAAATAAGCATGATCACATAAAAAAAAAAATCTCAAACCGTGCTCCTATCACATATTAACTCTAAAGCTCCGTTTATTTCAAGAAAAATAAATGATTTGAAAAATATTTTTTCTAAAAATTTTTGTTTGTATTGCTAAAATGTTCAAGCATAAATTATTGATGATGAAGAAAATATTTTCTATTGACTAATTATTTCAAGTAAGTTATCTTTTTTAGCTTCTTCCATTTGTACCTTTTCTCTCTCTTCTAAGAAAAAAAATACTATTGAACGTGGTGCGTGCTAAATGACTAGGACCAACCAGAGCCAAACACAAGTCGATTGCGTTTGGTTTGGTTTTTAGGGAAAATGCAAAGGCCTTTAAGTTAAAAAAAAATCGAAATGTAAATAGTGTTTGGTAAATTTTAATTTAAATGTACATTGAAAAATAACTTTGGTTTAAACGGTGTTTGGAATAATCACACCTTGTAAAGCGCTTTAACTTCCTTTCTTAAAAAAAAAAAACAACTCAAAACTGGCAAGGACCAGGGCAAAAAATGGCTACCGGCTAGCCAAATCTGGTGTCGGCAGCAACATCTGGCCTTGCCAGCGGCCCGTCGATGGCCTGGACCCTCGCCGGTGAGCTCACATGAGTTAGGGACATTTCTAGAATTATGAAAATTTAGAGAGGGCAAAATTTGGGAGGAAAAAATGTATTTGCATTTCGGGAATGCTCGCTCAAAGCTCATTTTTGGCATTTCCCAAAACTCTCCAAAAAATTTGCCAAATGGTATTTACAAGTGCCCGAGGGACTTTGGACTTAAGGAAGGCAGTTCCCAAACGGAGCAATTAATTCTCGAATCTCATTAGTGGTTTCAATTTGCTCATTTTTGCAGTGGATGCTAGATCCTTTAGAGATTGTCTAGTTAGATGTTCTTCCAGGTATACATATTCTCTGGTTGAATGTATCCAAGCTAGTGTGGTATTTACAATTAAGATTACTTCTCGAGTGCTAAGCTGCGTTTGATGAAGAATGTCCTATTTCACGAGGAGAACAAACTTAGGCTAATCTTTTACATCCCACTTTGTATGAATGGATTTGAGAACATAATAAATTAGTCTAAATTCATACCATGAAAGACCCAAAACTGATACACTTGTGACAATTTTACTCTCCGTTAGTTTCCAGTTAATTGCTGAGTTTTTAGGATTTTACCCCTCCATTTGTCACGGGTTTATCAATTTGTGATTTTTCATGATATTATTCCAATTTAATAGAGGGTAAATTTGTCACAAGTGTGCCAGTTTTGGATTTTTTGTGATCAAAAAACTAATTCGGAGTAAATTTATGATGGGTGTACTAATTTTGGATTTTTTATGATCAAAAAATTAGTTCGGGATAAATTTATCACATGTGTACCATTTTGAGGTCTTTCGTGATATTAACCCATTAGTATATTAAGGTCTTTTGTTGCTCACAATACTTGAGTGGCATATGATAAACCCTAACTAACATGGTTTGTCCATCACTTTTAGTAATTTAAGAATATGAAATATGGAACGCTTTTTATTTTTTATTTCAAATATCGCAAAAACAGTAGCAGATTCCCAAAAAAGAAAAAAGAAAAGAGAGCTCTCGATTATGCCTATTACAAAACACTGCAAAATGCTAAATATACTCCAAAGAAAATCAATATTTTGAAAAAAGGGTTTTTCTAATTTGATCGTTTCTCTTGTTTAGGAAAACGGGAGAAAATATTTTTTCATTATCGGCGAAGACATTTAAACATAAATTATTATTAATAATAATAATAAAATGTATTTTTGAACAATCAGCTCAAAATTTGTGAAGAACTAGAGAAAGGAAAGAAAAGAGAGAAAATCTAAAAGGGATAATAACACAAACAATCCCTGAACTTTGGCCCAATGTGCAATTTGGTCCCTAAACTTTTAATTTATTCAATGTAGTCCATGAACTTTAGGTTAATGCTCAATGTGATCCTTGAACTTTTATTTTGTTCAATGTCATCCCTGAACTTTTGGTATATGTTCAATTCAGTCCTTGAAATATATCAAAATGTTCAATGGAGTCCTTGAACTTGAATTAATGGAAAGGATTATATTGAACATTTTCATATAATTCATGGACTGAATTGAACACGTATCAAAAGTTCAGGGATGAGTTTGAAC